CTTTACAATAGAGTCCGTGCCCGAATTTAAGTTATAGTTTACTGCCGGCGAAATTAAAAGGTCAGTACAATGTTCATATAAACTTTTCAAATATTGGCGTTGAGAAACTATTTAATATTTTTGTATTTTTGTATTGAGATAATAAAATAATTTTCACATTTAAGTAGTATTATTTTACAAGAAAGGCACTTTATTTTAACGATTGTATGACGTTTGTCAACTAACTTAAAACTAACTTCAGCCCGTGACTAAAAACCTGTTGCTAACTTCAGCCCGTGACTAAAGCGCCGTAAAGCCACAACTTGTCAATGTGTATTTAAAAGGTCACTTAGTGTCATGGAAACATGTATGATAAAGGGCGTTTTAAAGGTGGGAGTAGAAAAAAGTGATTTTTTTGAGGGGTCACCCACACCTGGGAATCCCTGGACATTTTAGAGGGGAATACCATAGGAATACAATGGAAATACATAGGAGTACAATAAAATATAATGGGAATACATGGGAATCCCTGGACGTTTTCCCTTTGGGTGGTTGACCCCTCGGATTTTTTTCTGATTTTTTTTTTGGGCATATCGCTTTTGTTGAAACTTATGTAAATATATAATATAAAGAAATTGAGATAAACATAAATTTGGCAACACGGTCAGGACTCGTGTTGTCTGGCGGACCGACTCAATGAGAGTAAAGGTGAAAGAACTAAATGGTATCCATGGTATGCCGATGGTTCTTCTTGATGGTAACTATGGTACAAAAAAATGCTAACAAATTTATTGTTGCCAACTTCATTTGAATTTAGTCGAAATTGTACTGTAGGTACTCTACACGGTGTTTTGATAAAGTTTTATTTTGCTGAATTTTATATCTTTAATAATTTTCTATTTGTTCCCTGTAAATCGACATTTAGGCTTTATTATCATTGTCATCTTAGGCATCTTAAGGGATATGAAAAAAAGTCAAACAGCTCTGTTACTGCCTGAACGGTAAAATGTAATGTGACATTACTAATACTAATAATAATGTTACTAAACATGTTTTTTTCGTATTACATTGCAATACACTGGTTTCAAACTATTAGTTTGTAATTTTACTATGATATTGTTTGCTAAAGATGTTTCAAGATTTTTTGCAAACGTGTGATAAAATGGGTTACCAACAAATATATCGATTCGTCGTTCCGGGTAAAACAACTACGCAGTTGTAATTTGCACGAACGACTTTTACATTAACAAATTTATTTGTTTTCGTATGTCGATTATACTATCTATATAATATAATTCCAAGAAGAAAATATGTGCATTTTTGCAAACAAGTAATTACATTACAGTTTACATTTTAAGGTAGCTGTAGTTTTTTGTTTAATTTACTATTGATTAATTTTTCTTCCTACTCTATGGTAAAGTTAAATTTTATTGACGAGCTGTGACTTTGTGGCGTTTTAGTCACGGGCTGAAGTTGGCTTTATTATAAATTGGGAAAAAGTGAGGTTAAATCCAGGTGAAAGTTGTCAGATGTCAAATTTTTAACAAATGAAATTGTCGTAGGTAGATAAAGTATAGTATGTAACTCGTTTATAAACATTTTTAGCCACTCATTTTATTAAACAATCGCTCGCAAACTTCTCCAGTAACAAATTAAAATTCGTGACTAAAATGGCGTTGTAAAATTAGATACCTACATGATATTCTATAATTAAAAGCTACTAAAAATATTTATTTATTCCAATATACCTATTTAAAAATTGCCATTTAAGAAAAATAATTCAATTTTTGATGCACATCAGGACAAACAAAAACATGCAGTTTTGCACATGGATAATTTAACAAAGAATTTGTATTTTAGTATTAATTTGGCATTGAGATGTTTTACTCATTCTGAAAAATCTTAATGAGTCATTCTTACACTTTCACATAGACGTCAATGTATTTTCATCTTTTTCAAAGGAGTTTTAAATACAAGGCCGAATAAAATATTATGTATAGCTTTCAAATTAATATTGGTTACCTATTTGTTATACCTACATATTCAAGTCATTGCATAAATACAATTTGTATTGTTTAAATTTTTGAAATAGGTAGGTATAATTTTTTTTCTTTGATAAAAAAATCATAATATTTGCAAACAACTTCGTAAATCCGTGATTACTCATTTTGAAATCCAATTTCAACGTTTTTTCCAATGAAACCACTTTGCGGGGGACGTCTAAAGACAAGTGGGAGTCTTGCCGCCCCTATCGATCCCCCACCCCCTAAGTTTCCACACTTGCGTCTAAAAAGGGTCGTCCCTAATACCTAACATGTGGAATAAGGAATGTTTAAAACTAGAACTAGAAACACATGTTTATAAATATAATTTTTGTTTACATATTCTATACTTCTATATTTTTTAGTTAATTCTTCTATTTACAGCATTCTGATTTCTGGCAACCCTACTTAAGATACCTATTAAAAACCTTTCTTAGAAAAATAATTTTTCGCAAATATTGTTCATGGAACGCGTGTGAAAACGAACTTTGTACCCAAATAAAAACATTTACCGTTTCCATGTGCTGCCCGAACGATGAGACGTAGCAACAGCGAATTATTTACCTGCTTGCTGCAGGAAATTTACCAGCAGTAAATAGTTATATATTAATTGTGTTCCTTTGATGAACTTGTAAAAATTATGTTATTTAATGACTATATTAGGTGTATTTATTATGCAATGATTATTTGTCACTTCGGTAGTGTTGTCACATAGCAACAAGTTAGAATGAAAATGGCAGGAAACAGGAAGATTGGCAGACTATGTTGCCGGTGTTACGAAAAATTTCAGAAATTAAGATTGTTTTTAAGAAGCTTTTATTAAAATTTTAGGGTTACGTAAAGTTTTTTAAATTAGAAAATATAATTTTTAATCAACGCAAAATTTAAGAGAACACTGTGTCAGGCTTCTTTAAAATTTAAGCTTAATAGTTAGTTTATATAATATTATATAATATTATTATCTAATATTTATAAACATTTTTACAAAAAAATGTGACCAGTAGATTTTTAGCATTGTATGTGGAAAAACTTGACAACACTGTATAAGCTAATAAGCTGTAATAACCCAACATTCCAAACAATTTTTTTATAAAAATTGCTCAAAATGGCCCACTTTTAAAAAACATAAAAGAAAATATCATAGATTAAGTGTTTTTAACAATATTTTAACAATAAATAATATTCCGCAATATATTTTATCTATTTTGGTTTCATAATGACTTCATTATAACACCGCTTTTGGTTCTTTAATGAGGTACTTTATTCCACCCAAAATTTTGATTTTATAGGTTGGCTACTGGTAAAATACAATTTTGTATTCAATAGGTTATAATATTTTTATGATTTGTTTTCTAGTACTTACGAGACTTTTCGTGCAATAAATTTTGTTTAACACCAAAGAAAATCCTTTTTTTTCTTTAACAGCCGCTTATTGTAAATACTTATTGTAAATTAACGACGCCATAGCGAAAGAATGTGATAATGTTTGAAAGGTTAATGACCTTTCAAACTTCAAAATGTGATACCAACTATGTAAAGTAAAATTCCACCAAATTAAATATAAGGTATAAAATTAATTTGTTTTATGAAATGTTTGCAAAATAGATAAAATAGCATAAAGAACTCATGTCATAAGACCTTTTGTCGCACTTGTCCATTATAAAACTCGCTCCTTCGTCGCTCGTTTTATAAATTGTCCGCGTGCGACAAAATGACGTCTTATGACATTAGTTCTTTAATATACTAATATGTATCCGAGTATGTATCATTATATCATTATTGTAATTTTTCTCGTACAAACAAACATTCAAAGTCGCCAGTAGTAGTAATGTCAAATAACTAATAACTGATTTCGTCTAAATGTGATATTAATACTAGCTCATACCAAGAATTACTTAAATGCAGGGGCGTAGCGTATCAATGATACGGGGCCCCCGGCTAGGGGGGCCCCCGATTGGCTTATTATTGAGGCATGAAATTAAATAAATAAATAATATTATTATTTATTTGTTTATGCTTTGATTTATTAAATAATTTTCCTGAATACCCTCCTGTTCCAACGAGGCGGTGAACTCATACGAATTGTTTCTGCCCGCACCTTTCCGCTATGCGTTGTCTGTCGCATGCGGCGCAGTCTGCGCATATTGTATTGTGCCGCATACTGAGTCTGCTTTGCGTGTTATTATCATAGGTTATATTAATAGCAAATTATAAATAATTATTAGCGGTACAATTGAATCGGTGAGAATAAGAACAGTTCAAGCACAAAAATTTAATTTTGACAAGTCATTTTTTAAGTTCAAAATACATTTTTGTAAGAAGATATAAACCATTTTACAGAATAAGAACATTAAATTTTATAAAATAGTTAAAATATTCCAACAAAAATGCATTTAGAACTATAAAACTGATTTTTTGAAATATTTTGACTTTTGGACTTGTACTGTTCTTAATCTCACCGATTCAATTATTTCAAATGACTTGCCTTTATTTTAAAATAGAAACCTTTTAAAAGATGTTGAAGAACGGTAAATGTTTAAAACCAGAAAAAATTTTAAAATTTGCCTGTAGATAAAAGGCTATGTATATTATTTATTAAATTATAAAAAATTGGTAAATTTTTGTTTGCCCAAAATAGACTTTGGGCGTGACACCCAAAATTTTTTTTTGCCAGCAGCTTTTCCCGTATAAGGGCCCCTACCAGATTTTTGATACGGGGCCCCCTCGAGGCTAGCTACGCCACTGCTTAAATGTTGTACAGATCATTTTAGATTAAGTTATATATGATTACTTATAAGAGTTTTTTTTTGTCTTTGAATTTGTATATTTAATATATATATATATTTATTATGTATTTTTCTCCTGTAATTGGAATTTCTGTTGGGCAAATAAAGATTTATTTATTTATTATTATTTATAGTAAAACTAAAACTAATCTAAAAATGTAGAAAATTTCCAAATAATTTGAATTGTTTTCAGTGCCGATGGCGGTTTCGGGGGTGGGCGTCGAGCCGTCGGCCGGCCGCCGCCACGTGCCCCTCTACGGACGGCTGGTGGCGGGCGGCGACGAGACGCTGGGCGTCGGCACCTTGTCGGCGCCCCCCACCACCGACATCCAGGCCATGCAGGCAAGGATACCGACAACTTTTCGGGACCCGCAGGCTGCACCCTTAAGGAAGTTGTCTGTCGACCTCATCAAGACCTACAAGCACATCAACGAGGTAAGCAAATTTTACATCCGGCAACATTGCTCAAAATCTGAAAGTTCTTGTGTCATAACTATGGCACGCCGTTTTAACATTTATCAAACAGTTTTTTAATTTAAAATTCTATTGCTTTAAAATTTTCCTAACAAAAAATTTTAGGTTTACATTTATAAATTTAAAATATTTTCAATTATCATGTACAGGGTGATCCCCTATAATGTCGCCCCCCTTTAACTTTTTTATTTTAAGTGTCCTAAAAAATTTAAAATTGTGGTTATGTAGGTACTAAAAATACTTTTTATCTCCACGCGGTCTATAATTTAAACTTTATTGTTGTCAACATTCGATAAAGAACTACCTTGTTATGGCCTAGGCCGATAAAAATTTTTATGAGGCAAGTAATTAGTTCGATTTTTTCTCGCTAGGGGTATTGTTTTGACAAGTTAATCCTTTTCTAAGAAATTAACGTACTAAACTGCTTTAATTTATTTATAATAAGCACTAATTTGTTTGTTTTACTGTTAATGTTTAATATTTTTCATTAAATTATTGTAAAATTAAATATGAATCATAAAACAAAAAGTGAGGTTAGGCAACCAAGAAAATGCACGATTCTTTTTCTACGATTTAAATTATCTTTAAGTTTTAATTTGCTTTAAGTTTTCAGTGAAATTAAATGTTAAACACAGCTACAAACTACCTATTTTTTAAATAAAAATCCAAACAAATTTAAATTAGATACCTAGGTACCTATTTATTAAACAATTAATTGAATTCAATGTAATAGCAAAAATCCATTTCTACTTAAATCATGTTGGTATTGTCAAACTATTAATGCTTCTAAAAGCAATACTAATTATTGTACATTTAATGTAATCTTTAGCTAATAAATAAATGAGATTCTAAAAAAGTGAGGTTAGGCCGCTTTGTTTTTGAATTAAATTAACCTATATAAAGTGCTTTGAAGATAAAATGTTGTATGCCATTCGACCAAGAAGTGCCTTTTTGTGCTTCGCTCAATTGTAGGCCTCCGCTACGCGTCTCAAACCTTGAGCTTAGAACAAAAAGCCTTACTTCTTAACCTAATGACATAAATAACTATTTTCTACGTATAAAGAAAATTGGAAAATTGATCAGTATACCGGGAAAAACAAAAAGTTTATTTTTTTTCAATGGATCACCCTATATATGTATTAATTTTTCGATTCCTTGTAAAATTCTAAGCATATTTCATATAACATACCATATACCTAAATTTAACCGTTTCTGAAATATTTAAATTATTTTTAAGATAATAATTTGAAATAGTTTGTGTTTCTCTGTCTGAGTACCCCATTTTACTTATTTAACAAGACATATTGACATAATGTGACTATAGTAATTTTTTTTAAATAAAAATTTTGGTAGGTATACTGAGGCTTCTTGATTTCTAACATTTAATGATAACATTTCGAATGCGAATATTTCAGAAACGGTTGAGTTTAGGTATATGGTTTGTTTTATGAATTATGCTCAGAATTTTACAAGGAATCGAAAAATAAACTTATATATAGGGTGATCCATTGTAAAAAATATACTTTTTGGTTTTCCCTGTATATTGATCAATTTTCCATTTTTCTTTATACGTAAAAAAAGTATTTTTTAGAACCTACATAACCACACTTTAAAATTTTTTGGGACAAACAACAGTTCACTTTTGCATTAAACAATATTATTTCCAATCAATTTCTAACCATCATTTTTTAATAAAAATTATTTCTCAAGTTTAATTTATTTTCGAGTTTATTTTGCAGAATTTTTAAATATTAAATAAATATTTTATAAAATTATTTAGATTAAAATGGTAAAGTTAAATTTTTTAGTATTTAAAAATGGTGTTGAGACATATAATAAATTTTTTACCAAAATAGTTTAAAAAGTTAAATTTTTTTAAACTCAAAACAATTGAGAATCAATATTTTAAATATAAAATGCGAATGTAAAAGTTTAAGTTTGGTTTTTAAAAACTGTAGTTTTAATATTTTATTTTACAAAATTATCGGTTTAAATTTGTAAAGAGTCATTTAAATTTAACATTGTAAATTTCTGTTAAAACATCATTAAAACTTTAATGTTCAAACTAGGTATTAGGTATCTAATAAATGCTAAAACGGCGTGTCACACATAATTGCTTGCAAGCAAGATCATGATCTTGAGATTTTGTTTGTACAATTTTAAAAAAAAAATAGTGAAAAAATGCTGTTTGTTGCTCAGGTGTACTATGCGAAAAAGAAACGGCGGGCCGCGCAGTCGCAGAGCGAGGACTCGACGACGAAAAAAGAACGCAAAATCTACAATGACGGTTTCGACGACGACAACCACGACTACATAATAAAAAATGGTGAAAAGTTCCTCGATCGCTACGAGATCGACTCGCTCATAGGCAAAGGCTCGTTCGGGCAGGTGGTGAAGGCCTACGACCACGTCGAGCAGTGTTACGTGGCCATCAAAATTATCAAGAACAAAAAACCCTTCCTCAATCAGGCGCAGATCGAAGTCAAGCTGCTGGAGATGATGAATAGGGCTGATACGGAAAACAAGTATTATATAGGTAACTATACACTATTTTATTGGTGATCTTCTTCCCCTTTGATAAGGTAAAACTCTTTTAATAGACTTAGTATGGGCCGTATGCAGAAACGTTGATTTATTTATATCAACTGATTTAGCATTTCAGTGGATATAGGTTTTTGCACGACATGGCAACGTAGTATTTTTCTTTAAAAGCTGTTGATTTATAAAATAAATTGGGTAATTATCTTTCAACGTTTTTATTTTCCCTAAAAAAGTCAATTTCTATGCATTGACATTTTAAATTAGATATAAAACAATTAAAATTTCTTCAAGATTTATTTGACATTTGTGACATTTGATTTTAACCATATAATAGTATATTAAAGTACAAGTTGCAGAAGGCCACATATTCTCGCACGAATTCGAAATTTGGCCTCGAGCGACGAAGGAGCGAGTGGACGAACGAATGAGTGCGAGAATAGCCTTCTGCAACGTGTGATTTATACTATTTTCTCGATTTTACACTATTTTATTGGTGATCTTCTTCCCCTTTGATAAGGTAAAACTCTTTTAATAGACTTAGTATGGGCCGTATGCAGAAACGTTGATTTATTTATATCAACTGATTTAGCATTTCAGTGGATATAGGTTTTTGCACGACATGGCAACGTAGTATTTTTCTTTAAAAGCTGTTGATTTATAAAATAAATTGGGTAATTATCTTTCAACGTTTTTATTTTCCCTAAAAAAGTCAATTTCTATGCATTGACATTTTAAATTAGATATAAAACAATTAAAATTTCTTCAAGATTTATTTGACATTTGTGACATTTGATTTTAACCATATAATAGTATATTAAAGTACAAGTTGCAGAAGGCCACATATTCTCGCACGAATTCGAAATTTGACCTCGAGCGACGAAGGAGCGAGTGGACGAACGAATGAGTGCGAGAATAGCCTTCTGCAACGTGTGATTTATACTATTTTCTCGATTTTAACTTTTATTTAGGTTTTTTTAATTGTTTTGTGGTCGTTGTTAGTTAGGGGATTTTTCTCGCAAAATGTCAGTTGGCAACACAAAATGACAATATTTGTTATCCTGCACAAGTACAACCTGAACTGCACTTTTACACATTAAACTTAAAATTTTGCATTAAAATGCATTGTTGGAGCAAACTTTATATTACAAAACAATAATAAAGGCTTCATTTTCAATAAAAGTAATGAATTTGAGGTTATTAATCAGTTTGACATTTTGGGGGTACCAATACTTAAAAACTAAATGTTACCAAAAATCGTTTAAGAATGAGCTTCATTCTTCAACGATTTTGCGTGCGAGAATATGACATTCTTACATAAAAATCGAGAAAATAATTTCCCTAAGACATGGTTTACTAGATTTGTTTTTTGGCTAATAAAATCATCTGAAATGTAAATCAATTGATATAATTTATATTAGTCGTTATCGACTAATTTAAAATATGGGTAAAAATAGACAGTATTTTTGTTTGTATTTATGAAAAAATAAATTCAGAAGGTAAATATACCTATTACAAAGATATAATTAAAAAATGACATTTTTTTAAAGATAAAATTACTACCATGTTAATTATATCAAATATCTTTGCTGTTTTTTGTCTGCTTGAAATCAATTGATTTATAACTTTCTTTGGTTTCATTGTAAAATAATTACCCCTAACATTGAATTTTTATTGATTATTTTTTTATTATTAAAAACATACATACCTTCCATAAGTAAATGTTTACTTTTTAATATAATACCTACATAATTTAAAAAAATTACTATTTAATAAATAATAAGGATTATAAAATAAAACCAAAATGGTGTTTAAAAATTATTTGTCTTATTTTCTAAATACTTTTAAAGAGCTTTAAATTTTATACCATGTTCAACTTATTTTTTCTTTTAAATTTTTAAATTATGTGCTTGCTCTTCAAATAGAAACAGTAGGTAGAGGGGGCTTTTTTTCTGAGGAAATTTACACTCTATTTATTTTTCGGCTCAGAAATATACGTCGGCTCTATTAAACATAAAAGAAAATAAAATTCGGGGACAAAAACATAGGTATTTTAAATTGAATATACATATTATAATATTATTAACAGTTTTTGCCAGTAATACAAAAAGGCATTTTATAAGAAAATAAAAAATACACCCTGTAGGTAAAATCAATTGTATTTGCTCTAAAGCAAAAACAGGCACAGTGTATGAAACTATTTTCAAATTGTTTTTATCATTTGTAATATTTATTTGACAAATAATTAAAAATATGCTCTGAAACAATATTTTTATTTTAAAATTAAAATACACAGGGTAAAAAAATCTGGACTATGTAGAACTCCAACAATTAAATTTTAAAATTTGCTTTATAAAAGTAAGTTTTTAAAATTTGTGTACCCATATTTTTCAATATAAATTATTTAAAAAACAAAGTGTATAAGGCATGCATAATGTTTTTCATTGGGTTTAATTTAACCTTTTAGAAAAGCAGGGATTCTTGCCCCATTTCCAGCAAGGGTGTAGCCAGGATTTTGTTCAGGGGGGCAGGCAAGGGTAAACTATATGCATGCTACAAAAAGTTTCGAGACTTCACCTCCCACCCATTTTTAGCACAATTTTTCTGGAATTTTTGAGTTGATTAAAAAATTTATTCTGAAGCCATAATTTATGTATATCAAGCATTAACTAACATATGTTATTCTCTAGAGTTTATTTTTTGATTTTTTTATATTCTTGTCACAAATTTTAAATGTCTTTTTTACCTCACGATGTCTTCGGCATCATTGCATTTATTTTTCAAAACATTTGCCTAAATGTCTAAAAAGGTGTTATTGGTTCCTACCTGTAAAAGAATAGGTAAAATAGCATTGCCTTTTAGAAATAGGTCTAGTATTCCTATAACTATAATACAATTATTATAATTATAATATAATTAATTAATATTTTACAAGAACGAACACTTGAACAAAATTTCCACCAACTTCAACAAAATTTCTTTGGTTTCAGAGGCTTTAAGCAGTAATTTTCGTTTTTTATACCTTCTAATGCAAATTTACTTATACCAGAGCACATTGCAAACTGCGAACATAACCCAATTGTGTATGTTTTATATTGCCGCAATCCTCTTCAAACCAAGTTTTTGTCAATAATAAGGTTTAGTCAGTTACAAATGAAATTGTATTACTCTTATAATGTAATAAACACATATTTAAGTATATGTACAAATCTTTACTGGCATTTAAAATTTGCTATGTTGCCAAATTGGTTTAAACTTAAATCAGTGGATATGCGTAAATCAGTTGATATAAATAAATCAACGTTTCTGCCTACGGCCCACAGTCTATTAAAACAGTTGTACCTATTTTAGAGATTATGTACCTACTTTATTTTGCCTTAAAACCAAAGAAAATCATATACCTATTTGTTTTTTAGTAAAACTGAAACGACACTTTATGTGGCGCAACCACCTGTGCCTCGTGTTCGAACTGCTTTCCTACAACTTGTACGATCTGCTGCGCAACACCAACTTTCGCGGCGTCTCCCTCAACCTGACGCGAAAGTTCGCGCAGCAGCTGTGCACCGCGCTCTTGTTCCTCTCCACGCCCGAACTCAACATAATACATTGCGATCTCAAGCCGGAAAACATCCTGCTATGCAACCCGAAACGCTCCGCCATCAAAATCGTGGATTTCGGCAGCTCCTGTCAGCTAGGACAAAGGGTGAGTACTACGGTGTAGCGATATAAAAAAACGCTTTTTACAAATTTGAAAAAAAGTTTTTTCTGAAAAATTATAAAAAAATCTTTCACAATAATTAAAACGGCGTTTTTTTTTGTTTTTCGAATTATACACTCACGTGCAAAATAATCGGCCCACACAAATTTTCGATGAATTTCAATCGCAAATAACTTTTTTATTTGATGTCGGATTTAAACGAATATTAAAGAATATTGTAGATAAATTAATGGACAATCGCTCACATTTTAAAAAAATACTAAAAAATAGACGTACGTTTATAATATACAGGTTTAAACAAAAAGATGTTTTTTTACCATAAGTTTAAGACACTCTGTAGAGTGGCAAAACCGTATATTGTTCTAAATTAAGTTTTATTTATCAAGTCACATCTATTCTTAACAGTTTTGTTTTTGGTTCACCTCGATATATTTATTTTTGTGGAAAATATGGATTTTTTTAAAAAACATTGCAACTTCCAATATTTTTCTGTATGAAGAACTAAGGTTGCTATGGTCCATCCATAGGCTATGGAGAATGACAGTGACAGTTTTGTTGAATCATCCCATACTTGGACATGTTATACAAGGCTTTTAAAAGCTATCAAATTGTTTTTTGCAAATTAATGTTTAAATTTTGAGGTGTCTTCTTACTTTATAAAATGGATATGTCTCCGACTGATGTTGCCAGAGCTATTAATTTAATCCAGGATGGACGGTCACAGTATTACGTGGCAAGTGTTTTAAACGTCATAAGAAGTAAAGTACAAAGGGCAATATCAGTCGGAGTCATTTTTAAAAGTAAGAAGACACCTCAAAATTAACACATTAATTTACAAAAAACAATTTGATAGCTTTTGAAAGCTGTATATGACATGTCCAAGTATGGGATGATTCAACAAAACTGTCATTGTCATTCTCCATAGCCTATGGATGGACCACAGCAACCTTAGTTCTTCATACAGTAAAAATAATGGAAATTGCAATGTTTTTTAAAAAAATCCATATTTTCAACAAAAATTAATATATCGAGGTGAACCAAAAACAAAACTGTTAAGACTAGATGTGACTTGATAAATAAAACTTAATTTAAAACAATATACGGTTTTGCCACTCTATAGAGTGTCTTAAACTTATGGTAAAAAAACATCTTTTTGTTTAAACCTGTATATTATAAACGTACGTCTATTTTTTAGTATTTTTTTAAAATGTGAGCGATTGTCCATTAATTTATCTACAATATTCTTTAATATTCGTTTAAATCCGACATCAAATAAAAAAGTTATTTGCGATTGAAATTCATCGAAAATTTGTGTGGGCCGATTATTTAGCACGTGAGTGTAAAAAAAAATTTGGGTACCTACTTGACATGTCAGATTTTAATGCTGCCTATTTTTTTTTCTTATAAATAATAGTATATTATGTATCAAGTTTTATAAACGCCATTTTAGTTACGAGTTTTATTAAGCACGAGCGAAGCTTGCAAGCGAGTGTTTAATAAAAACGAGTGTCTAGATAAGTTTATAAAACGATTTGCATACTATACTTTATCTACGACGACCACAAAGAAGAATTTAAATCCAATTTTATTTGTTATAGTAAAGCTAACTTCAGCCCGTGACTAAAATGCCCAAAAGCCACTATTACTAACTTCAGCCCGTGACTAAAACGCCATAAAGTCACAGCTCGTCAATGTAGGAGTTGATAAAATCTATTTTAGTTTTGTTTTTGTTTTAATTTTATCAAGTATGTTTATTTTAGAAGCAAGTTTTTATTTTGTGTTTTTATTTAAAAACCTCTATTATAAATAACGATTTTTTTTAAAAATTTCAAAACTTTTCTGCTTCAAGTTTACTCTTTTCTCTTATAATCTCCATTAAGAAAAAACAATGTTTCTAAAAAAATATTTTTTTGAAAAAAAAATAATTCTCTTTGATTAGGGTGATTAAAAAAAACGAAATTTTTTTTTACTTCCAACACTGAAAAATTAGTTCTTAGACACCAGATTCTGTAAAAAAAGTTGCCAGATTCAAATAATATCTGTCAACTTTTATGAGAGATTCTAGTGCATTTCTTTTAAATTTTAGGTTGTGCTCAAATTGTAAATATCTTAACTAAGGGAAGTGCTTTTGGATTTATTTACACGAATTGAATGTTTAAAGTTTAACCTGTGAACTTGTCCTAATTTCATCTGAGTAAGCAGAAAGAAAAAACCGATAAAAAAATTAATTTTGTGGTTTTAAAATAGGTGCTAAATTTTTTAATCATTGCTTAAGCTAATAGCTGGATGAGTAAATAAATACAGAAGGGTATTAAAGCTTTAAGGGTATAAAACTTTATTTATTGAGTTTTTATTTATTTTTTACAAGAAAATTTTTATTAACAATTTTTTACAACTGGCAACGCGTTGGTTGGTAACTATGTACTCACAGAACACACAGGGCTGGATGCTCCCGTGTACGAGTTTTGGTTCGTCCCGCGCATGACGTCACTTGATGAGTAGTTGCCGTGAGAATACACGAATAATAATAATATTATCAAAGAAAATAGAGAAATATCTGGACATAGTGCGTTTTTATTATTAAAATATTGAAGAAAGTGTTATAATATGGATAATAGATGCTTTCAGTCCTTGATAACATTTAGGGCTGTAGTTTAAGCGTTGGTGTTTTAAATTAAACTTATAGTCACTGTCCAGAAAATGTTTATAGGAAACAGAAGCGGTCTTAACGTTAATATTTTCTATTCTTTTTGTGGCATTTAACCACTGTTTGCACAAATCAATGTTTTTCGGGAATCGATTAAATTTAATGTTTTTATTTAAAGGGTTTTTCTTGGACTGGTTGTCCGAATTGCATTCAAATATGCCACACTGCATTTTAATAAATGCAAATGGTACGACACAAACTAAAACACAAACAAAACAAGTTAACGCAACACAAAAACAATAATAAACAAACAAAACAGGTTAACACAACGCAATAACAATAATTTAAACACTGTAAAGTAATTCGAACCTTACCGAACACAAAAACAAAAAATAGAGCAAGTTAACATCCAAAAGCATCGCAAAAAGAAGAATTTTAGCAGCAGATAATTAAAAAGCACGTTAAAGATTTAAACACTCATCAAGTGACGTAGTTAAGCCCCGCCCAACATGCGCACCATCCTATCTTAAGGTGTATGTATCTTGCAGAACACAAGTGTGTAACCAGTGGCGTATCACAAAAAATATAAAAAACTTCTAATGAATATTTTTTCTGTATCTTTTTACATTAATTACATAACACCATGTATGTATGAAGGGACTAAAATAAAAATGAAAACTGTGGAGGAGGATGTTCCTATTAATATTAATAATAAGAGCTCAAATTTGGTGTGGTGCCTAAGAATCAATTTTTCAGTTTCGGAAAAAAAATATTCGATTTTTTTTAATCTGCAAAAAGTACAAGAAACTCTGCAGGTCTTGAGGAATATAGAAATAAAAAACTATTAATAATAATAATAATAATAATAATAATAATCTTTATTCAAAAAAGCCTCTTGGGCAACGAACACGTCATTACAAAGAAATATAAATAGCTGTATAGTGATACAATACAAGTACACAAAGTATTAACAATAATTGAACATACAAGGTAAAGATAAAATAACAAATTGGTAAAATAGGTTTTAAAATAGGCTTTCAACTAAAGTATTTTAAAATTTATAATCATAAAATTTTTGTTCGACAGATATACCAGTACATTCAGTCGCGATTCTACCGGTCGCCGGAGGTCCTTCTGGGAATCCCCTACGATTTGGCGATCGACATGTGGTCGCTGGGTTGCATACTGGTGGAGATGCACACGGGCGAACCTTTGTTCAGTGGCGCCAACGAAGTGGACCAGATGAACAAAATCGTCGAGGTGCTGGGAATGCCGCCGAAACATCTGCTCGACACGGCCAACAAAACGAGGAAGTTCTTCGAGAAGTTACCAGGCGACAGAAGGTAAGAAAAATTCGATTTGGTTCACTTTGTGCACCACCCACTTACCGCCATCTTAGTTCATTCCAGCCTTTCAATGTAAATGATATTTTAAATTTAAATATTATTCTCTTATGAAATTATTCGATTTTTAGATTAAATTCCCAAGTAACAATTTAGGTTTTATTAGGTAATACAGGAAAGCTTTAAAACCCTTTTTTCTAGATATTGATAAAACCTAATTATCCGCAAGATAGTCATAGGACTGCTTTAAGTCTCTTTTAAGTATAAAAGGGAGAATCCTATGAAAGTTCTTAGGAGTAATTTTTAAGAATTTGGCCCGTACGGGAATCTATAAATGGCACCACGATTTTCGTATTCTTCATCTTTTACGGGAGAAAGGAAGGAAGGCAATCTATAAATCAGGCTTAAGAATATAAAACTAACACAATAAAACGACGATTTCGCAATTGTGACAATACGGTCGTCTTTTATACAATGCGCAGGATTAAACGAACGAATTAAACAAATTTTAAATTATAAATTATTAACTGTAAATTTTGTGTTTAATAAAATCTACAAATATTTATTAAATTCGAAAAATAAAATGGAAATAAAGACTCTTAATTGAAGGCAGTAGTAGCGCCATTTATTAAGAAAATTATATACTTTTTTAAAATGTTATAATAGATCAGCTTTGAAAAAAAGTTGTTAAATATTTAATTGTAAGTTTTATAAATATCATTGATATATATCATTGCTTATAAATATCGATATATATCTTGATAAATATCATGATATATATCGGTGATATACAGGGTGTCTCAAAAGTCAAGGACAGCAGAAAAGGGGTGGATAGAGGATGGGATTCTAAGTCGAATACTCTTTGCCGTTTTTTTGATCAGACGCACCACTGTCAGTGTTTTGGTTTTTTAGGTTCAGGATTAATTTTTTTGTGTGGGACAAATAGACCTATCTTTTCTTTTTGTTATTTTTTTGACGGCTTAATAAATAACTTAATACAAGGTTTATGATGACATACTTTGCTTTACTTTTTTTAAATAAGTTAAAATAATTATTTTATTAATATTATAGAAATATTTGAATTAATATGTAATAATCACAATCCACACAACAAACCCTGTTTTATCTTGTTTCGCGCATTTTTATGTTTATAAATACAGATTAAAAATCGTTTTAAACGTTGTATTTCTTACAGAGGCACTTGTAAGCCTCAAATGAGGCCTTTAAGTGCTAAGAACAACCATTTTAAACCTTATTCTATCGGGGCTGTCATCAAACTATCAAATTTAAATTTGTGAATTATGGTAAATTAACTTTAAAATTGAAATTTGACAGTTTAATGACAGCCCTGATAGAATAAGGTTTATTTTTACCAAAAGATAAGTAAAACGGTTGTTCTTAGCACTTTTAGGCTTACAAGCGCCTCTGTAAGAAACACAACCCTATTGAAAATGCCATATAGAACCATATAAAAAACACGTATCTGGATTCTATATGGTTTCTATCTGGTTCAATATAGGTATTTGAAACAGGCATTTCACTATTGAACCAGATAGAAGATTACATTATAGAACCAGATAAAAACACTATAAAACACTATAGAACCAGATAGGGAAACCTATCTGGAAATACATATAGAACAGAAACCAGATAAATCCATATACAACCATATACATGTCTTTATAAAGACATGTATATGGTTGTATATGGATTTATCTGGTTTCTGTTCTATATGTATTTCCAGATAGGTTTCCCTATATGGTTGAATATGAAAATTTTTAAAATGGAAATCCATATTCAACCATATAGAATCCGTAATGTTAACCAGGACTTTCCATATAGGACCTATAAAACCATATAGAACCAGATACGTTTCCTTATCGGATTCAATATGGGTTCTATATGGCATTTTCAATAGGGAACGTTTAAAACGATTATTAATCTGTATTAGGGCCACCAATTTTCCCTAAAAAAAAGAATGTATCAAGTTAAAACTAACCTAAAAACTAAAACACTGACTGACCATATGAGTACATTAGATGCGAAACTCGGTTTTTGCAAATTTTAAAAAATATATATTTTATCATATTTATTAGGGTGGAGCGAAATTTTTTTTTTCCTTAGCCTGGGGGTTGAATTTGTAGCCTATAAAAAAAGAAAATTTTAAAAAAAAAAAGAAAAATTTTTACTCGGCGTCTTGAGGTGGCCCACTGATTTTTTATATTAAATTTAAGTTAAAATTCTTTTTAATAAAAAAAAAAAATTCAAAAGTGTTCCGGAAACTGCGGAGTGTCCTCTTTCTTGCTAATTAACAGTTATGAACTTATGAAAAATTTTGTGGTCATTATTGTTGTTTTTAAAAAAATTCCAAAATAGTAACATGCTTTTCTGAGGCAATAGAGCGAATTTCGAGTTGAACACGATCAAATTTGTTTATTTTTAAATAAATTTGAATATTACAAGCCAAAAAAAATTTTTTTTATTCAAAAGAATTTTAACTTAAATTTACCTAATTTAAAAAATCAGTGGGCCACCTTAAGACGTTGGGTTAAAAATTTTTTTTTTCAAAAATTTTGTTTTTTTATAGGCTACAAATTCCACCCCCAGGCTAAGGAAAAAAAAATTCGCTCCACCCTAATATATATGTACATAACTGCACTACCCACAGCATCCCTAAGTAAACCAGACGCATAAGTTAATATTTGTAGAATAAAATACATTTATAAACTTAACGCAGATGCAAAACTGGGTATTTGTTTCTTCCTGTCGGATGCAAAACTCGGTATTTGCTGTATACGGTGTATAGACCAATCACGTCGTTAGTATACGCATTAGGTGACGACATAACAATCACCTGATTAATTGTTATTTTTCGGTATTTGCACTTTTCACTTGTAAAACTTGGTCTTTAAACTAGTAAGATGCAAAACTATGTTTTTAAATCTTTTGATTTCAATTATTTACTAAACTACTTAATTTTAAAGGATTTTTTTTTACTTTTGTGAATAAGAAATCATGCAAAAGCACGTCTATACAATTTTTGCAATTTTTTTTTCAAAAATGATCTTATGAGCGGTTTTTCGTGTTTTTCTTAAAATCACTTAAGTATCCTGCAAATACAAAGTTGTGCATCTAATGTACTCATATCAACCATTTAATTAAGGTAATTTTACAATACGATTTTATATAGAATTTGTAATATTAAGCTGCACATTATAGTTCTCTAATCATTCTGCTAGAACACGCCTGTGATTGGCTACTTTATTTTATTAATAACTTATTATTGGTGCGTCTGATCGAAAAACGGCAAAGACTATTCGACTTAAAGGTTTTTGCTTAAAAATATACCTACATTTTGTAAATATTGTTCTTCCTCCTATTTAGGTACTCGCTGAAAAAGACGAAAGACGGCAAAAAGTACAAGATCCCGGGTTCGCGGCGGCTGCACGAGATCCTGGGCGTGGAGACGGGCGGGCCGGGCGGGCGGCGCGCCGGCGAGGCGGGCCACAGCATGTCCGAGTACCTAAAGTTCAAGGATTTGATCCTGCGGATGCTCGACTACGACCCCAAGACGCGCATCACGCCGTACTACGCGCTGCAGCACACCTTCTTCAAGAGGACCACGGACGAGGCCACGAACACGCAGGCGAACAGCAACAGCAGCAGCCCCGCGGTCGCCTCCATCGATATTTCGCTCGCCAATCATAATAATAGTCAACATGGTGAGTACAAACACTTTTTTCCGCTTATTCCGTTTAGACCGCATTAAGCTTAATTTTCTTGTATCCGTTTGTCCGTTCATCCGGGAGCGCTTTTATTGGTCCAATTATAATTGAGGGGCTTGGAAGTAAAACGGTTCAAGTGCACTTTTTTAAATAAATGGTCAAGTGCAGAATATCACACCTAATAGTACATTCTGTAACAAGTTTGGAATACAGCATATTCCGCTCGAGGAAAAATTTGACACACGAGCCGAAGGCGAGTGTGACGGTTTTACGAGAGTGGAATATGCTATTCCAAACGTGTTTCAGACAATATTTTCTCTACGACTACGTAAGAATAGTAACGCTTATAATTTTAAACAGAAAAGAAACCAAGCAATTTTTGACATTTTGTATTATCAAACCATTTTGTGCCGTCACAATTTTATAATGTAAATTATAATAAATTTAAACAAATGGTATGCCTAAATCTTTATTACATTTAATAGTATATTAAAGAACTAATGTCATAAGACGTCATTTTGTCGCACGCGGGCAATTTATAAAACGAGCGACGAAGGAGCGAGTTTTATAATGGACAAGTGCGACAAAAGGTCTTATGACATGAGTTCTTTATGCTATTTTATCTATTTTGCAAACATTTCATAAAACAAATTAATTTTATACCTTATATTTAATTTGGTCGAATTTTACTTTACATAGTTGGTATCTCAGTTTGAAGTTTGAAAGGTCATTAACCTTTCAAACATTATCACATTCTTTCGCTATGACGTTGTTAATTTACAATAAGTATTTACAATAAGCGGCTGTTAAAGAAGAAAAAAGGATTTTCTTTGGTGTTTAACAAAATTTATTGCACGAAAAGTCTCGTAAGTACTAGAAAACAAATCATAAAAATATTATAACCTATAGGTATTCAAAATTGTATTTTACCAGTAGCCAACCTATAAAATCAAAATTTTGGGTGGAATAAAGTAGCTCATTAAAGAACCAAAAGCGGTGTTATAATGAAGTCATTATGAAACCAAAATAGATAAAAATAGTTATTTACACTAACTAATAAAAAAAAATAACATTGTAACAAATACAAAACTAATTTTACAAGTAACCTACATATGTCAACATCTACTCTTTTTCTACATTTTAAAGGTCTTTTTTTTAACTTTTTGAAAGGGGCAAAACTTCAAAGCCGGTATAGTAGGTAACTGGTTTATCATTTTAATATCAAATTTATTATAATTTTGATTTGTATATTTGAAAAACAATAAATATAACTAATTTTTTGTGCCTAAACCTTAATTATACAACTGCTATTATTTTTTAATTAATATATAATACAGTAATATTTCAATTTTTTTAAATTTTTTACGTTTAGTAAACAGCCAGGAGATGTCGTTACTTGTGACCATTCTTAAACAAGAGTGGGAATATTCTCGCACAGTATTGCAGAAAAACATCCTTTCTATGATCAAAAATTACACTAGAATGTTACTATTCTTAAGTAGTCGTAGAGAAAGAATATTCTAACTTAGTGGTAAAATTATGTGAGTACATTTTATATTCTCTGGCGCCATTTCTTATCGTCTTTAAAAACCTGTCAAAATATTTTAAAATATATCTTTGGTAAAACGATTTAAGTGCACCTTTTACTGCTAAACATAGGCTATTATCTATGCTGCTAAAGCCTTAACAAGTATTTTAAAACAGACCATAGCATTGAGCCAAAAAAATCCAATTTAGATCAACCCCAACCAAGACCAGCTAATTTAGATGAAGAAAACGTTTTGTTAGATTCTTATTATTATTATTTTTGTTATAAAACTTACCCAAATTTTAAAAAATAAAGTTTTGTTCTAGTACAGTAATTGCACTTAAATCATTTTACCACTAAATTTTGTCTTACATGCATGACGATTCAAGTACATTTTTGTAAAAAAAATTAACAAAAAAGCGAAATTAAAAAATTCCTTTTTCTTTATAATCCTTTATAACTTTTTTCTAGAATTTTAAAATTCAAGTTAACTTTAAAGCCATTTATCTCAGAACTAACAAAAATGCACTTAAACCCTTTTACTTCTAGGCCCCTAAATTCAAAAATTATGACATTTTTTCCATCCGTCAAGTTTTAACTTCGGTCATCTATATTCGTACGTCTGACGGAGAAATTTAAAATAATATTAACTAATCTGTCACTACCCATCTGTTTTTGACGCCTAACGTTATTTTAAGATACTTTATTTTCAAATCTTTTAATATTCTTTTAATAAGATTGTAAAACGGAAATATAACGTTCGTTATGTGAATAATGTTCTACTTTTATGTTTTTATTTAATAATAATAACAGAAAAAAAGAAAAGACAAACAATAAAATATTAAAACCAGAACTAAAAGAACCTGCTTTTTTAAAACTATACATTTTAATGTAAATTAAGGCTAGTATATTCTTTTTATATGGTATATTTACCTACCTTTAAATTTATTAGTCAGCTAACTGTTAAAGTTACAATTGTTGACATAATTGTAACTTTGACAATTAAGCATTAGGTAAATTTAGTAAAGTGAATATACTGACCCTTAATTTTTATTTGTCGCCAAATCAATCCGTTAAACGTCATATAAAAACGGATGCATGAAAATTAGAACATTTCTTATCGGACGATTTCATTGAAAAACGTACAAACGTATAAAGCTTAATTTTCATGTATCCGTTTGTCCGTTAGTCCGTTCATCCGGGGGCGCTCTTATTGGTCCAATTATAATTCAAAAATTATGACATTTTTTCCGTCCGTTAAGTTTTAACTTCGTAAGTCTGACGGAGAAATTTAAAATAATATTAACTAATCTGTTTTTGACGCCTAACGTTATTTTAAGATACTTTATTTTCAAATCTTTTAATATTCTTTTAATAAGATTGTAAAACGGAAATATAACGCTCGTTATGTGAATAATGTTCTACTTTTATGTTTTTATTTAATAATAATAACAGAAAAAATGAAAAGACAAACAATAAAATATTAAAACCAGAACTAAAAGGACCTGCTTTTTTAAAACTATACATTTTAAATACCTACCTTTAAATTTATTAGACAGCTAACTGTTAAAGTTACAATTGTTGACATAATTGTAACTTTGACAATTAAGCATTAGGTAAATTTAGTAAAGTGAATATACTGACCCTTAATTTTTATTTGTCGCCAAATCAATCCGTTAAACGTCATATAAAAACGGATGCATGAAAATTAGAACATTTCTTATCGGACGATTTTATTGAAAAACGTACAAACGTATAACGGACAAACGGATACATGAAAATTAAGCTTTACTATCCGATATTTCGTCTTTTAATACTTTTAATACTACCTTTGGGGATTAACCTGAAACCAAGTTTTGTTTTTGAGTTATTTTAAACTTCTATTATGTCAATTTCTGCAAACATTTAAAAAAAAATTAAAAAGTATCCTTGATATTTCACGTGAATTCGACATGAAAAAAACCCTTGGCATTTTAGAAATTCCTCGGCAATTTTTCCATGGGTACCCTGACTCAAAATAAAAATTTAATTTTCATGATTATAAGGATTTTGCCAATATATAATCGATCATAACTTTGCTTCCAATTGAGCGATTCCGACGAACGACCAATCATTTTTCTTATCTTGAAACAAGCTATTTGAAATAAATATTTTTGATGCTGTGGCATATCGGCGCACTATGATTATTTTCTTTGAAAACTAAAAATCCATTTTCTACACTGTATTTTTTTCATTTTGTTTTTGTTTTTATTCTTTAAGCAAATACAAGTTTTTTATATCGTGGCTATGAAAAAAATAATAATTTATTCGGAATTTTAAATTTTAATAATTTAGATTTTTTCCACTTTCTGACATTTTGTAATATCAAAAATGATTTTTTTTTATAATCTTTTTAAATTTAGCCCTTTTAACTGTTAAAATTGTTTAAAAAATGATTAATATTAATAATTATTTTAAGATTGAAAATCAATGAATCAATCATTTTATTATTCATAGGCACTACTCTATAATTTTTTAAACAATTTTAATAGTTAAAAGGGCTAAATAAAAAAAAATATTTTTAATATTACAAAATGTCCGCAAGTGGAAAAAACACAATTATTAAAATTTAATTAAAAAATTATTAATTTTTCGATAGCCACGATCTAATATACATAAAAAAACTTTTATTTGCTTAAAGAATAAAAACGAAAAAAAAAATAAAAATTAAAAAAAAAATTACAAACATTGTAGAAAATAGATTTTTAGTTTTCGAAGAAAAAATCATAGTGCACCGAAATGCCACAGCATCAAAAATATTTATTTCAAATAGCTTGTTTCAAGATACAAAAAATTATTGGTCTTTCGTCGGAATCGCTCAATTGGAACCAAAGTTATGATCGATGATATATTGACAAAATAATCATGAAAATTTAAAAAATCATATCTCAAAAACAATTGATAAACCGTGCTTAAATTAAAATTGAATTTTTATTTTGAGTCAGAGAACCCATGTAAAAATTGCCGAGGAATTTCAAAATGTGTCGAATTCATACATATTTATTTATTTAATTTAAAGATAAATTTAAGCTGGTAACTTTTTTTTAGACCTATCAGGGATACAACGATGACTAACATAGTATCGCAGTTCAAAACATTAACTGCTTTTAACATACAGGTACCTAACTTACTTCTTACTAACTAATTTTACTAAAAGAATACAAGAATTGATGTTTTTTTAAATTGCAAAAGTTTGCTTTATATGCTTATTAGGAAGTTATAGGAAGTTATTCTTGTATTTTTTTGTATTAAATATGCATGGGCCCTATCCTGCATACCCAATCATTTCCTGAAATATACACTGTAATATAAAGGCACAACATGTTGTAGTTATAAAAAAAATTAAAAATATTAGAAGGATGGTTACTTTTTGGGTTTGCACCAACATTTGTATTGTAATATAAAATGAGAAAACTGTTTTAAAAACTAAAAAGTTGATATTAAAATAAAATAAAATTATGAAATCACAAAAAATCCCTCTTCATCTCTCTTTTTGTACAGTTTCTCTACCGAAATCGATGAGACCCGTATTTTTTCTTTTTGCATTAATTTCTTTTGTTTACCCGTAGGAAATTTTTTCTTGAAAATGCGATAACTTGGGCATCATTTTTCGACGGTTGCAATTTTTTTTTAAATTGTACAGGGTGATCCCTTAAAAAAATTAAAAATGTGGTTATGTAGGTACTAAAAAATACCTTTTTTCTACTTATAAAGAAAACTGGAAAATTGTTCAGTATACAGGGAAAAACAAAAAGTTTATTTTTTTTCAATGGATCACCCTATATGTATTTATTTTTTGATACCTTGTAAAATTCTAAGCATATTTCATATAACACACCATATATGTAAATTCAACCGTTTCTCAAATATTTAAATTATTTTTAAGATAATAAGTTGAAATGGTTTGTCTTTTTCTGTCTGAGTACGCCATTTTTACTTATTTAACAAGACATATTGACATACTGTCACTATAGTAATTTATTTTCAATAAAAATTTTGGTATACTGAGGCTTCTTGATTTCTAACAGTTAATGATAACATTTCGAATGCGAATATTTCGGGAACGGTTGAATTTAGGTATATCGTTTGTTATATGAATTATGCTCAGAATTTTACAAGGAATCGAAAAATAAATTCATATATAGGGTGATCCATTAAAAAAAAACTTTTTGTTTTTCCCTGTATATAAATCAATTTTTTTTATACGTAGAAAAAAAGTATTTTTTAGTACCTACATAACCACAATTTTTTGGGGCACTTAAAATAAAAAAGTTAAAGGGGGGCGACATTATAGGGGATCACCCTGTACTTAAATGTTTACTACATACAAAAAAATATATAAAAAATTAAGTGAATTCACTCAATTCTTTTTTTTGTTTTTTCTAAGAAAGGCAGCAAAAAAATTGAGGTCAAGATTTTGACATTGCTACATTTTTTTTTACTTCAAATTGTCTAAATTCGTCATTTCAGAATAATTATTTTTTAATGAAAATGCCATTTTCTAGTAAATCGCAAATTTTTTTTTATCTTATATATTATTTTTGCATCAAAATTGTCAAATATATTCTTCTATTATTAGGCTATACATTAAATAAAAAAAATCGCAAGACATATTTTATAAAAGTAGAGATAATTTCAATAATTGACAGGGGTGGACGGGACTAGATAAATCTTTTTTTTGTCCCATCCACCCCTTTCAATTATTAAAATTATATCTACTTTCATAAAATATTTCTTGCGTTTTTTTTTTATTTAATGTATAACCTAATAAAAGAAGAATATTTTTGACAATTTTGATGCCAAAATATTATACATACATATAATAAATAATCTATAATTTTTTTTATAAAAACAGTTTTGTAATTCGTGCGTTTCGCGCGCTTGAAATGGCCGAACTTCTGATTTCAGCGAAAATTCTCTCTAAATTATTAGAGATTTTAAAGTAAAATGTAAATTCTTAATATTTTTGCATGTGTTATAAGTAGGTATAAGTTAATAAGTTAATTTTGGTCCCGCCTCATATTTTAATTATTAAATACTAAAAATAAGATAAAATGTAAATAAGTAACAATATAAATTGTTAATTTGTTGTTATAATGGCAAAATTAAGGTTTAAAAATGTCATACTTTAGTGTTTCTTAACTTTGCAGCGCAAAATTTAAAATGACAATAATTTTTTACACTGCACTGTTGCTGTCATGTCGTCACCCTAATATAACAAGGTTTTATGTTAAAAAAACGAAAAATTTAAGTCTATGTTTCTACAGAATTATACGTGGCCTACGCTTCACATATATACCACTTAAAAATTATTCTATAGAATGTATATTCTATATATACATATGTATATACAGGGTGAGTTTTAAGTTGACGCGTTCCTTTTTACAACGTGTAGAAATCAGATAAACAAATAAATATTTTAAGTAACTTTTTTATCAAAACTCAAAAATAAGAGAGTTATAGGCCTTCCAAGTTTAATTAAATTTTGAGCCGGTCCTGGCTATTCTTGACAAAAAACATAACCATAAAAATAAAAATAACAAAATAAACAATGCAAAATGTCATCTATGACAACAAACATAACCATTTAAATCAAAATGACATTTAGCAATAAAAAATGTCAGTTTTTTGAATAATGAATTAGTGGAAATGTTACTAATTTATGGAGAGTGTCGTCAAAATGCAAATGCTGCAACTTAAGTAAATAATGACATTTTTTATTGCAAAATGTCATTTTGGTTTAAATGGTTATGTTTGTTGTCATAGATGATATTTTGCATTGTTTATTTTGTTATTTTTATTTTTATGGTTATGTTGTTTGTTAACAATAGCCAGGACCGGCTTAAAATTTAATTAAACTTTGATGGGATATAACTTTTTTATTTTTGAGTTTTGATAAAAAAGTTACTTAAAATATTTATTTGTCAAGCTGATTTCTACACACTGTTAAAAGGAACGAGTCAACTTAAAACTCACCCTGTATAGAGTTATTTTCAAGTTGTATGTCAAGGGTGGATTACATAAAACCTTGTAGAAGCATAAACTCAAATTTTTCGTTTTTTTAACATACAACCTTGTTAAATTAGGGTGACGATGTCCTACTGTTATTTATTTTTAAACTCTTCAAATGCAGATACTACCTCAACAAAAATGTTGCAAAATATCAAAAAAATGAGGACGTTTTTCATTTTTACATTGTATTCTTTTTCATATTTAAAAACGTACAAACTGCTCTCATCAAAAGGCAACAATTCTTTTAATATTTTTGTCTGTGAAAAAAATCTTCTTGAAGAGGCAAAAATTCAAAAACTGATGTTTTATGTTTTATCCTCAGGGTTAAACTTGATAGGGCGGCCCTCCCGCGACCCCTACCAGCCGCAGCAGACCGGCGTGCTGGGGACGCCGGGCGCCTTCGCCATGGAATGCGACCCCTCCCCCTCGACGCGCCACCCGCACGCGACCCGCCCCCAGCAGCCGCCCCCCTCGCGCTTTCTCCCGCAAGGGGCGGCGGCGTTGGTGGCGACCCCCGGCGGCAACTACGTGCCCTACGTGAACAACGTGGCGACGCAGCAGCCGCCCAAGGGGGCGGCCAACGCCGCCGCCGCCTCCTCCTCGGGGGACTCGAGGGGAGACGACGCCAGTCCGATGGTGGGGGTGTGCGTGCAACAGAGCCCCGTAGTCATACACTGAGTTGAAAATAATAATAATAATAAAGATAGAACAATTGCAGGTGAGATACTAAAGTGCGCGTGCTCAACAAAAGTGATACAACCCCCCTCGAAGTACGCTGCGTTACAAAATTAGAGGTTTATATTGAAATTTACCATTTTTGTACATCTCTTAATACACTGGGATCATTTTTATTTTTTTTAGTATTATACTTAAATAATATCATTAACCTTTGCTTTCTCTGTATATTTTTTTGGTACACCTTGTATATACATTTTAAACAAGAAAACAAACTAGTACTAAATAATACTAAAAAAACAAACAAATCAACTTAGTATATTAGGAAATATATCAAGTTAAATAAATGTTCAGTATCCTCCAATTTTGAAACTCAATAAAAAAACTAAAATAATGATGTGATTTTTCCGAGTTATCATGTAAATAGTCTTAACAATTCAACAAAAAAAGTGTCGAATCGTTATATCAATGTTTCTTACACTTACATATAGATAACACTGGGAAGCAAAAAGTGACAATGGTTTAATATTATTTAAAAACGTTTCAAAGAAATAATATACGAAATTAAAATAAAACAGTTTTAGTCAGATTTATTTGTTGTTTAAAAAACCTGCCGCAGCACAATACGTTAAATATATGAAAAAAACAAATCGAACAAAAAATCGTTTTGGATCTTTTTTATAGACAATTTAACACGATTTAAAATTAAGTACCTAGGTATAAGCCACAAAGTGATCTTGAGCCTTTGGCACTTTTTTTGCTTCTCCCAGTAAAATAAGTTACACATTCACACACAAAATGTTCATTCAAACATGATTATCTATCTTATATTTAAAAAAACCGAATCAAGACTGTGACGACTTTGAAAAAGCGAAATTTTATTTCCTAAATATCAAGTTAACAGTTAACGCCAAAAAGTTAAACCATGCTCTGAAATAGGGAGAAAATCTGGAAAAAACTTTGAAGGTTCAAAAAATATTATTGATATTTATTGTTTTAAACCCGCATGAAAAAAATAATTTATAAAAAGACTGCAACATATTTATTACCTACAATTTTTTTAAAGATTTTTTCTATTTTCGTCCTATTTTGCGATGTGGATTATTTTTTGGCACACACACGCATGTACATGGTGTTCCAAAATTGGGCGTCAACTAGACTTTAATTGAAACCAAAAGTTGGTTCCTAAAATTATAATTCTGCTCCAAGAATGAACGATATTTATTATTTTTTTTTTAAACAAGCTTAAGACTGATAAACCATTCATAGAAATATTTTATTGCATGTTTTTTTATTAATAATTGACAAATCTCTATTTGATTGCCCTTATTTTGGACACTATTCCATACATTATAGTTATATCTTAATATTGGCTCTGGATTTAATTGTTTTATAATTGTTGCTAAAATCAAATTTTTATTTATCCGAATAATAATAATAAATAAAGTATTACAGATTTTGACAATCTAAAAATTGTTTTATTTGACATAAAAAACCGTTAAGAAGTCAATTAACGCCTAAAATACTTAAGTAGCTTTTGCACCAACTATATAATGTAACAACACAAATATTTTAATATATTTTTATATAAAATTTAGCGAATATTAGCGATATTAGCTTACACTGTACTGCAATAGAATTTCATAGAAAAAACGTGATATACATAATAACAGGGATATTTAGCGATTTGATTTTGGCAAACCTGTCTGTGTACATTTGTGTAACTCACCGGAGTCAATAGCATGAAATATGCATCTAAAATTTGAGTACAGTGCCAAATACATATAAAAACAAGTTTTTGGAAAAATCAGCCTTTTTAAAAACCTCGATTTTATTAATTACATTTAATTACCTATATGGAATCAGATGCATATCTAATGTTGAAGCATTTCTTTTTATAAATGATTATTTATTAGTGTCTTTTTATAAAAAGTGACAATTTATGTTTTATACAAGATTTTTTTAAATTATTTGATAAAGTTTTTGTATTATTAATTATAAAATTAACTTTCATATAATTGAATAAAACTGCAATAAATTAATTAAAATATTTTGTATATTTTCATAAATTGTCTAATACAACACATAAAAGTTATTTTATGAAGAGTGTATAAAGACAACTTAAATGGCGCGTAAAAAATAGTGAAAAAACATACCTAATAAAAAATGTGATATTGAAACTGTAGTTTTTACTAATTTTAGTGATTTTGCCATTAAAATTCTTTTTTAAAATCTTTTTATGTGTTGTATTACATTTATTAAAAAACCCGGGACTATTTTTAAATGTATTTTATTTCTGTTTTAACTAATTTATTAAGTGCATTTAAAATGTGTCCTAAATTTTGACATGTCAAAAATAAAAAGGGGGCCTATAATTTTTGTGTAATGAAAAAAAAATCCTCAATATTATTGACATATCAAAATACGTTCATTCCAAACAAAATGTACTGAAAACTAATTTTTTTGTATCACACTGTATATGTACATGAATATAAAAAGACTGCAAGCAAAACTAAAACAAGTGAAAAAGTGTATGTGTTCTCTCGAAAAATTATGATTTTTTTGTTTTTTTTTCGTTTCTTAGCAACTGACTAGTATTTTTGTGTACAGTCCCTTCCCCTTACCCACTCAATCCGCCCCCAAAAAATGAAAATATCGATTTAGTTGATGGAATAAATAACCTAGATCGTTTTCATGCCATCACCTGTAACTTCCTATTGCTCTTTAATAAATTTAAAATTGAATAAAACTTTTAATTTTACCCCTGAATCACCCATATTACAAGTTTATTTGAAAACAGTACTCCTTTAATTTGCTTATTAGGCAACCCAGATTACTCTTACGCGAATCGTGTTTGCCTACGGTATTCCATCCTGGATGCTTACTTGATTTATGTTTTTAATAAATTTTATGGCATTAAAATTCAAAATTTTTGTTTGTTTTTTTACACCAATAAACCAATATTAATGTGGTTTACCATATTGTCATCTGATCGTTTAGGAAAATTTCTTGATGATTCAATTATTAAATTTAAATAATTTAGACATTTATTTTGTATGTTTTAATTTATTTTTGTCCAAAATGGTCTCGTAATTTATGTGTAAATATCAGGTCCTTGTAATTATTATTTAAATATGAAACATGGCTTTGGACATTTTTTATGGGTTTGTTTTTTATTAATATTCTATATACAGGGTGTTTCACATTCTTGGTCCATTAGAGGTTTTTTAAAATATTATTTAAAAGTTTCCATGCCAATTCTTTAACATTTTTCAACAAATTACCTACCTGAGAAAACGGTGGATTTTATGTATACCAATATCTCAGTTATTAGACATATGGGACCCACACCCAATTTATATGAGTTTATAATGACATTAAATAAACAAGTTTTTTATTAAAACCATTTATATTTTTTATATAGGTACCTACCTACATTTTATATTTTTATTATACTGCAGATTATTTGCAAAAGTGGCGAATGCGCCGGGAGTAATGCAAAAATTTAAATAACTCATCTTATTTAAATATTGAATATAATTTTTAACTTGGGGGTACATTAAGGTATGGTAATTAAATTAAATTTTAAGTTTGATAAATAATTTATAACTTCAACAAAATAACAAACATTTCAAAACAAATTTACCTACTATTAGTTTATAATGACATTAAATAAACAAGTTCGGCGCAAACAGAATTTAAATTGAAGTTTGCGAAAAAAAGTTATTTTTCCTGTTGCCTCACACGCCTCCAGGCCCCCCTATTTGAGATAATTCAAATTAAAGTGGTGCAATTTATTATCTACTATAATTTATCGACAAATTTAAAATTTTATTTAAAAAATCCAAATATTACAGGTTATATAGGTACCATTTTAAATATTTTTTTACTCTTTTTTTCGCAAACTTTAATTTAAATTCTGTTTGCGCCGAACTTGTTTACTTAATGTCATTATAAACTATTATAAATTTGGTGTGGGTCCCATGTCTAATAACAGATATTTGTATACCCAAAATCCATTAGCCGCCACTTGCACTGTGCAATTTAGGCTAACTTAAAAGTTTAATATCTTTTTATTTTAAAAGTAACACCCGGTATGTTTTTACTTAATCAAATAGTAAATTAAAAACCCTTTGATTGATTTTACTATTGCCTATACCTAAAGTTAATAATTTCAGAGATATTTAACAATTTCTAACATTTTAAATATTATTTTGCATAAAGAAACCTGTGACGGGCGAGTTGACGGTATCTATGGTTACCACGTAATCTGATATTGTTCAAAATTTATTGGTGTTAAATTTTTAGGTTAAAAGTGGTCTTTTAGTTCCACCCTTACTTCTTAAAAAAGTCCCATAAGCCAACTGAATGGCTTGTGCGGGTTAGGAGTAGGAACGGACCGCGTGCTTAAAGTCCCCTCCGAAGGACTATTACACAATAGGACAACACAAATAAACAGCTATAACCCTGGTGGGATTCGAACCCACGACCTCCGGCTTGTAGTCAGCAGCACTAACCACTAGACCACCGTCGGTTATATCTAACAATTAATTACACTGTAGGTAAATTTTCAACTCTTGAAATATCACAGCTAAACGCTCGGACACGTAAACATAATTTTTGGTCATAGATTCCAAATCTGTGCTCGGTTTAGCTGTATCAGGTCTAAAAAAGTTTCTTTCTATTGGCAATCCGATCCGGACACACACTGTATACTGATATATTATAATTTTTAAAATAATATATTTCACCTCCTGTGCCAACATTCCCATGCTTTTTATTTTGTTTAATTTAATATCCTCAATTATGCTCAATAAAAAAAATCAACAAAAAAACATTTTGAATTTCCTAAATTATCTAAGAAACCTCAGGGACCTTTTGATCAATTTACTTCAAATTTTTAATTTGAAACTGATGTGTGGGTCCAGCCAAATTGAATTTTTTTAAATTTATACAGGGTGTTTCCAATATCATTGGTTTTGACCCAATACAGCTAAACCAAGCACGGATTTGTAATCTACGACCAAAAATTAAGTTTACGTGTCCGAGCGTTTAGCTGTGATATTTTCACCTCCCTACATAACAGTGTTATTAATATATTAGCGTTATAACGCTTTTAAAATTTCAAATCGATATTTTTTTTCCTTATTTGTCAGGTACATGAACGTGAAAAGTTTTTTAAATAATTTTGATTTGAAATACATAATAATCATTAGGTAATGGGATTTGCTAAAATTAAATGTGACAATATTTTTATTCTATTTTATATTGATTTTTCAATTTATTTTTCTAAAAATTTTGTTTTTAATTTTTTAAGTTGGTGTTTTAAAAAACGTTGAATTTTTTTATTAAAACCATTTATATTTTTTTATATACCTACCTACCTACATTTTATATTTTTTATGATACTGCAGATTATTTGCAAAAATGGAGAATGCGCCGGGAGTAATGCAAAAATTTAAATAACTCATCTTATTTAAATATTGAATATAATTTTTAACTTGGGGGTACATTAAGGTATTGTAATTAAATTAAATTTTAAGTTTGATAAATAATTTATAACTTCAACAAAATAACAAACATTTCAAAACAAATTTACTACTATAGTATATTATACTTATAAGTATAATCTATTAATCTCAGGTACCCACTTTATGATTTAAAAACATGACGAAAAGCTTTTTTCGGAAAACATTGACCATGTTAATTAAAAGCTTAACCCCAAATACTAATATTGTTTTTGTGTGTTTTTGTGTCTATCATAAACAACGTTTTCAATTAAAAACACCTACAGATTTGTTCACAAAATTTAAATAAAAAACAAAAAAAAAAGTTTTCACCTTTCCACCCGCAAAGTTGAGGTTAAACTTTTCTTATGTGCTCAAAAAGATGTATGCAATGGTAAATTTTGTCCTAATTTTTTTTAATTGATTGTATACCTATAGGTACCAAAATGTATTCTTCTAAAGACGTTTTTTTTATTTTTATACCTATAAAACGTTTTAAATATTTTTTAACATTAAAGTAGCATTCTTCCCATTCCAAATTATTATTTATCATTGAAAATGTTTATATTATTCGAGCGCCTTTATTAATAAATTACAACAACTTCTTATCTACAAGACGCAAACATCATTAAAATATTTATAAATATAAATACTATTTCTTGACATATCATTTAATTTTATGTCAATTTTTTTTTAAAAATACTGCAAATTATAATGTTTAATTTTAAAAACAAATAAAAATGTTATTGGCTGAAACTGTTACTTTTTTTTACAAAAAAGGAGAAAAACATTGAAATTGCAATAACAAATTTAGTTTGGAATTTTATAGAAAGGATAAAATAGAACAGTTCTTTACGAATCCTTAAAATTTGACCCAATGTGGAGGGGTTTTATCAAATTTAAAAATATATTTATTTTATTTTTCAGCATTTCAAGTGAAATTTAATTAGAAAATATATTTTTTAGGATGTTTTTAAGTATTTCACGGGCCTGTAATGTGGACATGTCTGGTTTTGAAACAAATCAAATAACAACAGAGTAGGGGGGGATTGTTCAAAAATCACCTTGCAGCGTTTCAATTGGCCAGTACGCGGTCCGCATAGCAACGGTACACTTTCGTTTGTTCGTAGTTTCGAGTCCCAAACACGTGCGATTTGTTTATATCCCATTACCTCTTTGAAATTTCCTCAAAATCGGACAAATTTACGTAATTATTGTTTTATAAGTGAAATGTTTCAATAATTGCATCAGCGAATGCGTTCAAGTGAGACTGGCTATGATTTCCTGATTTTTGATGGAAAAAAAGTAAACAAACTTAAAAGTGAGTAATTATTTTAGGATTTAGGTTATTATGCGAGTAGAATTATAGGAAATTACTAGAAAAAATACTCTAAACAGTAGTAGTAGTTCGATACATAACAAACTTGTGAAGCAAATAAAACATGTAAACCATGGTGCATTTCTTTTTTTTGTTTTTATGGCACAATTACTTACCAACAAAATTAGCTCCTTTTTTAGATTTTGTTTTCGTTAAGTTAATTGACAGTTTTATTGGTACCATTTTGAAAATTTTATTACGCTATTGTTATAAAATAAGCTATATAATTATTGATAAACTTATCATTTTTTAATTAATTATGTACCTATATCAGTGGCCTACAGTTTGGTACAATGAACTTATTGATACAAGAAGAGACAATTTAGTAAATAAAATAACATTATATTCTATATTAATAAATTTAATTAACAGATGATGGTTTATCCTAATAGGTGTAATTGTTTTGTGAATGCAATCCTACTATTAAATTATATTTACTTATTGAGCTAACTTTTTATTTGGATTTAAATATTACAAGGTACTTTGTAAAAATAAGAATATAAAATAAAATAATAAAATAGGTTTAGAAAAATGCATAGCTAAATTGTATTTTATGTTGTAACCAAATATTACCAATTATTTTGATACATTACCAAAAAAACCTTGTAAATATTACAAAGTATGAATACCTACATAGGATATAAGTCACGGCAATTAAAATTATAAAATTGTTTTAAAACGGAAGCATGGATTTTATTAATCTAGTAATAAAATTCTGTAACGAAATTATTAAAATTTTATTTTTATCACTATTTGATTACACTCGACAAATTAAAGTAATTTCTTATCTAAAGCTCTTCTTAAAGTATTGTTAAGTCTTATCTGGTTTAGTTTTAATTTATATTTTAGAAGAAACAGTTATAACTAATCTATTATTGAAGGTGAGTGTATTTTTTTTTGGTTTTCTTTCTACAGAATTAAGCAAGAAAAGTTTAAAGTCATATGACTTATGAAAGTAGGTATTTTAGCAAATTTGTCTTTAGGTTTATAGGAATTGCTTATAAAAAAATAATAGAAAAGAATAAATTATTCTCAATGCTCACTGAGTTTTCTTTAATTATGTATTTACATGCCATTTAAAAGATTTCACTTTTTTGTTCGTGGTATTTTATAAAAGTAATTTTTTTAAATTTATTAAAATATACATATGTATGTACAAAATTGAGAACAATTTATTTAATTTGAACAATTTTTCATTATATCTTAAACAATTTAAGTAGGTAATTGATTTAATCATGTTGTTTGATTTAATTCGTATATCCGTCCAATTTAAAAAAAATTGACAATTTTTTTACAAAATAAAATTACCTAATTGTTTATGTAATCTCTGTGTAATTTTAGAACAATTTGCTAGTTGCCAAATTAATTTAATACAGCTATTAAATATATAGGTACTAATTTGTTTTGAGGTTTTTTATTTACTTGATTAAAATTAGGTTTACAAATTTTTCTTTTAGTTTATTAATATGTCGGTGAAGGAATGGTTTCGGCAGCTTCAGCCGGTGCAGCTGTATGTAATCCTCACCATTACGATTTTATTTTTCATCGTTGAACTGGTGGTCAGCCATATAACGCACAGCCTCACTTTATTAATGGACTCCTACCAGATGCTTTGCAATATATTCGCCTTAACGGGATGCCTCATATCAATAAAGGTAAGGCTTTATGGGAATAAAAGTTGTCTGGTGTTTTTTAAAGGCAGGATGCTGTAAATTTGTTGTTATTAATAGTCGAGTTGATTTTGATACAACGTCACTTAAGGGGAGCAACCGCTCACATACTTCACTTGCAGTTTTTTAAGTTAACTTAAATAAATAAATTAAGGTTTCTGTTTGTTGCACTGGTATTTTTGTGGAAACAGTCTTGTTTATTATAATTATAAACAACCAAATAACCTTAACAGTAGCGAGAAGCAAGCATATCTGTTGTTTCCCTTAATAGAATTTAATGAAAGTAAAGTTGGATTGAATGGCATTACAAAAATAGTCTTTTGTGTGTGTATTTTAACAAGTATATCTTTATATTTAACTGTTGTGTCGAGTGCAAAATAAATGTTTTGTAACTCAAAAAAAACAATAATCTTATCTTGAAACTTCTGCATAACAATTTGGTTTCATGTGAAATATTTAACCTAAATTCTCTTTCACACATAAAACACTGAGATACCCGAAAAAATATGGTTTTCGGTGCCTATAGATATATTTAAAAATTGACAATGTATGACGTTTTGCTTTTATTTACAAATAATTAAAATTTTACCAAAGGTATAAAAATAATTATTACAAAATACCTACTCTTTTTAATATTATCATGCCTATTTTAGCGTTTTTCAATGTTTTTTATTAATTTCTTTTTATAGGTAGGTATTTAGAAATTATAAACATCATGCTGATTCTTACAACACACAAACATTTTTAATGACAAGTTATCTAATAGGTAATCGAACGTCGTATACATTATTATAATAATCTTCACATTAAAAAGTGGGACTCTTAAGCATTTATTAACCTACTATTTATAATAATTTATTATTGTTGTCTCTAAAAAAATAAAAAACGTCAAAACACTTTCTTGACCTAAAAACACAAAATTTGATGTATTTTTATTGAAATTTATTTTTTGTTATTACATCAAAAATTCAAAACTTTTTTTTCTTGTAGCGCGGTTCTCATTCCACCACCCTGAACGGCAACAGCGCAAATAAATCCGACAGCGTTGCCAGTAATATAGGGGAAGAACTGACGTCGAAAAACCCCAACGGTTGTCAGGATACGAGCCAATCGAAAGCCTCGAAAGCAAAACAAAACAAGTTGAAAAACACTTTTGGTTGGGCCAGAATTGACGTGCTATCCATGTTGTTTTGCTGCGTTTTTCTCGCGTCAGTGTGTTTCTCCACGTTTATCGAAGCTATACAGACTTTGGTGCATATAAGTCATCAGGATGAGATGCACCATCCCATACCGATTTTGTGTATAGGTATTAAGATCCCTTAAGATAAGATTTTTTGACTTTGGGGAATGCCCCCTTAAGTCGTTAACATTTTGTTTGGTTTTTGCTACCTAACATATAAAAAACATTTTGGCATTGTGTTTAAAGTTGTAGTATCCATTTCACTCATTAATTTTTAAATATCTCCACTAAATAACAAATAAACTTAGTGTTTACAAAATCGTATATTTTTCTTCGGTTGGTAGCACCATAGAAAAAGTATATAGCACGGTAGCACGGTAATAAACAGCAAGTTTTCTTGCCATTGCCGGCTGTAAAACAACATGCAAGACGGCCTTGAAAACTAGATGGCAAGAAAAATTGCTGCAAGAAAAATTGCTGCAAGAAGAATTGCCGGCTGTAATACGGCTTTAACACACAAAGATAATTCTTTAATAAAAAATAAAACATTATTAGTATGAACATTATTTATCTTGATATTTTGCCAACATTTTAAATTTTAATTTTAAACATTAATTTAAAAAAAAAATTCAAAATATTCTTTTTTACTAGTAAAAGCTTTTTTCTCCAAAGTGAACAGCAATAAGCTAAGCTAAGCAGACTTTTTTAAACAGTTCTTTTCCGCGAAAGACCCCTTAAAACAAGATTTGTATGCCTTAAGTGTCCATTTAGAAAAGTTCTAACATTTTTACAATTTTTTAGGTTGCTGCGGACTCGTAATAAACGGCCTTTCGTATCTTTTAATCGGTGGATTTACTTTCCATCAAGGCAGCTTTTTGTACGTCACAGCAAGCGGTGACGTTGTATTGAACAAAGTGGTGGTAGGCGATGTAAGGAGTGGCGCAAGGAGGCTATCAAGGACCAAAAATGTCCGACCTTCGAGTTTAAACCCTAGAGAAAGACAGGGCGTAAAAGAAATGATAAGAGACGTGGCTAGTAGGTTTTTTATTATTATGAGTTACCTTTGTATCATTTTGATTATTTTTAGGCTGCGTTTTGGTGATGATTTGCGCTGTATTGGTGTATATTGCAAATAAAAATGAATACGCAAAATATATAGACCCTATAATAGCTCTAATATCAGTGGCGAGTCTTAGTATTTTAAGCTATCCTTACAGTAAGTTTTGATATACAAATTAACACATAATTACTACGTAATATTGTATTTTTAGTGAAGGAAAGCTGTTTTATACTATTGCAAACAATCCCAGACACCATCGACATAGAATACCTCAAACAAGAGCTTTTAAATCATTTCCCCGAAATTCTCAACGTCCACGATTTTCACGTGTGGCAACTAACAGCCTCCAAGATAATTTCCACTGTACATATTATTTTCCAAAACCCAAAAGTATATCATAGAATCATGAACGACGTAAATGAATTTTTCATTGAAAATGGAATCACGCAGGTGACGATTCAGCCTGAATTTTTCACGAGTGCTGAAAGTATTGAAAGTTTGGAGTCTGAAAAGGCGCCGCTATGTTTAGTGCCTTGTCAATGCGAAGGATGCCAAATGAAGATGTGTTGTAATCAGACTGATGTAAGTGATTTTTTAAATTTTTCTTACCTGTGTGTAATTAATTTCAGATTTTTTTCACGTATTGTATTGTGTAAACACAAATATCCTCTTGCATTCATAATTTAAATGACGACCTTATTTTTATTTTATTATGTAATAACTACCTAATTACTGTCTGTCCACTCTAAGTTGGCGGAACTAAGGAATTTTGTAGTTTAGATATTAAAGAATTGTCGTACTGTGTGCTTTTAAAACAGATTTTATATTATAAATAATACTAGTACATATTATATACTAGTATTATTTATAATATAAAATCTGTTTTAAAAGCACACAGTACGACAATTCTTTAATATCTAAACAACAAAATTCCTTAGCTCCGCCAACTTAGAGTGGACAGACAGTAATATGCACAAGACTCTTCTTTTATTTAGACTTTGACCTGACTGTTGTTTAATAAATCTTGGAGGAAAACTTATCTGCCATATTTTTTCAGGGTTTGAGTTTGAGGTCCTCAAGAGAAATTATTGACCCATCGGTGAAAAAATCGACGGAAACTTTAAATTCAAACAAGACTGAGGATGAAGCAGTTAAGCCAAATGGGGTTATAGTGACCCCCATGTAAATATGTGTAACAAAATTTTGACTGATAATTTTTAGTTTTAGTTTGTAAATCTTAAATATTATTTGACTACTACTCTCAGGTTATAAAAGAAAATTTTATTGTTTATGCACTTTTTTTACAAAAAAAATTATGTTGCATATAACTGTACTGTACTGTATATTTTAATAAATTTATTGACCAATAATTTTTACTGTATATTTTAATAAAATTATTGACCTATATTTTTTTATTTTAGTTTTATTGTAATTTTTTAAATGTTCTACCCTATCAAAATTATTGTCAAAATTAGTTTTAAAACTTCTCAACCAGCGTTTCCAATCAGGTACCTATACTTTTACAAAATATACTATTTAAAGTAAAAACAAAACAAAATATTATATTATATATAATATATAATATTATTAAAAATATGCGCCACCAGACGAAGTCTTTGTAATTTTGGACGCAAAACATGCGTTATAGACAGGAAGAAAATGAAAAAATAAATGAAATTTCAAATGAAAAATATAGGAACCCAAATCACACGCTGTGAATTTAAATTTTTTCCCATTTTTTAAATTTGTCAAACTACGAATTTTTCCTACCATTTTTTAAATTTGTCCCACTGTGCGAATTTGTCCTCTCATTTTAAAAATGTATCCCACTGTGCGAATTTTGCCTCCAATTTATTAAATTTGTCCCACTGTGCGAATTTTTCCTCCCATTTTTTAAATTTGTCCCACTGTGCGTTTTGTAGGTAGGCAACCCAATTGGTACATGGCGTCAGCGCCATCTATTTCAGTATGACTAAACTAAAAATGAAAAAGTTTTGCAGTTTTAGTTGAGCCATTCTGGGATAGATGGCGCTGCTACTTAAGATGTTGTAGGTAGGCAACCCTTTTACCACATGTTCGTTTCTGGATTGCCTACCTACAAAGTGTTGTTAGCAGCGCCATCTATCCCAGTATGGCTGAACTAAAACTGCAAAATTTTTGGTAGCGATATTGGGTTTGGATATTTTTACATTTTTTCATTTTTAGTTTAGTCATACTGAAATAGATGGCGCTGACGCTGTAGGTAGGCAATCAAGTAACGAACATGTACCAATTGGGTTGCCTACCTACAAAACGCACAGTGGGACAAATTTAAAAAAATGGGAGGAAAAATTCGCACAGTAGGACAAATTTAATAAATTGGAGGCAAAATTCGCACAGTGGGATACATTTTCAAAATAGGAAACGAACAAGGCCTAAATTGGTTACCTACCTACAAAACGCACAGTGGGACAAATTTAAAAAATTAAAGGACAAATTCGCACAGTGGGATAAATTTAAAAAATAAATGGACAAATTCTCACGGTGAGACAAATTTAAAAAATAGCATAGCCACAGACCTTGTTTGTAGGTGCCGTGCTTAATGAAAACGCCGTAACCAACAATTTTGCGCAGGATGAATTGTTCTAGTAGAAAATGCCGTAAACCAAAAATCGCAAAATTGTTGGTTACGGCGTTTTCATTAAGCACGGCAGCATAGCAAATTCGCAAAGAGAGATAAATTGAAATATTTGATATTGAGAGGACAAATCCGCACAGTGGGACAAATTTAAAAATACGTAGGAAAAATTCGCAGTGGGATAAAATTAAAAATTGAGGACAAAACCGCACAGTGGGACAAAAATTGAAGGACAAATTTGCACAGTAGGACAAATTTAAAAAATGGATTTGTAAAATCCTTGTTCGAAAACATCTGAACGCTTTTAAAATAGATGGCGCTGCCAACAATATTTTGTAGGTATATAGGCAGGCAAGTAATGAACATGTTCCAAATCGGTTGCCTACCAACAAAATCCATCTAAGTAAAATCCATCTAAACAGCAAAATTTTTGATAGCGTTTTGGTTATTTGTATATAAAAACGGCATACGTTTTATTTTTGTTGTAAAAACTATTTTACAATTTTTAACTGATTTTAAATTGTAACTTACCTAGAACTTGTGGTAGATAGAAAATTTTACCGAGAGAAATAAAAACAAGAAAAAATTGTATTTTTAAATATTTATTCAAAAAACCGATAATATAATAACTTACAAATTAAAAACAACCTCGGTACAATTTAAATAAAAAACAGTTCCAAAAATACACGAGCTCAGTTGGCTCTTGCAACCCTGAATAACCATATACATATGTAAAACTTAAGGCAATATAAGTAATAACTATAGGATAAGAAATATTTCAATATTTGCAACTGTTATTGTGTAGTAGCTACTACAAGTAGAGTTAGTTAATATGTAGTTGGATTAGAGCTTAGCTCTACACAAGTAGGTATAATAATTAATTGTAATAATACATATATATAATATCGTAAACTACTATGTATATGTATATGAATATGTACGTATTTAAAAGTGGTTGATTTTAAAAAATTAAAAAACGCGAATTTTGTAAGTTTGTTGTTATGAGGTTAAGCAGAGACACAAGAGTGCTACTTAAAGGTACATATAAACTGGCCAAGCCAGAATCATCATTATTACATATAATAATAATTAATAATAATAAGTAGTGATTGATTGTATTACAGAGGATTTCCTTTTAAAACGTCGTTGCAGAATGTATTCGAACCCGGAAAAACAGCAACCTACCTTCTCTACTCATTACTCATACGAATAAGAAATAAAAAAAACAAGCAGTACAAAGGTTCATGGCGGCGGGGAAAAGGGGGTACGTTCTGCAACGAGGCGCACATCAAAAATATTTCTATCAAAAACTTGTTAAATGCCACAGATCGACTGCTCATTATTTTTTGTGAATTTTTTTTTTATTTTTTGAAAGAGGCGGGTAACACACAACTTGCCGAAGATTCAATATAACAACGATCAAACAGCTTCTCAACATCTATAATCAAAAAATGTCAAAGGTTATTATTATTGTAAAGCGGTGGCCGCTCCATATGGCTGCTTCCTCTTTCCCTGTCCGTCAGCTTTATACAATATACGTTTGTTGCTTCTTAATAATAGTAATTAATACAGAGCTTAGCAAATATAATTATTCTTAAAACACTAAAAAATCTTTGGAAAGAGATAACAACATCATTAAAAAATGTATACATTTCTTAATTCGTTTAATATGACAGGACTAAGACACAGTGAATTTATTCGTTTTTCATAAAATTGCGCGCGCGCGCGTGCGCAACACAACCTGGTGTCACCTTTGTTTATTAAATTTTGCGCACTTTTCGCGGGAGATAAAATATTCAACATGATATGTTTGCCATCCATACTAAACGTTTGTACTTTAAAAATGACTATAATATATAACATTTTATTTATCCGAATTAATAATAGTAATAGTAAAATAGGGTCCGACTGCATGCTTCAATGGGCTACATGCATATTTTATTTTTGTTTTAATGCGATTTTATGATTTGAAAAATTCCCATCCAATCAGAATTTCATTAGAACCTACTCTAAGACATTTTTATAGTCCTGACTTAATCTAAATAAGACATTTAGTTTTTTGTCCAAAAGTGCCCTAAAATTGTCTATTGATAAAAATGTTTCAAATCACAAAATGCTACATTAAAATTATATAAAGCCCATTATTTTTATAAAACGTCAACCCACATCGATAAAATCTACCAGCTACCATTAAGTACTACACATTTAATGGAGAGATGGTAAAGAATTATTTTTTTACAGAGGCTTATTTAATTCCGATGATAATCAAATCCTCACAACCATTTTTTAAAATGGGTCAACAACAGGGTGTAGGGGCATTACTTTTTAGGTGGGACACGTAAAACGACATTACATTCAGATATTTATTGATTATTATTATTTTAGCATTAATATTAATAAATATATTTAAATATATATATATATATAAGTAGTAGTCGCTGTTTTTAAAAGTTGTAAAGGTACTACGACCGACATTTTTTTTTGTTTTTTCATTTTCAGTTAGGCGCTGTTGAAAATCAAACCTACTAATATCTAGTTTTCCTACTAGAGAATTAATGAATGATTACAATTAGTAGGAGTTTTAACAACGTTAATAATAATATGTATAGTAAAATAATACAAATAAAAAATATACATGGAATGATAATTTGCTTCACCCCAATACTGACTGAAAATACTTATTGCTAATGAATATTATTAATAATTATTTCAGGGCGTGTATAACGTATAACGTCACCCGTCAAATAATTGGAAAAACTGAGAATATAAATATGTATATGTATACTAGTCAGCTTTTTTCATGTTTCACTTTTAGTCATGTATAAATATTAAATATGGCAAAATTACTGGTATACGAGTATCTAAAAAACACTTGGTACATACACTAAGACTTGTGATTGTAAAATCATCAAAAAATCTATCACATTGATAATGTATTAATATAATTTAATTCTTTTTTTTTACTTTTTCTTTTGTATCAATCAAAAAATTGACAAACGATAAGAATAAAAACTGTTACTACAATATTTTAAACTCTCTCACTAACATCACATGAAACAGTTTGATCCAATGAAGATGTGTCTTTTTTTACTGTACTGGAAAAAGGCGAGAGATTCTTATTTCATACAAGCATTTATATTAACAACGGGATTTTTTCATACATTTTGCTTTTATTTAAAATATTAATGCACGGTTTATAAGAGAAAAAACGTGAGCAAATGCATTAAATATAATGAAGTATATAATATATATTCAGTAATATATATCACTAGAGCCATATATATAGTATGTAATAGTAGAAGTATAGGTATGACATACTCATGTATGTGACACAAACGTACTAAGTCTAAGAAATAAAATAATATTTGGTAAAAATAATAAATAAAAACTACAGTAGTAAATATGACTATGTCAAGATTTTCTTAGTTTGTGAGATTATTGACATCACATTAAATTTTGAAGAAGAAATTCGCGTACGCGATTCGCACCAACTGCCTTTTCTATTTTTTTTTTTTTGACTAACTAACCGCTACCGACCTATTTTTAGTGTTCTTAGTTAAAATCAAACTAAAAATAAAAATATATCTCTGTAATAATATAATAAAAATAAATTTAACAAGTCTATTTACACAGGGGGCGCGTTTTTTGGTGTTTCGTGTTTTAGTGGTGGCGCCCTCTCGCGCACCGTGTTCAATTTAGTCGCTTTCTTATTTTTTTTTGTACCGATACCTAAAACGGCATAATGCGTGAAGGGAAACCGAGATGAGCGCGAGTGCGAGAGAGAGAGAGAAAAAATGATTTTCCGAGGCAGTTCGGTGCGACGGCGACCCGCGGCGTGTATATAACATTTTGTTTCAATACATAAACTCGATTTTTTTTGGGTTATTTTTCTTATTTTATTTTTTCATATATATATATATATAATTTTTATATACATATAATTTTTAAAAACCATTTGCGGGGCGCGGAAGGGGCGCGCGCCCGCGACTGCCCGACCGTCCGGAAAATAAGGGGCGGTCGTCAGCGGAGGGGTGAATGAGGGGACGCGCCCCCCCCACCCCGCAAAACAATAACAAGAGACTAAGGTCACAACTTATCCTGAAGATACTATTATCACAGGCGATGGTTTCGTCAAACGAACAAAAATATTATTACTCAAACGACACGCATACACGAACATTCACGCAGAATTTTTATTAGCTTTAATTGGAATTCAATTCGAGTGCAATTAGGCAACAATGTCACTCTTCAAACCTTGCCTATAGTCTCCTCTATGGCACGCCGTTTTAACATTTATTAGATTATAGTTTGAAGATTATAGTTTTGCACTTTAATGATGTATTAATAGAAATTTACACAGTTAAATTTTTTTTAACTCAAAACAATTGATGGTCAACAAATATTTTAAATGTAAAACTTAAAATATTAATTTTTTAAAATTATAGTTCAAATATTTTATTCTACAAAATTATTGGTTTAAATTTGTAAAAAATCATTTAAATGATACAAAAATTCTCACATTACATTTAAATGACTCTTAACAAATTTAAACCAAAACTTTTTATTTTTAACAATTTTAAATTGATACATTTTTAACAAAAATTTATAACTTTACATTTAAATGCAAGTCGATAATTTTCAATTTACAAAGTGTAAACGTATCTTTAGCAGACAGCGTCGCTGTCTCTTTCTAGAGTGGTCAATTTTAAGCGTAGTCGCTAAAACGTACAAAGTGCGAAGTCTGCAGCACATGCAGTCAGGTAATGTGAATTAAAAATTATCGATTTAAATGATGGTCGATAAATTTTGAATCCAAAAATAACTACTTTAAAATTTAAATGACTACAAATTTAAACCAATAATTTTGTAGAATAAAATATTAAAACTACAATTTTTAAAAAACAATACTTTGACTTTTACGTTTGCATTTAATATTCAAAATATTGTTTGATTATCAATTGTTTAAAAAGTTTAAAAAAAAAATAACTTTTTAAACTATTTTGGTATAAAGTTTTATATGTGTTTTCTTTTTAAATGTCACGACACTTTTAAAATACTGAAAAATTTAACTTTACCAATTTAATCTAAATAATTTTTAAAAAATATTTATTTAAGATTTAAAAAATTCTGCCCAAATAATACTTAAGAAATTTTTGCAAAAATTGATTGTAAATAATATTGTTTAATAAAAAAGTGAACTGTTAGTAAGTAAATTTTGTCTTTAAATGCATAATACACTGCGCGAAAAATTAACGCATAACAAGTAACAAAATCAAACTCTAAAACGCCTTTACCAATCTTTTTAAAATTTTGAATAAAATTACTTCAACTTATATATCAGTTTACGTGTTCGAGGGTTTTTAGAGAAAATATCCTTAAAGCCTTTTTATTTAATAATAAAAATCGTACGAAAAATAATTTTTTTTAAGTAAATAAAAAATATGCTGTGAAAGACCGTATTTTTGTTGGTATACCCTGAAAATGTTGTACAAATTAAACGAACAGTAACGAAAATACAGCGCTTCAAAGTCGTCAAAAATGACCACTTTTCAGCAAAATAATCTTCGTTAATGTTCTCTTGATTTGTACAAAATTTTTAGGGTATACTTTTTATTTACTTAAAAAAAAGTTATTTTTCGTGCGTTTTTTATTATTAAATAAAAGGGTTTTAAAAATATTTCTCGAAAAACCATCGAAAACGGAAACTGAGATATAAGTTGAAATATTTTTATACAAAATTTCATAAAGAATGGTAAAGGAGTTTAAGATTTTTTTACTTATTATGCGTTAATTTTGACGCGCAGTGTAGTTAAAAACATTTTAAATTTATAAACGTAAACCAAATTTTTTTAATAAATGTTAAAACGGCGTGCCATACTTCTTGCTAGTGGGGGAAAGTTATTAAGTGACTGAGTAAATTTTTAAAACATCAAAAAATCACTAAACCAAGTCACTTTCTCCGTCGAGGTCTACAATTATAGACTAAAGACTGTGAAAGAAAGAACTGAACTGGGGTAAAAATCACAAATTAGCTTTTGTTTGCTGCAACCTTAGGACCTTTTTGGACAAACACTCACAAAACACACACACTATATGTTACATTAATAATAAGAGATGGCACTGAAAAAAAAGAGTGCTCGCGCACAACAAACAAACACGCTCGTCAACCTGAGAGTTAGTAATATAAATGTATTCGAAAAATACGCAAATTGTCCCACGATATAGAGTTAAAACGAGAAATTTTAATCCGAGACCACAATTATGCGTTAAATGAATAACCCGTAAATTTGAGTAAATAAAAGCACTTATATTTAGCGAGTTGTTCGATTTAACGCATTATAAAATCTTTAGACAGAAGTTGTAGGGAACAATTCGCTTTTTGATTGAAATATTGATAAGTTTTTGGTTTTCATTGTACGCAAACACTCCACACTTTCTTTCTCCCTCCCATTCACGCCGATAATGTACATAATAACAACACGAAAACTAATCAATAATAATAATAATAATAAAATCAACAACACACGTTGGCATACTACTAAAAAATTGTATATATGATGTGTGCTTATTTCGATAATAATAATAATAAATGTATAAAAACTAAAATATAAAAGTTGGCACACGTACAGCTTTGAAAGCATTCAGCGCCCAAAAAACCAGACGAGAATTTTGTAAAATTAAAAATATTTTCGCGAACTAATAATAGTAATAAAAAAAAACAAATAAAAATATATTAAAAATAAAACCGCTTTAGGAACAACGTTACGCGTATCTACTAATAAAATAAACAATAAAATTAAAACCGTAAATTCAAGAGACAAAAATAAACATCTGGATCATCAATGTGTATATAAATGTAAATACTTTTTCTCTTTAGAATATGTTGTGTTATTTTTTTTGTAAATACGTATTATGTTATATTACAAAACAATTCAAAAATCAAATTGGTAAATTCCTTTTTTTTTCGGAATCCGCAGGTCGAAACTAAAAAAAAATTGGTTTCGATTCCGCAATCCGCAATGAAAACGTAAAATCGGCAACGACGACGACGATAAAATAAAATCAGCGTTAAAATTTTGAGAAAAGTCGCGCAATCGTAATTAAAAATTGAAAAAACCTATCAATAATAATAATAATAATAAAATGTAAAAAAAATAAAATCAGTTCAGTAGTACAATGTGTACAAAAATATGAGAGATCAAAGCTACTTGCTCAGGGGTTTTACAGGATATACAGGGTGTTCAACACCAGCACGTGATGGTTGTTCTTGGCCAACGTCACCACGTAGCCCTCCGACGTGATCTTCAAGCCGCAGCAACGGGAAACCTGAAAAATAAGTTTTACATAGAGATGCGACTTAAAAAAAACGGTCCGTTTTTTTGTTTTTTTTTCATTGTTTTTTTTTTCACATTTTAGGTTTTTTTTCAAGATTAGTCCCATTTGCCTAATTTTTTATGTTTCCATGGACTAAAATTAGCCACTAAATGACAATTATTAAATGTAAATACAGTCTCGAGTTATGCACTCGCCACAACCACCGATTTGACCAATAAGGGCCGCGCTTGTTTTGATTTGGTTCTAAAAGAAGTAACTACACTGAAAAAAATTATTACATTTAAATGTAAAGTTACAGGATTATTACCATATAAATTCCTAATTTTTACGACAAATTGTAAAATTACCTTTATTTTTGTCTAATTTTTATAAATTTCAAGTAAATAAACATTTTTGTTTGTAAAATTACTAATGTTATGTATTAATTATTGATACAACAAGTAAATTTAACGAACTAAATGTAAAAAATACAATTATAACGTCTTACTGCATTATTTCAAATGTAAATATACTTTATTAGTCTTAATATTACAGGTTTAAATGTTTTTTTTACATTTGGAGTATAGTAAAAATCGCAAAATTACATTTCATATGTAACTGGAGAAGAAGCCTATTGGCTGGGAATTCGCGCATGCCTGCCCACGCATCGGCATGTTAATGTTATTATGTATAAATACATTTCAAATAAAAAACATATTACATTAAAATGTTATTTTACATGCAAAATATAAATGAGTTACACGTCAATTATGCTATTACATTTTACATGTAAAATAATAATGAAATGGAATATTTCAGTTATCAACAAGGCATCAAAATAACCAATCTCCATTACCGGAAATTTACATGATTTTTTTTTTCAGTGTATATGTAATATTTTTGATTCAGCGCCTGATTTTTCAAAAAGCAACCAAAAGCACTTTTTTCATGATTTTTCAAATTTATGTAGAGTATGGAATTTTTTTTTTAAACAATAGCAAATTCTTTTAGACATTTCTTCATTGGTGGTTAAGTCAGAACATTCCGTGGACCAAAAAAGAAATAAAAAAATCTATTTTTTTATTACGGTATTCGTTAGAATTGAGCGTTGCACGTTTTTCATCTAAAAATCTCAAAACTATAAACTTCAAGCTTCAAATTGTTTTTTTACGGCTCCAATACGACCATTTTTAACAAATATACAGCTATCCGAAAAATCCCAAAAAAAAAAATTTATCCTTTAATTTTTTGTATTAGTGTAGTAGAAGTTTTACATTGCTATTGGTTTTTAATGTGGAAACTACCAAATAATAAGAAATCAGATTTTTTAGTCTTGGTCAAAATTATCAATAATGAAAAATGTAATCAGAATTTCATTTTGAAAAAAAACAAAAAAAAACAGTTTTTTTCTAGGTTTTTTTCACATCTGAAAAAAACCGTTTTTTTACATCTCTAGTTTTACATCGTTTAAATGTTGTTGCATAATTGAACATACCTTGACGTAGGGACATTCGAACTCGGAGATGAGGGAACCGTCTCTGGAGAAGACGGCCACGTGAAAGCGGTTTCCGTGCGAATCTCCGATCAAAACGTCGCCCGCATCGCTAATGTCGATCCCGTTCGGGAAGTTTGTGAGATTCTCGCAGCCGATGCGCCGCAAAAAGTGACCCTCCTCGCTGAACACCACCACGTTGTGCCCTTTGAAGTCGCAAACGTAAAATTCTTTGCCTACATTTGGAAGGAAAAAGTTATCAAATTAAATTTGAGCCTGGCACGCCGTTTTAGCATTTCGCACATCCAGTTCAAGAACACCATAACTCAAAAATCAACAGTTATTGTGGTTTTTAAATACTTTAACAACCTTATTATAGATTTAAAAAACACCCATAGCTTAAGCCCTATTTTTAAGAACTTTATTACACATACATTTATATTGAACTAGTGCACACTAACCATATAAAAATATATGGTGCTTAAATTATTCTAATTTAACTTAATGTTGTGTGCAAGACCAATGTAATTTTATTTAAGTTGAAATTAGGTTTTATATTTTGCATTTCTCAATCTGTTTCAATGCATTAACACCTTATTTTTATAACTCACTGGAGTCGTCTAAACCAAAACCGAAAAAAAATACAAGTTCAAACTGAGAGAAAAAGTTAAGAAGTTTTGTCTCTTTCGTTAATTCTTAATTTAATAAATATTATTTTGGGTATTTATTTGTTTAATTAAAATACATTGTATTACCAAAAATCTGTTTTATTTAGTTTAACAAAAAAAAGTCAAAATGCCATAAAGATTATTAATGCAACATAATTAGAAAATATGAGACCAATTTTTAGTGCAATACCAACATTTTTTTTTAAATAATGAAATAAAATCTCCCTAAAAAATATAAAAGTTTACAAAATATACTGATTAAAAACCATTGGATTTACCATGTAGAGTCTGCAAAAGGGCGTTATTGCCGTCTTTACTTTCTTCAAAAAATTCCTTTAACCTTTGCAAAACTTTAAACTGGATTATCTCATTTCAATGTTTTTTGAGTTACGGTGGTCTTGAACTGGGTGTGCGATTTATTAGATAATAGTTTAATGATGTTTTAACACAAATTTACAAAGTTACATTTTTTAAACTACAAGCAATTGATACTCAAAAAATATTTTAAATATAAAATGCAACTGTAAAGCTTAAAAATATCGATTTTTACAAATTTTAGTTCAAATATTTTTTCTACAAAATTATCGTTTTAAATTTGCAGATTTCATAAATTTTCACTACCAAAATTATTGGTTTAAATTTCTAAAAAATCATTTAAATAAAAGTCGATACATTTTTAATACAAAAATTCTCAAATTTCATTTAAATGTAAGTTTTATTTAAAAGTGATAATTTTTGGATTACAAATGTATCATTTAAAAGACTTTACAAATTTAAACCAAAACCTTATATTTTAAATTGATACATTTTTAACACAAAATTTATAACTTTACATTCAAATGTAAGTCTATAATTTTTAATTTACAAAGTGTAAACGCGAGGGGTCACCCACACCTGGGAATCCCTGGACATTTTAGAGGGGGAATACCATAGGAATACAATGGAAATACATAGGAATACAATAAAATATAATGGGAATAAATGGAAATCCCTCGACGTTTTCCCTTTGGGTGGTTGACCCCTCGTGTAAACGTAGCTTTAGCAGACGGCGTACGTTGAAAAGTACAAAGCGCGAAGTAGTCAATACATTTTTAATCCAAAAATTACCGCTTTAAAATTTAAAGTTACATTTAAATGTAATGTGAGAATTTTTTTATTAAATATGTATCGACTTATATTTAAATGATTTTTTAGAAATTGAAACCAATAATTTTGTAGGATAAAATATTTTTTGATTTTCAATTGTTTTGAGTTTAAAAAAAATAACTTTTTAAACTATTATTTTGGTAAAAAATGTTTTTATTTTAAATGTCTCAAAACTTTTTTAAATACTAAAAAGTTTAACTTTACCAATTTAATCTAAATAATTTTATTAAATATTTATTTAAGATTTACAAAATTCTGCCCAAATAAATTATATAATTATTTTTATAGAAAAATGATAGAAATATTGATTAGTAAATTTTGTCTTTCAATACAGTTGTATAAAAGTCCAGTTAACAACAGATTAATAAATTACGGATTAATCAATAATAGCTGGTTAAAGAAAATTCTGTTATGTAACACTCAGTTATGTTTTATAATTAGTTAATGGGGTAGTTAAATTTTTTCTGACCTATACTTTTTATGGTTTTATTCAAGGCGTTTTGTAATATTAAACATTTCTGTGAAATCAGAATTTCAATTGAGTTTACCGTTTTCGAGATATTTACAAAAAATATAAATTTTTATGACGTCACAAACCCCGCCATGTGACCAACATTCTAAGATTTCTATTGGTTGAAAATTACCCTGTTGTCAAGTTGTCTTGTTAATGATTTCATTCGGTTATGTCAGAAAATACCCGAAGAGGTTATGTACAAATACTGTCACTGTCAGTTGAGTGAAAGAAGAAGAGGAGGTTAAAGAAAATTCTGAAATTAAAAGTTTTATTGATAGGTTTACACATTGAAACACCGTGTGAAACCTAATAAAATGTAATAAATAGGTACCTAATAACTGACTAAAAGCAGAGTTTAATATATTTCATAGAAAAGTGGCAAAATAAAGCTGAAAATGAATGAAATAAATTTACAAAAAATAACAGTAAATGTAAGTTAACAATGGTATTTATGATATTTGTGTATAGTTTTTATAAAACTTGCATCCCTGATGATGAGCATCAAAACCTTTTGTAAGATTTAAAAAATGTATGACAAACTTTTGGACTGTTCGAAGATACTATGCTCTAGAGTACATTTTTGTACTTAAAAATTCTGGTTTAAATATTGCTGCAATAACGTACATAGTAGGTAAAGATAGTGCAGGGTCTACAAATAGACATTTTTTTTTTTTTAATGTATTTATTGAACCCAAAAAAACAAACGTTCATAACAGGTTAACATAAATATAAAATAAAATAAGGCTTTTTGTGTTTAACAAAATACTATAAATATACAATATATACAAAATAAATTAAAGTGTGTTATTTCTAGATAATAAATAATTTTTTATAGCTCTGTTAAAGTTTATAACATCTAAGTCCTTAATACTATTTGGGAGTTCATTGTACCATTGCACAGCCGTAGTAGTTACTCTCTTCTTTCCAATGTTTTTTGCACTTGGTAAAATATAAAAGTTTTGGTTTGTACGAGTATTGTAATGGTGAATATCACAGTTTTGCACCAATGTTATGTCAGTCTCTAATATATTATTTTTTATTTTATGTACAAGTTTAAGACTTTCTAATTTGACAATATCACACACTTTAAGAAGATTTAGTTCGCTATGCAGCTCATTAGTTCCATAACACATAGGTTTACAAAACAACACTTTTATGAATCTGTTCTGGGTAACTTGTAGTTTTTCGATATCCTGTTTTCTGGTTTGTCCCCAAAATGCTGCCAAGTATGACATAACTGAGTGAACATAGGCAGAGTATATTTTGAATTTCGTTACTTGATTGAAAAATTTGGCTGAATGATATAGGGGATAGATCAATTTATTTATTTTGCTCCGTATGCTTTCTACATGTTTGTCAAACAGTAATTTGTTGTCTAATATCAAACCTAGGTACTTTGCAGTAGTCATCTCCTTAAGTATACTGTTGTTGATTGTTAAGCATTTATCAGTTACTTGGGATTTCTTGTTGAAAACGAGATAGTTGCATTTGGATTCATTAAGTCGGATGTTACTTTGCTTTGTCCATTCTGTGATGGTATCCAGGTCCTGCTGAGCATCTTCATATATTTTTTGCATTGTACCCGAATAGAAAAGAGCAGTATCGTCGGCAAAGAGTGTTAAGTTTCCATTAAGTTTCATATTGGTCAATTGATTTATATAGATTAGGAAAAGAATAGGTCCTAATACACTTCCTTGCGGCACTCCACTGATGATAACCTCATTGATGCTTTTGATGCCATTTACCGTAGTATACTGCCTTCTATCTGTAAGATAACTTTTGAAAAGTTCAAGTGGTTTACCTTTTATTCCAATAGATTTTAATCTGCTTATCAAAATATTGTGATCTACTACATCGAATGCTTTTTGAAGATCCAGAAAGCATGCCATTACTGTATGTCCATTATCAATCTTTGTATATATATATTCCAATAGGGAAGCTACTGCTGTTTGCGTATTTCGTTTATTTAAAAATCCATTCTGGTGCATATTGAAGAAATTTATATTTTTTAGATAGTTAAGCAGTCTTGTTTTTAAGGCAACTTCAAATATTTTAGCAAGTATTGATAATACGGATATGGGCCTATAGTTGTTTGCTTGTGATTTTGATCCTGTTTTGTGAATGACTGTAACTCTTGCTGTTTTTAATTCTTCTGGAAACGTGCCTTGTTTAAAATGGTTATTTATTAATTGTGCTATATATGGAGCTATAATATCTTTGATGCTCTTCATAGTTTTCGTTTTAATCCCATCGCCACCCGGTGATGCATTGTTCTTCAGATTACTTATGATTTTCTTGATTTCGTCTGGGGTGGTTCTTGGTAGGTACATTGATGTTGTATGGAGGCTTGGTATATTATGTTGATTTCCTTGATTGCACTTTAATTTCTGGGAGATTGTGATGAAATAATGATTAAAGTAATTTGCAATCTCTTTCTTGTCAGTGATGTCCTCTTTGTTATCAGTTTGAATTACCTTAATATCATGTTTTACTTGTTTATTTGGTGTAATAATTTGCTTAATGATTTTCCATTGCTTATCAGGAGACCCCTCACTATTTTCAAATCCTTTTTGTATATATTTCTGTTTGCTTTCTTTTATCATAATCTTCACCTTCGCTTGTAAGGATCTGAATTTTGTATGTAAGTTTTGCTCTAGTGGGTTTTTTTTGTAGTTTGCATAAGCTTTATCCCTTTGTTTTACGAGTTCATGAACTTTTTTTGTGTACCAACCTTCTTGGATTGAGTTTGTAAATTTTCTTTTCTTGACAGTTGTTGCATTGTCTATTTCTTCTTTCAGTACATAAATTAATAATTTAATATTCAAATTACTTAGTTGTGACAGTCTCTTTTTCAGGTTTTCATTTAATGAACTGTAATTTATGATTTTTGTGTTGTATTCTTGTTTGCATGTATTGTGGTTTGATTGTAGGTTAGTTTCAAGAGTTATTATTTTATGATCTGATATCGAGTTGTCCTCCAGAATAATGTTATATTGTAAAAGTTTATCTGAAATAACATGGTCTATTATTGATTTAGCTAATGTTCTTGAATCAGTTCTAGTAGGAAAGTCCTTATCTATTGTGTTCATTATCTTGAAGCCATTGCTGGAAATTATTTCGAAATATTCTGAGGTTATGTTATTGTTTTCCAATACATTAATATTAGTGTCACCAATAAACAATGTGTTTTTATGTGTTTCCATTAGCTGCTGGAGCTGTTCCAGGAAGGCATTTTTGCATGAGCTGGGCTGATTATATATTCCACCAATATTGATTTTCTCATTGAGTAACTTGATTATTAGGTAATTGTTATTATTGACACATTCATTGAGCAGTGATTCAGATGCAAATTTACTTTTTATGTAGATCGACACACCTCCTCCTCTACTGTGGTCTCTACATGAATGATAACTATTGTATTTTGGGATAGAATGATTGAAAGTTTCGTCAGTATATAACCAAGTCTCTGTTAGTACAATTGCCTCAGGATCTTTATCATATATAATACATTTTAGGTCATCAGTTTTGTTTCGAAGGCTTCTAATATTAATGTATAGAATATTAAATTTTGGGTTCAATTCAATACGTTTTTTTTAACTATTTTTGGTGAATTATTGAAATATCTTATTACTAGATCAGACTCACCATTTTGTAATCTTGCTTTAAGAGTAGTGTTTAATTTTCGAAACTGTTCCATTTCCATCGGAGTTTTATCAGAGTTAATGTATATGCCTTTATAATTGTCATCACCTTTTAAGTTTTTTATTCCTTTCAATACTTCTTTTACTTGACAGTTGTTCATCATAACCACTTTAATAGGTCTAATTTTGCCTTCAGCTTTCTTTCCTAGTCTAAAGATTTTCTTTATTCCCCGAGCAGTTTCATTCGAAGCTGTTATTGTTACCATTTTTTTTACTTTATCTTCATCTTCTTCTATCGAGCCTTCTTTCTGACCAATGATTATAATGTTTGTTTTCCTGATTTCTCTCTCTTGAAGCTCAATCATAATGTTATTTACTTGTGATTCTTTTTCTTTTTCCAGAGTTTCCACAGACTTCTTAAGATCTTTAACCTCGCTTTTTAAGTTTTCATTTTCTTGTTGCTGTAGATCAATCTTCTTTATGAGACCATCATATTGTTTTTCCATTTGCAAGAGCTTTGCCATAATGTCATTTAGAGTTATTTCACTTGAATTATTTGAGTTTGGAATTTGAACCGTAACCTCACTCTCACATGCGTTACAGTTCCATCTATCTCCTTCAGGTTTCTTGAGTTCTGCTGCATATAAGTTAAGTTGTTGAGTTGTTAGATTTACGCATTTACTATGAAACCATTCCTGACATTTATTACAAGCTATCGCATACGTCTTTTTCGTAGTAATTTTACATACACCACACAAAGCCGCCATTTTAGTTGATTTTTTTGATTAAAATTATTCAAACAGATGGTCACCAAATTCATTAAGTACCTATCTTCCTTATTACGAGGTATCATATTACTGTTTGATATTTTAGAGTCCAAGATATATCTAAAAGAATATAAAGAACTAGGCATTATACTAATGAAATGCATTTACGACAAAATATGATTATAATTATAGGTACTTACTTTATTTGTTTAAAAGCTCCAATTTTCAATGTAACCAACCATTCCACAAGATTCCTCTGCTTTGGAGTCAGTTATTAATAAATCACTTATCTAATATCAATTACAAATAACATCACAATAACATTGATTTTCAATAATCTAAATTTTAAAAAAAACAACCCGAAAAAAAGAAACGTCAAAAAATCAATTCTTCTTCTTCTCCTCAACTAAAATTTTAGATCAAGTAGTTTTAAAACTAAAATATTATAACGTGGCGCCATCTATCGTAAGAATCTTAAACTAAACACCATAGAAAAAGCTGGCAACGTTGTCAATAGCCTAGTGACGTAATTAGGAGACTTTTTTTTGTAAATATCTCGAAAACGGTAAACTCAATTGAAATTCCGATTTCACAGAAATGTTTAAAATTACAAAACGCCTTGAATAAAACCATAAAAAGTATAGGTCAGAAAAAATTTAACTACCCCATTTTCAAATTTAGGGGAATTCTCTAAAAAAATCCCCTTTAGCAAATTTTCGTATTTGTCCAATTTGTCATAATTTTCGTAATTGTCAAATTGACCACTTCAAATTCATATTCATAATTTTTGTTGTTTAGAAAGATTTTAGTATCTTAAGTATATTGGTATTTATTTATTTATTGCATATGTTAATGTGCAATTGTAAGTAGCTTTGCACAATTAACCACCCTAAATTCACCGATTTGTTAATTGTATGTTGATCACTTAATTAAATTTTAATCAATATTTATACAACTTTAAAGTTACCGTTATCATTAAATAATTATTACCAACTGTTATACAAATGGGCCTAAAATTATAAATGTAAATAAAAAATTTGAGAGCAAATCACAAAACTGTTTTTATAAAAAAATGGTAGGTAATTTATTATATAATATTTTGGGATCAAAATTATCAAAAATATTTTTCTTTTATTAGGCTATACATGAAATAAAAAAAAGCAAGAAATATATTATAAAAGTATAGATAATTTTAATAATTGACAGGTGTAGATGGGACAAGATAAATCTTTGTTTGCCCACCCACACCTTTAAATTATTTAAATTATCTCTACTTTTATAATATATTTCTTGCGTTTTTTATATTTAACGTATAGCCTAATAAAAGAAGAATATATTTTTGATAATTTTGATGCCAAAATTATGCACAAATTTTTCGCTTGCTTGAAATGGAGGAGAAATAAATAAAAAACATCTTCTCTTACCGTGTATGGCAATGTCCGAGGGCTCGCGCATGTAGTCGCTGCAGTCGAACCAGCGCAGCAGATCGCCGCTCTCGCCGATGATGAAGACGGTGGGACTGACGCTGTCGACGGCGACGATCTCGCCGCGCGACGACACCGCCAGTCCGGCGACGATGTCGATGTAGCGGATCGCGATCTTCTTCACGAAGTGCCCGTTCTTGGTGAAGATCTGCATGCGCGAACGCTCGTTGCCGCGGTCGCACACCACGTACTTGCCAGTCGGCCGCATCACGGCCACTTTGCGCGGGTACCACAGCTGCCCCTCGTCCTTGCCGGGGATGCCGAACTGGAACTTGAAGCTGCCAGTCTTCTCGAACACCTTCAAACATACACATTACAATCAAACGCGAGGACGCACACTGCTCGGAAAAGCCTTTTTCGAAAAGGGGAAAAACTTCAAATTTTACGCGCTGTTTAAAGTGCTGTACAAAGTGCGCGATTTTTTCGACGATACATGGAGCGAGTTGCTGAAGGTACGTTTGATAAAATTTTAATACGAGGTTTTTGTTATTCATGCATGATGTATTATAATAGTGACCTCAACGTGATCTATTCAGAAACTTTTTTAGTCAACAAAAAAGTAAACGACCAATTGCGATTTTTGTTTTAAGGACGCTTACAAGGTAGGTAAGCGTGGATCGTGCTTAGACGCATTTAGAGTTACAAACAAGGAAAAGTTCGGTCGAAAAGTTGGAAAAGTTCGGCACCCCCTACCAAAAGTTGGAAAATGTAGTAGGTGGGAGAGCCAATGAACAATGAGTTTCGATAGATAATTTGGTCAAAATTCGATATAAATCGCTAGATGTGTTTTTAAAACGTGCTAAAATCTTTGTTTTTTGGAATAACATTCTCTCAAACTGTATCAAAAATGGTGTCTGCTAGCAGCATTTTCTATTATAGGATGATTGTTTTATTTTAAAGTATTTTAGTTGCTAAAATTCATCCAATAAAAATATTTGGGTCACGTTTTTTGAATTATATCGTCATATACCGTAAACACGGGTGGCTTTAGCTCACTTTCAAACTTAAGCTTACAATTTTTGTGGTTTTAACAATCATAAACATTAAATGTTTTATACCAAAATTTGAGTCTTGAGTTGCTCTTTCATAATAACTATGTTATAATCTTACATAGGGCTGAGTTTAAAAAATAAAAACTGGTTTGAATAAGTAAGCTATTTGAATTACTTTTTTTTGACAAATTTTAATTATAATACTTCTATTCTTTGAACCCAAAAGTTGACGTGAGATTATAAATGACTCCCCCTTCCTTAACATGAGATTTGGTGAGATTTTGCTAGACCCCCTACCCCTATTTTTATCTCACGTAATTAATGGATGTCCCCTAATTTATTTAACCTGTGAAAAATATGTTAAGTACCAATAAAGATTATTATTATTATTAAATGCGTTTTTCTAAAAACAGGGGTAGCTTCTTCAAAATTCAGAGGCCGCCATTTTGCGAAAAAACTACAATCATCCGTGAAAGAGAGTAACTTTAAGAGCATTAAGGCGGCTGCACAATTACTCGGGAACGCTAACGAAAACGAGAACGGAAACTAAAACGAAAACGAGAAGATTCACAATTAACATAATTATTGTAATTCTTAGGTTAATATATTTTTGGGATATTTAATTTATTTGGTATTTATAATAGAAATATACGTACGATCATACTGCAGATGTTCAGCTATTAAAAGCCAACTATTTTTCTTTAATAATTAATCTTTATACTCTTTTAACGCGCGATCATACAGATGTGGGAACTTTTTTACTAATAAAGTAATTAATTCGTCGTTCATTTTCATTAATTTATTAACACAGAACGTATTGATAAAACAAATAGCGCGAATGTCAGAAATAATTTGACACATCAAACTCATTTTCCATTGGTTTCGATAATGCTGCGTTCCTATTGGCTACCGGGAACGAGAAACTTAAAACTTAACCAACTTTCTCGTTTCCGTTCGCGGGATGTTTCTCGTTCTCGTTACCGAAAATTTGTTGTGCATGTGTACATTGACTTCTGTGTGTTTAATGTTTTTCTCGTTACCGTTCCCATTTTCGTTTCCGTTCCCGAGTAATTGTGCAGCCGCCTTTACCCCCAACAAACAACAAAATATGACGGGAAGAGTAAAATGAAAAAATGAAGAGAAAAAACTAACCTGTATGCGATGGTTGTTGGTGTCGGCGACGATGATGTCCTCTTCCAAGCCGAGGCAGAAGCCGTGCGGCGAGTTGAATTGGCCCTTGGACGGTCCCAGCTGGCCAAACTTGCACCGAATCTGCATCGGGCTGACCTTGTTCGAGCGCGTGACGGTCGCTGCGGCGGCGGCGGCGGCGGCGGCTGCCGATTGGACGGCCACGGCCGACGATTGACCGCCGACGGCCGACGACGCGGCGTTCGTGCCTGGAGCAGGGAGAATAGAGGTGAGGGGATCGGAGGGTAAAATGTCGTCGGGGGTGGAGAGCAGCGGCGAAGTCGACGACGTGGACACGGCTCCGAAACCGTTCATCAGATTGTGGTGGTGGTGCTGGTGGTGATGGTGCTGGTGGTGGTTGTTTGTCAGGTTCAGCGAGGCCGTCGACGACGACCGGACCAGCATGTCTCCGTTCGTCATTGCCTGGTCTACAATTGCCGGCAATAAATAATAAACACCAACACGCACCTGATACTTTACACACTCCCAACTAGAGGTGGGATGTTCGATACGATACGTACCGATACAAGTGATACGGACGGGATATCGTTAGAATCGATTAGTAATATAAACAGAAAAATAATCGTTTTTTATAATAGAGGTTTTTTAAATAAAAACACCAAATAAAAACTTGCTTCTAAAATAAACAAATATACATGAGTGTCTATGAAAATTAAAACAAAACCCGTTGAGTCAATGCAAAAACACAACTAAAATAGTTTTTATTCATAAGAGAAAAAAGATAGGCAGCATCTAAATCTTATGTCAATGTAGGTACATTACCTACCATTCAAAATCAATATAATTAGAATCAACATCAAATTTTTCTGGCCCTTCCGACGTGTTAGTGTCGTGTACAGAAAAGTTTTCAGAAGTACCTCACAAAGAACTGTCAGAACTATAATCTAGATGATCTACCACCATGTCAACTGTAGCTGTGGTATCTTTGTTAGGTAGTTTTTCTTATAATTTGAAAAAAAAACAATGTTTTTTTTAAGTTTTTTTCAAATTTTTTTTACATCACTAGAATTGATATAAATTTATGTATCAAATACATTGTATGATACAATTTGTATTGATTATTTAACTAATTATGAAAAATCCTTATGCCATATATGAAAATTTGCTTTTGCGGTCGTACTGTATTTTTAATAATCTACCGTTGATAAACGATTCTACGGAAATTTTGAAAGTTTGCTCAATCAATGCTGATGGTTGGTATTGCAGCAGACTTTGCTATCACAAAACTAGTTTTGGTTTGGTTGGTATTGCAACTGACGTTTAGGTTATTTAAAGTTCACATTGTAAACAATTGCGAATCACTGTTTTTAGAGTTTTGATTTTTTTTTAAATTTTATATCCCTATATTTGTTTTCGTTACCTTTCTAGCAATTAAATTCATTTTATAAAAGTTTTTATTTTGTTTAAAATTTAACCGTATTGTATCGATGTAAGCGATATTTTGAAAATTATATCTGTATCGAACAGCCCACCTCTTCTACCAACACCATCATTCGCATTCAAACCTTTTTATTTAAAAGAAGAGGGGAGGGACCAACAAACAGTTGAAGTCGCGAAACAGGGTTATCTTCCATTTCATTCACTCTTAAGTATCACGCTTATTTCATCTATTGTCGCGGCATTGAAATGCAAAGTAAAAATAAAAAAAATGTAAAAGTATAAAAAATAGACATACCGGTTCCTCCTCCCAGTCCGAGCTTCGCCAGCGACGCCAGGTTTCTGCACGCGTTGTCGTTGGCCAGAAGATCGGCGAGAATAAATTGTGGGGTGGGAGATGTGGCGGCGCTGCCGACGCTCTCCGTCATGGTGGCCAGCTGATTGATGTTGTAGCCGGCCAAGTGCTGCAAAGCCGAAGAGGTGACCTGAGACAAAGGCGGCGGACTCTGCGCCATGTTGAAGTTTTGCATGTGGTGGTTGATGGCGGCCACGTCCCCTTCGAAGGGGCTGCTGTTGAGGGAAGCGTGACCGTTCCCGTTGGTCAAAGCCAAAGCGCCAAAGTCCGAGAGGCCGGGGCTGGCGCTGGAGCGATGCCGATACTGCTGTCGCTCCTCCTCCCTCTCCCCCTCCTCCTCCGCATCCTCCTGCTCATCCTCCTCGTCGTCGTCGTCGTCCTCGTCGGCGGTCTCGGTGCTGAACTTGCCGAAGAACTCGCGCACCATCGCCTCGAACTTGTCAAAGTCCGAGCGGAACTCGATGTTGAAGGCGGCGCTCAGCATGGGGCGGCTGTCGTTCAGCTCCTGCAAGCGTTGCTGCAACAAGCGACGCAGGTACATCATTTCCGATACGGTGCCCGTCTCCATCAGCAGCAGAGTAAACTTGCACGCGTCCTCAAAGTGCTCGATCGACTTGCCCACCTCGTCGTTCTCCTTCATGATCTTCAGCTCACGCTCCCTGTACAAGCGGCTCAACTCTTCCAACGCGTTGTCGCGACACTTTTCAACGATGGCCTTGTAACTTTGGCAGGTCTCGTTGATCAAATCTTTGGCCGAGCAGCGCTGATGCGCGAGCTCCTCCAAACCGTTGCTCAAACCGTTCAGAGACTTGACTAGCACGTCCACGGTCTCCTTGCTTTTCGTCATCAGCAGCTCCATCTCCTGTCTGACGCGCACCTCCCAGTCGAGAATGTTCTCGCAGTGGTGGCCTTGGTGCTCGTGCTTGGTGCACTCCGGGCACACGGTCTTCTGGCACTGCAGGCAATAGAAGTTCACGTTCTCGTCCTTGTGGAAGTCGCAGGTGAGCGGCTTGTGCACGGTGATCTTGTCGCCGTTTTTGCGCAGCTCGTCCAGCGCCACCACCTTGTGCGACTCGAAGCAGCGCATGTAGTGGTGCGCAGAGTCGCAATTGTTGCACAGCAGGTTGTGGCAGGTGCTGCAGCGCGACTTGGCAACCTCTTTGGCGGTGCACGACGTGCAATACAGGTTCGAAATGTTGGACACGTCCGAGATGTTCGTTTTCGTCACGTCCAGCGGAAGGGCGGCCATCTTTTTTATGCCCACCTTCAACAACACACCCAAACAAATAACACTTTGCAACAATTTTACCTTCTAGCCATTTGAAATTGAGTGACTCATACGCGTAGTCTGCATTCATCTATTTTACAATTTTTATTGACAAATTTACTTAGTTTTTAGGCATTTGTTTGGCACGACACTGGATTCCTTTAAACCATTGCTATAACTTCTTATAATGGTAAGTTAGCCAATTCTACTCATAAAATATAGACAATTTAAAATCAATTATAACATATTCAATTAACAAAGTAAACTAAAACAGACAAAACAAATGACTCACTTATACTTCAAAAGGCCATAATTTGTTCTGCAAAAATAGTACTATTGACCCAACCAATTTTGTACTGTTGCACTGTATAATCCAACAGACAAAACTAAAGCACCTCTAAAATAAATTAAATGCCTAAAGATTTCATTTTAGTTTACAAAAAATATCTGTGGGTAAAAGGCATAAGGGGATAAGTCAAAAAAAGCAATTTTTCAGTAGAGCCTTAAAAGTATTCGTATTAATCGGTATTAATTCAGGAATAGTACATTCTGTAACAAGTTTGGAATACAGCATATTCCGCTCGAGGAAAAATTTGACACACGAGCCGAAGGCGAGTGTGACGGTTTTACGAGAGTGGAATATGCTATTCCAAACGTGTTTCAGACATTATTTTCTCTACGACTACGTAAGAATAGTAATGCTTATATAATTTTAAACAGAGAAAAGAAACCAAGCAGTTTTTGACATTTAAGTTTTTTGTATTGTCAATTTGACAATGTCAAACCATTTTGTGCTGTCACAATTTTATAATGTAAATTATAATAAATTTAAACAAATGGTATGCCTAAATCTTTATTATAATTAAAAATAGTTATTTACACTAACTAATAAAAAAAATAACATTGTAACAAATACAAAACTAATTTTACAAGTAATCTAAGTCAACACCTATTCTTTTTCTACATTTTAAAGGTCTTTTTTTAAACTTTTTGAATCTGTCAAAACTTCAAAGCCGGTATAGTAGGTAACTGGTTTATCATTTTAATATCAAATTTATTATAATTTTGATTTGTATATTTGAAAAACAATAAATATAACTAATTTTTTGTGCCTAATCCTTAATTATACAACTGCTAGGTATTATTTTTTAATTAATAAATAATACCTACAGTAATATTTAAATATTTTTAAATTTTTTACGTTTAGTAAACAGCCAGGAGATGTCGTTACTTGTGACCATTCTTAAACAAGAGTAGGAATATTCTCGCACAGTATTGCAGAAAAACATCCTTTCTATGATCAAAAATTACACTAGAATGTTACTATTCTTAAGTAGTCGTAGAGAAACATATTTATGGTTAGCGGGTACCTATACCCTTTTGTTTGCACACGTCATATGCTAACAAAAGCGTATACCCGCTAAACATAAATATATTTCCTGAATTAATGCGAACACGTTAAAGGCTCTATTGAAAAATTGCTTTTTTTGACTTATACCCTTATGCCTTTTACCCACAGATATGTTGTATTCGTTCCATAAAACAATTATAAATACAGGGTGTTGAAAACGTTAACGCTACTAATTAAATTAAGAGAAAAAAACAATTAAATTACCAAAAAACTTTAATTTAGGTTAAGCGCACCAACAGTATACCATGTTGCATAAAAAAAGAATAAAAAATACTACTATAATTGTTAAAAAACGATGTGTATTTTCTGAGCCAATTTAGGAAACATCTAAAAACAATTGTTATGAAAACATCATTAGAAAATTGTTTTCTATCCATTCATAAATATTCTTAAAAAATTTAATTTTTAAATTTTTATCTTAAAAACTATTTGTCACAATTAAAATTTGTAGGGTGCCCCAAAGATAATATAGAGTCATTCCAAATAAAAACACCAAATGGGGTGCGCTGCGTGATTTTTTATTTTGATGAAAAAATTTGAGGATGATCTTTTAGATGTCAAATATGAAAATCCGTTGCCGTTTTAATTTTTTGTTGCTTTACTTTTATTTGGCACCCCTTAGAAGTCTGAAATAGTGTCAATTTCTTACTCTCTTATAGTGGGCCAGAACTTTTTTCTGTGACAAATATTGAAATAATTTTAATTTTGTTTTACTGTCCAGTAAGTGTGTTTTCGATATAAATTATTATTATCCAATTAGTTAATCTCATAAAAGAATGGTAAACCACTAAAGATTCATGATAATTTGCCAATTTTTGTGATTTTTGTCTGGCTCCTGTGCCTATTCTACTGAATTTAGAAGGTTAATTTTTTTCAGGTATAAAGTACTTATACAATAGAAAACGTAACTATTATTTTAAGTTTCTAGACTATCAATTTCTTTATTAAAAAAATTATTGAAAATTGATAATTCTCAAAATTAGCCAATTTTGCCCTCAGAAATCATTATGTTGAGGAAAAAATAAAAATCTGAAACTTTCAGGAAATGTAGTCCCCACCTTCATCTTTTCAGTCCAGTTAGTCTTGTTTTGTTATTTTTATCCATGTAAAAGATATAATAATTTTTTTAATGCCAGTTAAGAAGCGATATTGTTAGTTTTATTTATAATCTAAAATTTAGATGGCTTTGACTTTGTCAATTCATGTTTGGTGGAGAAATGTCAGAACTGCGAAAAATATTTCATAAATATTATTTGTGCGTATTTCTTTGGTAAATTTTGTATATAACATAATATGTCATATGTTATATACAAAACTTTTTAAAGTCACCAAAGGAATACCACAAATAATAATTATGAAATATTTTTGATAGTTCAGCCATTCCAAGCTACTCGGAAATTTTTGTAGCGTCCGTTACAATAAAAAATTGTAATTAAATGCTACCGTAATTAAATGAAATACCTTTACAATAGTTAATATTGCAAACATGTTTATTATGCTTGTAATAATTAGGCTTAAACTTATAAGCATAATAATTACGGTAGTTTTACTCACAATTTTTGATTGTAACGGACGCTACAAAAATTCCCGAGTAGCGTGGAATGGTTGAACTAACAAAAATATTTCATAATTATTATTTGTGGTATTCCTTTGGTGACTTTAAAAAGTTTTGTATATAACATAATATGACATATTATGTTATATACAAAATTTACCAAAGAAATACGCACAAATAATATTTATGAAATATTTTTCGCAGTTCTGACATTTCTCCATCAAACATCAATTGACAAAGTCAAAGCCATCTAAATTTTAAATTATAAATAAAACTAACAATATCGCTTCTTAACTGGCATTAAAAAAATTATTATATCTTTTACATGGATAAAAATAACAAAACAAGACTAACTGGACTGAAAAGATGAAGGTGGGGACTACATTTCCTGAAAGTTTCAGATTTTTATTTTTTCCTCAACATAATGATTTCTGAGGGCAAAATTGGCTAATTTTGAGAATTATCAATTTTCAATAATTTTTTTAATAAAGAAATTGATAGTCTAGAAACTTAAAATAATAGTTACGTTTTCTATTGTATAAGTACTTTATACCTGAAAAAAATTAACCTTCTAAATTCAGTAGAATAGGCACAGGAGCCAGACAAAAATCACAAAAATTGCCAAATTATAATGAATTTTTAGTGGTTTACCATTCTTTTATGAGATTAACTAATTGGATAATAATAATTTATATCGAAAACACACTTACTGGACAGTAAAACAAAATTAAAATTATTTCAATATTTGTCACAGAAAAAAAGTTCTGGCCCACTATAAGAGAGTAAGAAATTGACACTATTTCAGACTTCTAAGGGGTGCCAAATAAAAGTAAAGCAACAAAAAATTAAAACGGCAATGGATTTTCATATTTGACACCTAAAAGATCATCCTCAAATTTTTTCATTACAATAAAAAATTATGCAGCGCACTTTTAAATTCATTTTTGGTGTTTTCATTTGGATTGACTCTATAAAGATATTATCTTTGGGGTGCCCAGCGCACCAATAGTGCGTTGTAGGGGCCCTACAACGCACTATTAGTGCGCCATTTTCCGGACACCCTGTATAAAAAATTGTATTTAAATTTTACAATTGTTAAGTATGTCAAAACTTATTTGAAAGAAGGCTACCTACTTTTTACATAAAAATCCTAGGATCGGATATTTGGTTAAAAAAATCCAAAGCACGGTGTATTTAACACAATTAAGTGCCTTAGAATAAAAAGGGTACATATAAGTGCAGTTGCTGTTAAGCAAAAATGCCTTATCTACAATATTAATTAATAAAGAACAAAAAGATCATTTTGATTGTTAAAAACAACAAAAATGATCTTTTGTCCTTATTAGGTAGGTACCTACTTAATGTTGTAGATAAGGCTTTTTTCTTAACAGGGCAGCTGCACTTATACCCTTAAATTCTAAGGCCCTCAAATGTAAAATTTTCTAGATTTTTTTTTAGCACTAGTCTTTAATATCCCAATTGAATAATTTCATTTTATAAATATTAAAATATATGTAGGAATATAAATATAAAAATATACATATATACCTAGGTACCAACATTAATAAAAGCTAGTCTTACTCAATTTTCTACAGTACCTAATTTAACTTTTAGGAGTTTTATTAGCATAAAAGCATAAATTAAAAGATAATTTAAAAAAAATATCACTTATAAATACCAAAATAACTAAAATTATACACAAACATATAAATCTTTTGGCGCTTTTATTTCACGTTCAAAACCTTCAAAAATTACATAAAAACAACAACAATGACTCAAGGTCTGTATTAATCATACAATTTTAAATATAATTCAATATTTACCTCAATAAAAACACGAAAATTTAGGAAAATACACGGGAAAAAACCGCAAATAAACAAACAACAATATGGAGAATTTAAACAATTGACCCTCTAGTAATTGGGGCGACATAATCAATAGAACAACTGTCCTCATAATGGAAAAATTGTTTTAATTAATTATGAATATCCTTAAAAATCCATTGGAAAATAATATTTATATTTTACAAATAAACATGTAGGTAAATAATGATTTGAGAAATGTCAACCGTGAAACAAAAAGGCATCTTGGGCATGGGGGCGACATAATCAATAGAACAACTGTCCTCATAATTTAAAAATTTTATTAATTAATTATAAATAAATCCATTGGAAAATAATATTTATATTTTACAAATAAATATTTAAACAATGATTTGAGAAATGTCAACCGTGAAACAAAAAGGAATCTAGGGGATTATCGCCGTTTTTCAATGCGTAAAAATTAACAATAACATTTAAAAAACCTAACCTGACTTTTCCTGATAAGAGAAATAAAAATTACCGCGTGTTTCATATACTCAGCAATTATTGGAAAATTGAGCATGCAATAAAACATTAAAATAAAGATTAATGAGGGTAAAAATCGATAATCTTACCTTTGAAACATAAGTGCATGTGGGACAGGTGATGGAAGTGTCCACTGTGCCAGCATCTCCACCTTCTCCAGACAATTTCTTGTCGATACATGCTTCGCAGAACACATGGAGGCAGTGTAGCATTCGGGGCACTACCAACGTGTTCCTAAAATTTCAGGGTTATGTTTTGTGTGTTCGAGGATTCTTTTAACTTCAGACTTACCCACATAGACCACAGTCGTCTGGATCCGCCAAAAGAGCATCTTCCAAAGGTTCTGCAGTCATTTGTTTGCCGTTTTCGTCGAATAAAGTACCGTTTAATTCCTCCGTCCTGTCTAAAAACTCTTTTGATTCAGGAAAGGCTTCTTTAGTGTTTGTACCCATTTTGCGTAGTTAAAGTAGTCGTAGCCGATTGTTTTCCAAACAACAAGCAATTGTTATTTTTGTGTGTATAATAGGCCTACTTTGATCACGAAAGTCAATCTCGTGAAACGTTTATCTAAAAACATGAAAGCACAGCATTAGTAAATAACAGGAGCACAGGTTCTTGTTGGATTGATTGATAGATTTGGTTCACGCACTCATCTTCACCGTTTCGCAGATTAAAACTGGCGTAGGGGATTAGGGAAAAAGATAGTGGAGTGTTGGAAAAATCTAGTTTCGATTTATTTTGGCAGAAAACTTACCAATGCCATTACGAGAAAATGTATAGCAAATGGCGCGTCTTGCGTCTGAGCGCAAGGGCAATGGGTTATTGAATACGCGCAAGGAGGGGGATTTGTCAAATACTGCAGAGCCCGGGAACAACAATGACGCACAGTGATTCACATTACTGCAATTCTAGCTAGACAAAAGTCTTAACTCAATTTATTAAACTTTTAGGGGGGTGTTTCTTGAAATTCGCGAATTTAATTTTTATTTATGGAAATGATTTCTATAGAAAGCAATAAACCAGAGCACTGCATTCTCTGTCGCAATATAGAATGCTTTGGAGAATGTTTAACAATATTGGACTCTAGTCAATTCAATTCCGATTCCGTTGTTCATTTCGTTATGGAGGACTTATGGATTGAAAAAAAGGGACATTGCAGAGTTTTTGATACTTTTGCGTAAATAGTGTCACTGTGCGCCAGCACCGAGCGCGCCAATGCCGCCAATGCGCAAAATTCAACCTTATTCCCCAAATTATACGGCCCACGTTTCGCGTAGAAAGCTAAAAAATCCCTTTGCCCCCGCAAATTATTAGGCAATTCGCCCCAATTTCACTCACCTGCTGCCGGACTCCGCGAATATCCAAAATACGGACGAAATTTTCCCAAAAAACTTACTTAAGTGTATAACGCGGAAAACAAAACAACTTTTGTTGATCCAATTTGACAACCGACAAATAAAAAACTACTTGATTGAAACTACTGTCAAAACGACTAATTAAATTAAATTTAAAAAATATGTTTTACAATTATACAGGGTGATCTATATTTGATTATTTTAAATATATTTGAAGCATTTTTTATCAATATTTTATCAGATTATTGATTGATATGAACATTTATACCAAGTTTTAATTATTATCAATATAAAATATCGTAGGTAAGTAGGTATCGTAGGAGGTAGGTAGGTAGGTATATGGTTAAATAAAAGCATTTTTTAATTATCTTTTTTTATGTATGCATAGTGTGTAAACTTTAATTTTTTACAAATTATATAGGTAAAAGAAGTCCTTATGTTAAAGCTTTAAATTTATTAGGACGATTCAATATAATATTGCAAACAAAATATGATGACATAATTATGTGAGAGATTTTATTATAACCATACATACTACTTATATAAGGTATATAGGTATAAAGTATTATATTATATACCAATATTTCACTTAACCAATATCTAAAAAACCCTTACAAAACATTTAGGTACCTATTATCACTAAATTCGTTATAAAACATATTTTTTTACTCCTATCGTATAATATTGACATTATTTGGGTACCTATATAATATATATAATCATGTTATAAAGGTATAACCGCCGTGCCTAACAGCGGGAATAATGGACTCATTATTCACGTTGTTAGTGATAGGCCAATTTCATTATTCACTGTGGTTTTGATCAATCAGGTAGTTGCAATTCCAAAAACATCACAGTCTCCCCTGGTATACTAAACGAAATCTGACATCTGTCAAAGGATCTAACCTTACTTTTTTTTATTTCAAAAGTGGAATAAAAAATTATGCAATAGGTCTTCCTGGAGTAGAAAAAGGCTTTTTTCAAAAAGCCTATTACACTCAAGATAATGCGCAATCTAAAAATTTACAACTCTCGCCATGCGGCTCGAAATGTCTCGTGTGAAGAAATTTTTTTTTTCTCCAAAACGAAAGGAGATGTAACAAGTATTATATTAATTGTTTCATCTGGAACAAATATCAAAAGAAAAAAAAACAGTGACGTCATATTTATTCTTAGTTTAACAGCCGAGGACGCCACTGGAATGATTAAATTGTTTTTAAATATATCAATAAAGAAAAATAATAAATGATTTCAGATATTGGGAAAAACTTACCTTTTAATATGTAATTGAAGGTGGTGAATTAAAACAGGTAAATTTTGTTAAAATTTTTATTGAGGGCTATGTTTGTTGTATAATAATAAAATTCGTTTTCTAAAAAGTTTTTATTATTTTTAAACTCCCTATTTATTAATATAAAAAACAAACATTGCTTTCTATTTTTTTCTCACCCTAAAATAACACAGAGCAATTTTATTTGTGTGAGATGGAGTGAAATGCCCATTTTATGGATAAATGTTAATTCAACAAATATTCAAATACTCTAAAACGCAACTATTCACTTATATACTTTCTTTACATAAAAGATAACATTTCACGTCATTCTTACACTTATGTTTGGGGAATAAAATTAAATGAATGAAATTTACATTCTATAATAAGACTGATAAAAGTGAGGAGCGCAGAGTTTTGCTTAGTCTGGCACTTTAAAATAGAGCAATAATATTGTTCATTACATAATAAATGTACATACACTTACTTTTTGGTGGCGACCCATCCACTATATCAACAATTTTTCTTTTAAATAATAAAAATAGTATGCTCTGCTTATACAATAGGGATTACGGTTATATACTAGAGTATTTACAACTTAGTTACTGCATCGCTTAACGGAACCACCTCTGCAATTGTCGCCAGCAATAAATGGGGTTTCCTTAAGCCAGGCAGCCAAAAGGTTATACAATAATTATTATTTAATAAATAACTGGCAGCACACATACATTTTTTTCTTTTGTCAACGACGAATTGCTTATAAACGTTTCTCCACAAACCAACATGCCTTCAATATTCATTTGGATATTAAATATGCGAAATTGTGTTTGTTTGTGAGCTAATTATTATTCCAAAAAAACGCAAAACACAACCAGTAATACATCCACGTGTAATATGGGTTGCCACTACTATTGAAGATTTGTTGGTTAGGCCAATTTATTAAATAACAATTCGCCGTTAATCCAAAAACAAGAAAGTAAGGCATATTTTGACGATACTAAACATAAAAAAGGTATACCTAATGTAATGTGTAGCTGCTTGTAGATGATTGAACCCGTCGAAAAAACACTGCTTAAAACGTGGTAAGTAATGAAAAACAGAAATTCTATAGAATGTATCAGAATGAACTTTTGTTTGTTGCAATATAAGTACACCAAATTATACGAAAGGAGCATCTACTAATCAATATGTAAAAGTTAATCATAAAAAAATAAAAGAGACAGAATGAAAACTTGGTTAATGAACAAACGAACAAATCGTTAAAAATTAAACTGCAACTATTATGTATATATACAATGGGAAGGGGTGGGGAGGAATGAGAAGGCGATAAGTATGAGAGTTTACTCATCATCATCCTCTTCATCAACCTCATCTTCCTCTACCTCTTCAGGTTCAGGTACTACGGCCTGCTGCAATGCAGGATTGTTCCTCTTCTTGTATGCAGTCATTTCCTTAAAAGAAAACACAACCAAAATGTCAAAAATGTCAAAAAAACTATAAATTTTAACATTTTTGATAAAAATAAAAGGTTTTTCCAAATTGGCGCCCAATTTGTAAAATTTAAAAAGATTTGTAATATTCAATTTAATTTATTAAAAAAAAATGCAATGTGTTCTTTTTGGTTTACCATTACAATTAATTACAATTGAATCAGTGAGATTAAGAACAGTACAAGTCCAAAAGTTAAATTTTGTAAAATAATTTATATCTTTTCACAAAAATGCATTTTAAACTTTTAAATTGATTTTAGAAAATGATTTGTCAAAATAAAATGTACCTCGTTAATTTTTTTTAGTTTGGACCCGTGTTTAAGAACTTTTAAGAGCAAAACTTCATTTTGATGAAGCTATGCCAAATGCCTCAATGGCAGAAAAAGTACATCGCCTTATGGACATTTTTGAAGTAGAATAGAATAGAATAGAATAGTTTATTGTCATCAAAAAAATGTTACATGACTAGTCAAAAATTTGAAGTTACAATAAAATAAAACATAATAGGTACAAGTAAAAAAGTAACGTTTTTGGTTTTAGAAATATTAAATCACACATTATTTTCAACTAAGCAGATCAAAATTTTTTGAAATTTTAAAAAATGAGGAAATATAAAAAACAAAAATTAAAAATTATTTGCTGTCAGGTTCAACCTTTTTGTGAAAAATCTAGTAGTTAATTTTTCTGTCTTTGAAAATAGCATCCATTTGGTTTGAAAAAGATAAGCAATATTTACAAAACTTTTTCTTCTTTCAATTTGCAAGTTACTGATCATTATTAGTCCTGGACATTATAATTATTACACTACAAGTATTAAAGTCCAGTGGCTTTAACAAAATTCCCATTCACCATTGGAGTCCAATGATTGGACAACATTCACATGTGTTCACATACAATTTTAATTTCTTTTATATAAATTATTTTCAAAGCGAAGATTATTATCCGATAGGAATACTTTGTCTCTCCTGGGCCGTAGTCACCTATATTTAACTATTTTTTATATGATTTTACTCATCTACGCACCACCAAAGCCAAATTAATTTCATTTTTAACTACGAATTTTGACAAATACAATATTTTAAACATAACCACAATTACTTTTATAACTATAGTTTAGTTTGGTTCCGTATTTACCAACCAAACCTAAATTTGCAACGTTGCCGCAGTCCAGATAAAAAAAATGAACTTTAAAGAACAGTAATTACTGTTCTCACCAATTCAATTTAAAATAAAAAAACATTTGTTATGTAATGCAGTGGCTAACTTTGTATGTATTTTTAGCCCACCAAATTTAACTACAAAACACAGGTTTCCTTCCTCCTATGCCTCAAATAAATAATCTAGTAAATAAAAAAAGACACCATTTTTAGTGTGTCAAAGTTTTCCCCTAAGAAAAGTGTCAATGTGGAAAAAAAGTCAAATTTTGAGGTTACACTTACTTTTTCGTATCTGGCTTTATCTTTGTCGGCGAGAGCTTCGAATTTTCCCTTTACTTCCGGTGTGACGTCGGCCCACCTTCTGCCCAACTCCTTGGCGATGTCCCCCACTCCGTATTCCGGGTTTTCTGCCTTAACTTTCCCCCTCTCGTCGTTGCTGAACCAGAAGAAGGCCGACCTAAGTCAATAAAAAAATTAAAAATCCAAAAAAACGATGTTTTTCAATTTTTTTACTTACAATGATCTCTTTGGCGCGTTGGGGTCCTTGGTTTGTTTCCTCTTTTTGCCGCGCTTCTCCCCTTTGGGGGGCGTGTAGTTCTGCATTTCATTGTCGTAGCGCTTCTTGTCTCCTTCCGCCATCTCTTGGAAACGCTTCTTCTCCTTGTCGACCATGGTCTGGAAAAATTAAAAATATTGCTGTTAAACACCACAACTGGCACACACCACTTTCTTAGATTTTATTTAATTTCATACTGTAATTTTGATTTATTGTTTCCAAAAGAAATAAAAGTACCATAACCCACAATGAATTGGGCCATAACCTACATATTTAAATTTGGTTAACTGTCAGTGTCAAAAATATACCTTTAGTTTATTTCGTTTTTTCAGCAGTTTTATTAATAATTAATAAATCTAATACCTACATATAAAATGTTCTTCTGACATTGCGTATCTCGTTTTTGTGCTAAGTAAAAATATGTTAACTACAATATTAATATTATTACACAGAAGAACATAATAAATCATTTTAAACTTAAACAATAAAAATACAAGAAAGCAGTAGGAAATAAAATATATTTAGCTGTTCGAATATTTGTCACTTTGAATTCTTCAAATGTAAATTTAAAGTTTTCAAATATTCGGAATTTTTTAGCACAGGATTATAACCAGTCAACTTTTTAAAACGTTGCCAATTGATCAAACTGTGCAAAATAATAAGTTAATCAAAATCAAAAAATGGATTTAAACAATTTGTAAAGTGGATTAGAAAATAAGAAACAATTTTAAATACATTTTTTTCTGGTAAAAAAATCATTTTTCAAAACATTAATTTACATGAATGCATATGCATATGAAGGGGTAAAAAGCAAAAGGGTACAAGTGCATTTTAGCATGAAATTAAGTTAAGTGCAGAATTGGGTAGTTTACAGTGCATTTTTTTTTTAATTTCACAACGTGAAAATAGTACAAGTTCTGCATGTTAATTAATGCAAACAGCAATATTGTAACAGGTATCTAGATTTTTGTAAATGGGTGAATCTCACGAAATGTCCCCCGATGGTGGTACCCCGTGATATTTAATAAAACTAAATGAGTTTGACCTACACTTTTATTGTGTTTTGATCTTTCAAAATTAAGTAGATATTACAGCTTAGGTTCCAGATTTTTAACCGCAATTAATAATTTTTTACAATGTTTTAAAAATCTAAAACCCATCCTCCGACTGTTACTCTTTCTAAGTTAACCTATATATTTTCAAATATCTTAGTAGTAAAAGCATACTAAAAATATCAGTTCACTAAGTAAATTATACACATCCAACGCAATCGAATCAAATATAAAATATTATTAAAAATTAAAAGAAATAATTTTTATAACCATTTATGTAGGTGTTACAAAAATTGATTCTATCCTCCGTGAATCTGTTTTTGCTTTCAATTTTATGCAACGGATGGCGCTTTAATCATTTTAAATAAGCAAAAACCTCTGTTTACGACATTATAGGTGCATGTGATTCCTGAAGGTCAGTTTGAATTTATATGCAGATGAGAGTGTTGCTGTTTTATAATTCCAAAGTTCATTAATTTGCTTTTTAAAAACCTATCCACCGTGAAGTGTAAGTAAGTGGATTTTTTTTATAAATATTTTCTAAATATGTACAATTGTATTTTAAAAAAATATTAAGGTGTCAAAAGATACAATAACTTATTTCAAATATACAAAGGGACGTTTAAAAAAAACTTACGAAATCCTAACCTCCGTGAAGCTATCTTCCGTGAAGCTTTAATATTCAAAATGTATGATTTCTTAAAATTCTTGAATTAGTGCAGAACCACTTATGTTATTACTAGAGCTGGTGGCTTCCCAAAAACCCCATTCTAGACTAACAGTGAAACAACCAAAAATAAAAAATAATCATTTTCACTTGGGGAACATCTCAATATATTCACCCATATGTATAGCAAAATATTTAAAAGTTAATGACACCACTCACAAAAATAATGATTTTACGAAATCTATAATTTTATAACAGTCATATTAGGCTTTGAACATCCTATACAGGGTACACCCGGTATTCTTTTATGTAGGTATTGGCACAATCCACACGTGGATTGTGGGTATTGGTATATTTTTCTTTAAAAAAGTAACTAAGTCGGTTAAATTAGAAAAAAGTGGCGTCATTAAAAGCTAATAAAATTAAATTTATAAATTAAAAAAACAGCCGTTTTCAAAATATCAAAAAAAAACTAAAAACGTGTCAAAAACAAAAATTGTTGTTCCTGGGATTTAAAAAAAAGTAAGTTTCACATTTATTTGAATTTTCATCAAATTTGTGATTTTTTTGGATAGGTACTAGATATTTACAGTGATGTAATGTATCGAGATACATGTATCTAGATACTGGATCTAGATACATTTTATGTACCTAGATACGTATCGAGATACTTAAAAAAATCAGGATCTACTTTAGTATCTAGATCCTTTTGAAAGTATCTAGATCCTTAGATACAAGATACATTTTATTTTGAATTTGCTTTCATATGGCGCGTAAATATAAAATTTATTTTTCTTACTACCTCGACTCAAAATACGTTGTTTCGTCCCCGATTCCACGGCAGAAAGTTTACGTTTTATGCATTGGTCAAGCTATACGCGCACACTCTAATAGCGGGAGTAAAAATTTTTTAGTCGTGTGCTTAACATTCAAATTTCGTACTGCCAACATGAGAAACACAAAAATATGACAGTTTGAAACCATAATTTTGCAATTATAACAACAAATAAACAATTTATGTTTTTACTTTTTTACTTTTTATGTTGTTTTAAGTGTTTAATGGTACTTTTATTTGTTATAAAGTAGTAATTTGTTAATTTAAATACAACGTTTTATTTTTACTGTATTGGCACCGCTGAATTCACGGCCTACTTTTATTTATTTATCAAGCTCTTTAAATGGAGATAGGTACATAAATACACATTTAATTTTTTCCCGTATTTTCGGCCGGGTTGTATTTTCGGCCGAGGTAGTAAGAAAAATAGTATACACTACACGGGTAGAAAGTGTGAGAGCCCTGAACTGCGCGCCATGCAGGCAGGAATCTCACACTTTCTGCCCTTGTAGTGTAATATACTATTCCGTTTTTCATGGATATTTCGTCAATTTTATCAAAACAGTTTTATTTAATAGTTAACACGCTTGTTTATAAGGTCCAAAAAAATTTTTTTTGTCATTTAATTTTTAAGTTTTTTTAACATAGTATCTGGAAGTAACTTAGATACTTTTTGAATGTATCTGTATCTGTACTAGGGTGATTCATTTCCGCAAAGTTATTTTTTTTTTCGGTGCTCAAGCAAAATATTAATCTACCTATAGAAAACAAAATTTTCACCAAGGTAGAGCTCTTAATATCAATTTTAAGTACTTGCAGTTTCAATTTAAAGTTTTCCCATTTAAAATGCATGTAAAAAAATGTTTTTTTTTTCAAATTTCTAATGCTCGCCCGCTCTTTACAATATTGTAAATCGGTTTTATGGACCTTATAGGGAATTTCACGCTCTTCAAAATTGTCTTTGTGTTTTTTTGTGTAACTCGTAGTGGTTCGCCAGTAGGAGTCATCAAAGTTCAATTTTTTGAATAAACATTTTTTTTTTTGCAATTTTTTTTAACAATTCGTTAAAAATAGTGAAAAAAAAGAGCTGAATCGGAAAAAATAGTCTTTTAACAAATATTTGATGAATTTACGGCCATTTTTATATCTTAAAACGTAAGTAATTGATAAATATTAACCAATTATGCTATTTAAATTAAACTTTCTTATTTACTATCGATATAATTCTCTACACCAATAACTTTTTCAGAGTTATTATGATTTCTGACTAAAAATAAATATAAACATAACACATCAATTCATAAAAAAACAACAAAACTTTAATCAAAACAAATAACAGATTACATTATTAGATAATATATTGCAAATTTAATAAAAATCTCAATAGTCATAAATAAACAAGTTGATAAATATTAAATTATTTCGACTTTTATACAAAGCAAATTAAGATTTTGCTTTATGACGTAACTAACGTGCCCTTAACATGTATACAGGTACAATTTATTATTAATCAAATAATTATCATTATTTTTTTACTTATGTTCGAATATGCCATCAATATATTATTTAGCGCAATTATTCAAATAGCAATTTCTACTTATACAATATTTATGCAAATGAAGTTGACAATAAAAACAATGTACTTTTTCGTTAATTTAAGAATTTTGTAAAAAAAAATTGAATAACCTTCATTTATATTTATTGCTATATTACGGAAATGTTGAAAAATTGCAGAATCCAAGTTGCAATTGTATATTTGTTGTTTTTTTATAAATTAATGTGTTTTTTTATATTTATTATAAGTCAAAAATCATAATAACTCTGGAAAAGTTATTGTTGTAGAGAATTATATCGATAGTAAATAAGAAAGTTTAATTTAAATAGCATAATTGGTTAATATTTATCAATTACTTAGGTACGTTTTAAGATATAAAAATGGCCGTAAATTCATCAAATATTTGTTAAAAGACTATTTTTTACGATTCAGCTCTTTTTTTTTCACTATTTTTTGCGAATTGTTAAAAAAAATTGCAAAAAAAAAATGTTTATTTAAAAAATTGAACTTTGATGACTCCTACTGGCGAACCACTACGAGTTACACAAAAAAACAAAAAGACAATTTTGAAGAGCGTGAAATTCCCTATAAGGTCCATAAAACCGATTCACAATATTGTAAAGAGCGGGCGAGCATTAGAAATTTGAAAAAAAACATTTTTTTACATGCATTTTAAATGGGAAAACTTTAAATTGAAACTGCAAGTACTTAAAATTGATATTAAGAGCTCTACCTTGGTGAAATTTTTTTTTTCTATAGGTAGATTAATATTTTGCTTGAGCGCCGAGAAAAAAAAAGTTTTTTGCGAAAATGAATCACCCTAATCTGTACCCAGATATTTTTGGGAAAATGTATCGGTATCTGTACCCAGATACATCTACCAGGGAGTATCTGTATCGGTACCTAGATACTGAAAAAAATGTATCGGTTACATCACTGGATATTTAGTTACAACCACCATATTTTGTTTTCCTATGGCCTCCATATTGGAATTTTACACGTTCATACAAAAAAAATCAAGGAATTCAATGATGTATCAAACTACATAAGTACAAAAATAGTAATTACAATAAAAACAAAAATTTTAATTTTACTAAAACTAAATAATTAGGCATAAAAACTTGGAGAGGCCTCTGTTTAAACTCGATCAAATTTTGTCAAGATTTTAATATATAATTTGAATGTAGAACGTGTGAGGGAAATTCGCGCACGCGTTGCTTTAAAGACAAAAATCAATTTCGTCGTCAGCAGCCAGCTCCAAGCAAAGGGTTTAGGTAATTTTGCAATTCCCCCTTTTTGTAATAGTACGTTCAAAAATGTACTCAATATGTCGCCCTTTTATTCCATTTTTCGAAAACCTAATTAAAACGGACGACCAATACCTTATAACACACATAAATAACGATTTAAATATGACTTAATTGAAAATAGAAAATAAGGGTCCGAGATTGTAGCCGGAGATTCTAAAATTTATAGCGCGCCGTGTACGTTGAAAATTTAAATATTAAAACGTTCGTTCGGCTCTGCAGCAGGCTGCCTGTGGAAGAAAAAAAGAACCGACCGAACTTAAGACAAAACCAGTTTACCTTCGGACGAGATGCTAACATAATTTTAAACGGCCATTCCACGGGAACTCTTTAATGCTTGAATAAAAAATATCCCAACCGATAGACGGACACAAATTTACAAAATAATTCAACATTATGTAAGTTAATTTTGTTTGCGACTAAAATCGCTTCGAAATCGAGATTTTACAAAACTGAAACTAAAGTTTGTTTTTGCAGAGTTGGTTAAGAAGAACCAAACGATTTTAAATTCCTGTTAACACGTTTAATTTAAAAATAAGAAGTAATTACTGATGAATTTGTTCTAAATATTTATATTTTGTCAATTCTTATTATATCATACTAAAAAATGAAAATTAGAAAATAATTATAAATTGGCGCCCAACCGTTGCGACGGTGTAAAATTTTAAATGCTTGTAACTTTAACAATTTAAATTTGGTTTTGATGAAATTTGCAGAATTGTTTAAGAAAAACATGTCAATTTTTTTTTTAATAAAAGTAATACCTACTTTAAACACATTTAATTCTCAAAAATAAAAAGTCAATTTCTAATATGACATTAAAATTAATTTAAAATGAGAAAATACCGATTTTACTAAATTTATTAAAGACTTGTAACCATTTCAATTGGTTTTTGATGAGATTTGTAAAGTTTTAAGGTTAAAAAAGTAAGAAAAACATGTTGGTTTTAGTAAATAACTACTACCTAATATTTTTATAAAAATTGTAAACTTCTAAATAGATATTTGCAGAGTTGGTTAAGAAAAAACGAACGATTTTAACTTTTAAAAAACACAAATATAAATAAATAAATAATCAATTCGTATTATAACATACTAAAAAATGAAAATTAGAAAATAATGATAAATTGGCGCCCAACTGTTGCAACGGTGTAAAATTTTAAATGCTTGTAAGTAATTTTAACAATTTAAGTTTTTGATGAAATTTGAGTTGGTTGAGAAAAACATGTTGATTTTTTCTTCCAGTAAAAGTAATACCTACTTTAAACACATTTAATTCTCAAAAAACATTAATTAATAAAAAGTCAATTTCTAATGACATCATTAAAATTAATTTAAAATGAGAAAAACCGATTTTACTAAATTTAATAAATGCTAAAACAATTTCAATTCGTTTTTGATGAAATTTGTAAAGTTCTAAGGTTAGAAAAGTAAGAAAAACATGTCAATTTTAGTGACCTACTATTTTTATAAAAATTCTATACTTCTATAAGATATTTATTGGATAATTTTAAATTCCTGTAATTACTAAAAAAACTGATAAACTTGTTCTGAGTAGTCAGTTTCTATTATAACACGTTAAAAATCAATTTAAATCTCGCAAAGAATTAAAAAATAACGATTTTACTAAATTGGCGCCCAACGGTTTAACATTTTGTGAAACTGAAACAAAATTTGCTGTAGAAAAAATAGCGAAACTTATTTTTCAAGCAAAATCGATACTTCGAAAGTTATTTGTTTTTTTATTAAATTCCCTCCGAACACGGGTAATAAAAAACGGGTCGGCGTTCAATAACCCTGCGTTCCGTCGGCCCCGGGCGCTGCAAGATTTATGATACCAGTTTTTGAACGTCGCTTATTAAATATTTGTTGCGTAAAAAAATAGGAAATCACGTTAGATGACGATATAAAAAAAAATCCTACCTTCCACCTTTCGGCGCATTTCTTGGAGAACTCGGCGAAGATGACGTTCTCTTCGGGGTGTTTCTTCTTGTGCTCCTCGCTGCAAGTTTGCACGAAGAACGCGTAAGCGCTCATACGGCCCCTCGGCTTTGCGTCGGCCTTTGCACGCGGCATCCTGCCTTTAGGAATCTGCTGCTGCTGCTGAATTTGATTCGTCAGTTGCTGGTGTTGCTGTAACACCGGATGTTGCTAAAATTAACAAAAAACACCCTGTATGCCGATAAAAACTTCTTGGGGTGCCAGGAAATCGTAGTTTTTAAATTAAGTTAGGCCTAAACGTAGTTTAAGAGGCCTCGGTTTTAACCGATGCATTATTTCGTAAAAGAATCTATTTCAATGTTCCAAGTTCTAAAACTGTCAGATAGTCTTAAAAACCCCAAAGCTTTTGCCATTAAAGTATTTTTCTACAAAACCTAATTGAGGGGCCTAGAAGTAAAAGGGTTTAAGTGCATTTTTGTTAGTTCTAAGATAAATGGCTTTAAAGTTAACTTGAATTTTAAAATTCTAGAAAAAAAATTAAAAAACTGTGTAAATATTTTAGTTTTGTTTAAAGACAAAAAAGGATTATAAAGAAAAAGGAATTTTTTAATTTCGCTTTTTTGTTAATTTTTTTTACAAAAATGTACTTGAATCGTCATGCACGTAATACAAAATTTAGTGGTAAAATGATTTAAGTGCAATTACTGTACTAGAACAAAACTTTATTTTTTAAAATTTGGGTAAGTTTTATAACAAAAAGTATTATTCATAATAAGAATCTAATACAACGTTTTCTTCATCTGAATTAGCTGGTCTTGGTTGGGGTTGATCTAAATTGGATTTTTTTGGCTCAATGCTATGGTCTGTTTTAAAATACTTGTCAAGGCTTTAGCAGCATAGATACTTATGATGTTTAGCAGTAAAAGGTGCACTTAAATCGTTTTACCAAAGATATATTTTAAAATATTTTGACAGGTTTTTAAAGACGATAAAAAATGGCGCCAGAGAATGTAAAATATACTTATATAATTTTACCACTAAGTTAGAATATTCTTTAGGTGTGATATTCTGCACTTAGAGCATTTATTTAAAAAAGTGCACTTGAACCGTTTTACTTCCAAGCCCCTCAATTAAAATAAAAATTGATAATAAAAACTGAGCTGATGACGCTGGTTCTTACCGTGTGCAAGTTGTGGTGTATCTGCTGAGAGTGCACTTGCTGCTGCAGATGCTGCGCTTGCTGCTGAAGCTGGTGATGCCTGGCTTGAGCTTCGGCTATGGCTTGGTGATGCTGCTGGATAGCTGCTTCCGCGTGATGACGCTGAGCTTCTTGCTGCTGCTGTCTTTGCGCTTCTTCGCGTCGATTTTGAGATTCGGACTGTTGCTGATTTGCGAGAATTTTTCGTTAAAAAGTTATCAAATAGCCGAAATGTTGTTATAAATGACAAAAAGTCTTAAAACAACTTGTTACGTCCTTAAACATTCCCAGCTTACTGAACCCCCTATATATTTTTATTATTTTTTAACTGTTTGAACTTGCAATTTTAGTAATTGATGCGTTTAAAATGGTTTTATCAAATCATTTTAGTTTTAAATAATCGTTTTACGTTTTTTTTTTTGCTAAAAAAACGTTCGTTAACATACTTCATGGTCTAATTATTGTTTTGAAATAACAAAAAATTTTTTTTTAATTTTTTTAAACCATTTTGAACATAATTAAAAATCTAATTTAAAAACGCCAAACATATTAAATATTTAAAAATTTTAAATATGTAAAAACAAAATTCTGGAATAAAATCTTATTTCAGTCGAGAAATATCATATCGTGTCTTTTTAAAATTTTTCCGAAAAATAAAAAGCACTTAAAATAAAAAAATCTGTAAAAACACATTAATGCACTTGTCTTTGCATTGTTTGTTTTACCCGGTTTTTGAATAATTAGACAACTTGAAATTTGTATTTTTCTCAAAAATTTTATTACGTAGGTATATTAAGTAGGTAGGTAGGTAAAAGCTATTTTTTATATTTAATATATTTAAAAAAATACATTAATCCACTTGTCATTGCATTGTTTGTTTTACCCGCTTTTTGAATAATTGGAATTTTTTTTCTCAAAAGTTTAATTACTTATATTATATGGTATTTTTTATATTTAAAACATTTTATAGGGTTTAGGTACATATAAAAGCATCCCGTGTGTCCTTTTTAATTCGATAAAAATTCATAGTATAATTAAATACTAATTATAACTGGGATTTTATCAAATTGGCGCCCAGGCTTCGTAACAATTTTAGTTTGTTTAAAACGAAATTCACGGGGTGGTCAAAAAGAGGGTTTATTCAAAACATCTCGTTTTTTTCATTTTTTTATTACCGATTGTTGCTGCGAATGCATATTTTGCATTTGGTCCATTTGTTGCTGATACCACCACTGTTGGTGCTGCTGTTGGGGCGATTGTTGTTGTTGCTGCGTGTTATTTTGTTGCTGATAATTGTTCATTTTATTATTATAATACATTTGTTGCTGATCGTTAGCGACGTGTTGCTGTTGTAGCATTTGTATATTGTGTTGTTGTTCGTTCGAAACATTGTTTTGGCCTTGCCACCACGAATTGTTATCCGCCGTTTGGCCCCAACCTCTTTGATTTTGTTGATCCGACATCGCACTACCACGCAGGCGCTTCAACCCTCATTTAATCAACCACATTCAACAGTAACAGAATTAAAACACGAGCACATCACCTATAAACAACGATAACAAACAACAACAACGCTATGACAACGAGAACAATAGACGGACGCGCTCTACGCCGCTTGCTTCGCGCGACTGCTCTCCTCTCCGAAATCTGGCAACAGAGTCGCCGCCGGTGGACCAATCGCACGAGAGATTGCACGCGAGCGCCCTCACACGCAGCGGTGACGGCGGGAAGCAACCGCGGACCAACTAGCTTCCCCCCTTCCGACCCTCGCTCCCCCCTCAGCCAGCCCGGTCAATAATAAGAAGAACGAACTGTTCGAATTCCCGTTCCCTTTGCAGCCACTCGAAGCCGCCCGCGCTTCTCGCCCCCCTTTAATTAAAGTTTTCGAGAGGGCGCCAATTTATCGCTCCCAGATGGAACGCGATTTCGGGGATATTATATTTATTATGCAGAAAAACAATCAAGCAATCATAAAAACTATAATTCGGGTAAACAGTTATTAAAATGTATTTTTTTTAATTATGTAATCAACAAAAAATCGATAAAACACCTTTAAAATTGTAAAAACCTTAAAAGCAATTAGGCCTGAACCGAAAAATTCACAAGGCAATCACGGCACAAAATATTAAACTTAATTAATAGATATTTACAAATAAAAATGTTTAATTTATGTACCTAATTAAAAAAGAAACCTCCAAACGGTATTATTACTGAGAATTAAATCAAAAATTTAACGAAAATCGTATAACCAATCAGTTACAGATAAACCGCAAAATTTATACCAGCAATTTTACTAGAATTACGATAAATAATAACCTATTTACGCCTCGTAAATAATCACAACAGTGTTAAATCGCAAACGCATAAGTAACAAACAAAAATTATAAAAACTTTACTAAAAAATGGCGCTTATGTTTGTGTTGGCAAAGCGTCCTAAATTCCCGCCATAATTAATAAATATATTTACACGAACAAAACTTAAAAATGTATCAACAGATATAAAAAATATATAAACACACGCTACATTTTTACACATTCCCTACATACGCAAAGTCTGTATTCAATGTAAATTACAAACACTTAAAAAACCGTTAAAAATCGGTTAAAAACGGCGTCGGTTGTTGATTAACGCCCTTTGTTTGCCAATTTTGACTAAAATTGCCCTAGAAAATGTTTGGTGATATTTTTTGTTTCGATAGGTATAACGAAATAAAAATTAGTTAATTAATGATTTTTTGTGATTTATTTGACCTCCATTGACCTTCGTCTAATTGGGCTTTGTTCTAAAATTTTCATAAAAATCGTGGAAATCCTATGTTAAAATCTTACGCGGAAACTTTTTGGCGGCAAAAATCCACATACGAAACTTACACGAGAAAAACTAAATTTCTATCAAAGCCTCAAAAATCGGCTACGTCATCAATAAAAGTTAAGTTTAATTAAAAAAAATATGCGTGGAAATATGTTGCAAGCTATTGTAATTAATAAAATCTGCGAAAATTGCAAGTTTTTTTTATTAAGTACCTATAGGCTTCTATGCGTTCGTATAGAAAGCCATAAGGTATAGGAAATACAGTGTATAATGGAGTCGCTATACGCTGTACAGTTTGGTATAGGAACAAAGCCAAGATTTTAAAAATTCGATTTTAGTGGCTTAGAGTCGGAATAAAGCCTTGAAACTTTGTATAAAAATCGCAAATAATTCAAAGATTGCTATAAAAAATCGACGCTTCTCCAGAGTTATGGCAAAGGGTAGTAAAAAAATGTTAAACGTTCGCCGTATGAAGCCAATGCTTTTCTATGGCAGCCATTTGCTACGTATAATATACACGGTATCAGCATTTCGTTAATTCGGCGTTTCGGTTGAAAATAATAAGAAGAGGAACTCACCGCTCTACAGGATCAATTACGAAAATTCACAAGTTCACATTACCCGAATATTGCACACTGACAACCCGTACTTTAGTAAAATATAAATATTTCTTACCTTGCAAGCCTGGAAACCACACTGAATACACGGCGTTCGTATACCGACCCCACGCCAGCTTGCTCTTGTTTGTTTGCTTCTTTCATTGGGCGGTTTCGAATGTGCCGCAAAAAATCGACCAATCGCCGGCCCGCCCCAGCCGACTTCGTTACGTTTCTTTCTCCAACCAATAATAAACATAGTGGAACAATTGAGAGAGAAAACAAATTGTGTGCATTTCGGGACGCTTTTAAGCGGGAATCAATTTACCAACGACTCTTTTTAACATTAATTACCTACTGTTACTTTTTATTTGTGCATTTAAACGAAAAAATGCATTTTTTAACTTTTCTAGACGCTTTTAACACACTCTATGGCCGTTTTAAATGGACGTACTCCTCACAATCCACCTTTGAATGCGATTTTTTGGATTAATTTGAATTCGATTTTTTTAACCGTTGGTTGATTTTTGGGGGAATAAATGTTTTTTTGGAGGAGCTTGTTCTTTAGTAAAATTCTTATTGTTTAAAAAAACTTTATTTATTATAATACATAAAAATATTACACTATTTTTTTAAGATCGTATAGATGTAATAGACGAAAATCAAGAATAATAATAACAAGGAATTATCATTTATTAATTATTATTTATGTTACAAAAAACGCCTAAAACACAGCTGATTAAAACAAGGAAGACGATAAATATCGAACAAATAGGTAATCATTATTATTATTATTATTATAATATCACTCATTCTTTTCTGGTAGACATACACAAATATACGACATTAAAAAAAAACGAGAATCGAACAAAATATAAATGAAAAACAGCCGCTATATTGTAATTTTGCATTTTTTATATACAATGAAAATCATAATTTAGTTAATCCACTTCGTCGTCTTCCACGTCCTCCAAAATCTCAGGTACTGGTGCCTTCTGCAATGCAGGGTTGTTCTTTTGTTTATACGCTGTCATTTCCTGGGGAAAAAAAAATAATTAATTTGACGGATGTCAAATAAACGTCAGAATACTTACAATATCGTAGCGTGCCTTGTCTTTAGCCGCCAACTGCTCGTATTTGGATTTTAGTTCAGGGTCGGCGTCAGCCCATCTTCTGCCCAATTCTTTTGCGATGTCGCCCACTCCGTATTCGGGGTTTTGCGCCTTTACCGAACCTCTTTCTTCGTTACTGAACCAAAAAAATGCAGATCTAAAACAATTTCAAACAAGAATCAAGAAAAACAGTTTGAAGTTTTGGCAGTTGTCGCTAAGTAAATAAAGTAAATAATGAAAAGTAACCGGTCGTCAGCGGTATACTCACTCACAATGATCTCTTTGGTGCGTTGGGATCCTTGATTTGTTTCCGTTTCTTTCCTTTGACTTTTTCGCCCTTGGGGGGAATGTAGTTTTGCATTTCCGCGTCGTAGCGCTTCTTGTCTCCTTCGGCCATCTCTTGGAAACGTTTTTTCTCGTTATCAACCATCGTCTTAAAAAACAAAACTTGTTCATAAAAATCCCCAAGATCGGGGAAGAAATGCACGACGTGGCATCGCCGCGCATTAAAAAACCGTTTAATGAAAACGAGTTTTTAAAAACGTATCAAAGTTTTTTCATCACGCTCCTCATTAATTTAAGCTTGTTAATTTGGTTTGAAGGAAACACATGTGTCGTGTGTTTGGTGCGGGTTCGTTACGCAAGCGCCCGGTTAAAAGGACGAAAATCAATTTTGCTTCCGGGAAAAGGGCCGAGAAGGAATTAGAAGGCACACGCATCTACTACCCTTTTAAATAAAACCCTTAAAATGTAACACCCCACTCTCCTCCTCGCTGAGCGCTCTTATTATATGCTTGCCAGGCGTATTGATTACTTGAAAATCCGGAATTAAGTTTTTTCGACTATAAATTAAAATAATCCCGTTTTTATTACCCCCCATCACAAAAGGTTTTTACCTAGTAGATATCTCAAACCAGTTTCTACCTACTGGAGAGGTAGAAAAGTAAATGATTCTCGGAAACATTAAAATCATCTCTTACCTTCCATCTTTCGGCGCATTTTTTGGAAAACTCCAGGAAAACGACGTTTTCTTCTGGGTGCTGTTTTTTATGCTCCTCTCGGCAAGTCTGCACGAAAAACGCGTATCCGGTCATGGGACCCCGCGGTTTTCCGCCTTCTTTGTGTTTTCCGGACCGGCCCTTCGGCGAAGGCCTGTTCGTCGTCACCTGCTGATGCTGCTGCAGAACCGATTGCTAAACAAAGCAATTTGTTTATTTGTTTCTTAAAATTTGCGACTTTACTTTCTGTCGGAAGTGATTGCCCAATCAGAGCATGGCTTTCTTCACCGCACACTAGATCGTTAATTACTTCCGATAGAAGAAAACTCGCAAATTTCAGTAAATACCCTCCAGTTTCATTTCTTACGTTGTTATGTTGATTATGTTGCTGTTGTTGGTGATGGTTGTTTTGAAGCTGCTGCTGCAAATGTTGGGCTTGCTGCTGAAGCTGGTGATGTCTTACCTGAGCTTCAGCTATGGCTTGATGATGCTGCTGGAGAGCTTCTTGGTGATGCCTTTGTCTGTCCACATCTTGTTGGTGTTGTTGCCTTTGAGATTCTTCTGACTGTATTTTTAAAAGAAAACATTCCGATTAATGAGAATTTAAATCAGCTGTTGAAAAGCTTATTCGGCAATAAATTGCGACGATCTACGAGATAAAGTGGCGAACGAAGGCCACATAGTTAAAGAAAGAAAAGAAAAAGAGTCTTGCCGTCGCAGACTGAGGTTCAGGTAAACGCGGCTGCTTACCGAGGGCGGGGGACTGTGAGCAGGTGGCTGCTGTTGTTGCTGCAGGCTCTGCTGCATGGAATTCTGCAAGCTCTGCAGAGTGTTGTGCATGTTATCCATGCTGCTGGGAGGATACCACCATTGGGGGTGCTGCATGGCGTTCGGCATCCCCTCGGCAGGCCTGTACTCGAACCCTCTTACACTGCTGGACACCGTCGTCGGGGCGTTCTGGAAACTGTTGGACATTTTGTACGAGAACAATTGCTGCGCGGGGTTGGAGGAACTGCTGGAGGCGGCGGCGTCGATCTGCGCCGCCAATTGCTGCTGCTGCATCAGCTGCTGATGCTGATCGGCAGACATACCGCCCATGTTGTACCACATATTATTCTCTCCACCCTGCTGCTGCTGCTGCTGAGGTTGCCGCGCCGCAGATGCTTCCCAATTATTCTGCTGCTGCTGATTGCCCTGCGACTCAGACATAGCACACTTAACTCACTAAATTCACCACTAACAAATTTATACGCGTAAAACGACGCGAGCGATACATTTATTTTACCAGCACACTCTTCACAGGATATTTTCACGAGACGCGGCGGGCCACCAAATAATTCGGAGTTGCGCTGATCGCAAGAGATGCGGCAACAGGGGATGCCCTACGGCCAATGAGGGGGACCCGCCGTTGCCAAACCACCATCAACGCTTTCCCTCACAAACTTTTTACGCAACATTTTTAACAAATAACACCTTTCACACTTCAAACTGCGAACACACAATCACTCAGCTACATTCTAAACCATATGAAAATTAAAAAAACATGTAAAACTTGTTTTTATAACGTTATTTACCAAACCTGCAAAAAATTATTTTTTATCACAAGCTTTTAACATAATTAATTTATGTAAAAACTCATTTTTTTATAACATTTCTTCAATACATTACAAAAACAACATTAATTTTTTAACATATATATTTCCAAATGCCATAAAACTACATAAACAACATTTCCAGCGCCAATATTCGCAAAACAAATATTCTTTTTATCCCTTTTAGCGAGACTTTCTCGTAAATTTGACAACGTTGTGGGGACGGGATTTGTTTGGGCGCCCTCACACGCAGCGGAGCTTGTTGGAAGCGGCTCGTTCCCCGCTTCACCCCCTCGACCGTCCGCCCTTCACCCCTCCTTTTTAAAACGACCCCTCCGAATCGCGGGCCTCTCTCTCTTTGCTGCTTTGCACGCCCGGTCAATAAGATACAATTTTCAACGTTCCACGTAATTGGGACTCTAATCCTACCCGAAAAAAGGAGTCTCGAACGAGAGTTTTACGTTTTTTCAACGAAATTTGCCCTTATTTTTTTAAGGGGACGCCACTGACTGCAATTTGGAGTTTTCATTGGGTTTTAAAAGAATAAGAAAAGAATCAACCAATCAAAGACGTTGTTTAGGTTATTTTCAAAGCATAGGTGCCTACTTCGATATTTTTTCATAAATTCATTCAGTTACCTATGTATTTTTAAATACAAAAAACATTTCTGTTGTAACTTTAAATATGTCGTGTTGCCAAGTCGTCTAATTAATTATTTTATTGGTACTTTTGCCAATTGGCAAAAAGGCATAATGATTGATTACCCAACGATTATACAAAGTATTATGCAAAGAAGTATATACGTATAGATAATTTCCTAAGAAAAATATTAGAGGCATGGAAGCAATAATCTTAAATTTAATTATATTAATAAGGTAAATCAAACTTAAATATGTTTATTATTCTTTTAATTCTTAACGCAATTTTTTTTTAAATTCTGGTTGCAATTTTCACCGCCTTAAAATAAAATTTAGTTCAAATTTTGGGCCTTCCGCTAAACAGACCGAATTTACAGAAAATTATATTAAAAATATAAAGTTTTCTACCCGATGAGAGATGGCGCTGCAAGTTAAAAGAGTCAAATACTTACAAAGTATATGAAAAGTCACATACTTTGTGTAAAGTATGTGAAAAGAGTCCATATACTTAAGTTTACTTAAGTGTATGAAAGATTCACATACTTCCACACAGTGTGGAAGTATGTGAAAAGATTCATATACCTACTTACCACTGTGTGGTAAGTATATGAAGATACATACTTCTACTGAAAGTAAGTAAAAAGCCAGAGATATAAATCTCTGGTGAAAAGCATAAACTGGAAGTATATGGTGAAAAGATACACAATCACCCTCTACAAGCAAAAAAAGTTTTGTTCATAAATAAATAATCGACAATTTAATAAAAAAGAGTTTATTGGGTTATTTATACATTTTATAAAATTGTTAATAAATAAAGGTTTTAAAAAAATTAAACTTATAATGAGCGATTGGTATCTTTTAAATCAATCCAATCAGGTAGATGACTATCTTTTAAATAATTTTCTCTGGATAACCCATTCATATTAATTAATTCTGTAGCACCGTAAATAGCAGCTCCAAGCCATGCAGCATAGTTTTCTTTGCAAGGCAATGTATGAAACTTAAATTTCTGTATTTTCAATGTTTTATATCTATCTAACTCAAGTTGTTTTGCAAGCTCTTCCTTTAGTCTTGATTTAAAACCAGGTATCATGGTTGTGCCACCAATTAGTAGCATGTTTTCAGCTAATTGTTGTCTTAAATCCATGTCTACTTTTAAAATAGCATCAAGAATCATAGTTGACAAGCATAAATGATCATTATCTTCTTCGTAGAGGACTTCAAAAGTCCTCTCGCGGCATTTTCCTGGTACTATAATTGTGTCAGAGCCACCTAGAGGGTATTTAACATCAGGACATGCTGTTATTTCAGGTTTAGAGGACCCCAATTGTTCGGCACGATATTTTTTTGTGACAAAACAACATTTTACCTTTATATCCTCAATCACTTTTTCTGTGACATTCTGAATGTTTGTATTGTTGCTAGTCAATAGACTTCGTAAGTTACTAAAAAAACAACCATAAATACATAAAAAAAAACAAGGTTTTATTATAAAATACTTATGGATTGCTTCAGAGCCAATTGGTAAAGCTTGCCAAGCTTGAACTATTGGCATTCCATAACATATTGGGATGACAACACCCTCCTTGTAACCTATATCCACTACAAGAGCAGTTTCAGCAGGTAAACTGGATGCAGCAACCAAATGTGATGGCAAAACCAACATTGTAGAAACTTCATAGTGTACAAACAAAACTTTCGCCAAAGTTTCCCGAAATAGGGTGGGACACAGTAAACTTTCGACCACAATAATAGGGCGATCTTTGGGGCTTAATAAAGCATATTTAAAGTATACTTTGTGTATGAATTCCACTAGTAGATCATATAGGTCTTCTGGGGTTTCAAAGTCGATTATCCTGCGTGTTTTTTTCGTCTTTTTGCAGTACACTTCCGATCTGAAAATGCTTCTCGGGGAAAATTCGCCGCTAAAGCCGAATCTACAAAAATATGGTTAAAAACATTATTATAGGTTAAGTAGTGATTTTTACTTTGTAAATGCCGCTCCGATGTCCAAAACTACGGTGAGTTTCTCGGTTGATGCTTCGTATATCGGCATTTTTACGTATTTTGTTGTTTTTGCTTAAATTGTGCACTTTTTGTTACACTCCTTAAAATAAAAATAATTGTAGGTATGCAACCAAAATACAACTGTCAAAATACTTTCTAATCTGTTTACTAATCCTCTAAAGTATTGAAACTTTCATTCGAAACATAAAAATCTTGCAGTGGAATAATTAATAATAATTTATTATTATTAATAAATCAAATCCTTTGGGCAAAATGTACTTACAATGGAATAAATTGTATACTGGGTTGCATAATATAGATGTTATGGCAGGAATAGTTTTTAAATAATTTGACGTATGGCGACACAGATTTTGACAGCTGTCAGAAGGTATTAACCTAACTTTTTCAGTACATTTGATAGGTTAATTTATGGAGCCTACACAAGGAGTCCGAACTGCATGTTAACAAAAATCTTCCTAAAGAAAGTAGGCGCTGGTGTGCCGTTTATTCTGAAACAATTGACTAATTTGTACCGAAACGCTACCAAAAGCATAGAGTAAGTCTCTGACCAAAAGAGCAGACGTCAGGACGCATCAGTGTTACCAGATTCTGTCAAAAAAGGACCGTACGTTTCGTTCGAATTTACCTTAATTACAAAATGACAAAATGACACAATGAAACAATGCAAATAAAGGCAATTATGTCAAGTTGACGTTATTTAATATTGTCCATTGAGTCATTTTTGTAATTAAGGTAAATTCGAACGAAACGTACGGTCTTTTTTTGACAGAATCTGGTAACACTGGGACGCATCAACCATCAGCGCCGCAGGTGGTGAAAAAAAATACTTAATTTGTGCAATTTAGAGGGCAGGTTTTGTCAATTTTCCCTATTAAGTTCGGGCTCCTTGTGTAGGCTCCATGGGTTAATTTTTCAAGCTGTAACTTTATGGCGTTTTATTGACGGGCTGAAGTTAACAACAGTGGCTTTTCGACATTTTACGTCACGGGCTGAAGTTAGCTTTATTATAAATTGGGAAAAAGTGAGGTTATATTCGGGTGACAGTTGACAAATGTCAAAATTTTAACAATTAAAATTGGCTTTAAATTCTGTTTTGTGTTCGTCGTAGATAAAGTATAGTATGAAACTCGTTTATAAACTTCTCTAGACACTCGTTTTTATTAAACACTCGCTCGCAAGCTTCGCTCGTGCTTTATTAAACTTGATACATAATATACTATTAAGGTTTGGTTTTAAATTTGTAAATTTATTGAATTTATATTTTAGAGACCAAGGGTTAATTTTTTAGGATTTCTCTGCGATAATTTTTTTTTAATGTCAATTATTTTTTGTAATAAATTGTTCAAAATTACAGAAACCTCAATTTACTAAAAATATTTATTTTAGAGGAATTTTTGACCTGTCTGGTTACTTCTTTCAGGATTTCACTTGCTCAAAAATGCAGTGAAAAATATGAAATACATTTTTCTATTTTTTGTTATTTAAGTAAAGGTGTTTTAAAATAAAAGTCCCTGTTTTTAACTTATATAATTTAATAATTAATGAATTGCATACATTAAATGTAACAATATTTTGATTTGAATTAACTTAATTGGCTAGCAACTTAATACTAGAATCACAGTTCGTAATTTGAAGATTTGTCGAGGAGCACGCCCTTCTCCATCTCGTTCACGGTCGCCTCGCAGCTGCTGCTCGAGCCCGCCCCCGCCGCCGCCGGCAGCGACGACACCGACGCCCTCTGTCGGCAGCCCAGGAAAGGGGTGCTGTTGGGACTTGAACCTTCCTTACCCTTCAAAAGATATACCTTTAGTCAGTTGTTCTGGGAAAAAATAGGGTTTGAAGAAATCATGATTTAAAAAAAAAACAAAAATCAATGACTTTTACAAAAAAAATAGATTTTTTTTTGTTATTATTACAATATTCAAAATTACAAGCTTTTTTTAATAAAGTTTACTATTAAAAAAAATACTAAAAATAACTTGACTATAATATTATTATATTGGCAATTTTATTTAACAAAATAAGCAGTTTTTCTATGCATATGAATTTATTTAAATAGTGTCAAGATATTATTTAAGTGTTTTTTTAGATTTTATAAACTTTTTTTTAAACCTGATTTAAATCATTGATTAAATAAAAAAATACTTGATTTAAATAAAACGATTTAAATCCGGCAAATCCTGCTGTGTAACAGGATTAGGGTTTTAGTGTCGAAAAAGCCCGGAAAAATTGGGGAAAAAACCTGTTTTTGGAAAAATGGGCTTTTTAGGGAAAAATTGATTTTTTTCTGAAAATATACAAAGCCATCCACAACTTATAATCCTTAAAGATACTACATTTAATCCAGAAAAAAAATAAGTAAAACTAAACATTGAATTAAATTGATTTAAAAAAATAAACGTTAACATTGAATATACTGTTGGTGGGTCCTTTTTGCAAAAGGAAGTCCATTAAAAATATCCATTTACTATGGAACGCCGTTTTAGTATTTATAAGATAATAGTTTGAAGATTAAAGTTTAGCACTTTAATGATGTTTTAACAGAAATTTACCAAGTTAAAATAGTTTTAAATAGAGAAGGATGAGCACTTTCAAAAGCGCTCATAAGTGCTTATAAATGCTCATAAATGCTAATAAATGCTCGACGCTTATAAATATTTTGTTGGAATTTTTTTTTCAATAATTTTTTTTTATAAAATTTATATTTTATCGTTTATAAATGCTCGAGCATTTATAAGCGTTTATGAGCGCTTTGCAAAGCGTTCGAGAATCTGCCATCTATAGTTTTAAATATAAAATACCACTGTAAATCTTGATTTTTAAAAATTTTGGTTCAAATATTTTATTCTAAAGAAATTTGGTTTAAATTTGTAAAGAGTGATTTAAGTACTAGTCGATACATGTTTAATACAAAAATTCTCACATTACATTTAAAAGTAAGTTTAAAATTTTAAAGTGGTACTTGAAAAAGGACAACTTTGGTGATATGTTAAACAAATATTTCTAATTTTTGATAATTTTTGAATTAAAAATTTATTGACTATCACTTTACAAAATTTAAAACAATAATTTTGTAGAATAAAATATTAAAACTACAATATTTTAAACTTAAACTTTTACATTTTGTTCTGAGATTTTAAAAAATCTTGACACTATTTTTAAATATGTACCTACTAAACAATTTAACTTAATTTTATAAAAAAAAATATTTAAGATTTACAAAATTATGCCCAAATAAATTATACTTAAGAAATTATTTTTATTAAAAAATGATGGTTAGAAATTGGTTGGAAATAATATTGTTTCATACAGAAGTGAACTGTTAGTGATACTTAGTTGAAAATATTTAAAATTGATAAATGTAAACCTAAAATTTTTAGTTGGGAAAATTTTAAATTAAAAATTATTTAATAAATGTTAAAACGGCTTGCCATAATTTACAAAATAATGAATGAATTATAAAGTTAAATAACAAAATTATAATTTTATAATTCGATGTGTCAAATAAAACGATAGTTATGTTAATACAGCACCGAATTTTGCGACCCGGTAAAAGATTCTTACTGAATTATTATAATAGGAATAATTATCGAAAATTCGATTTTTATTTGATATTTTTAGAAAAATTTATTTTTTTCGTATTACCCTTTAAATAATTTTTTCCATTGGCTCAATTTTTCCGGAAATTTTAGAACCCTAAGTAGAATGAAACAAAATATAAGTAAGTATGATAAGAATTACATGAGGTTTTGATTTAGTAAAATTCATTTTCTCTGTGAAACCCCAGGTTCATCATCGTTTAAATCTTGTATTATAATCCTTTTCTTGAAGAACGTAAAGGCTTTTTTACTTTTTTTCGACGTTTCTTGTTCTTCCTCGTACTAAATGCAGAGAATGTTAACTGTTGGGAAGAAAGCAACAACAACAACAATAATAAATACCTGTTTGGAGGGTCCGCAGCACGTGTTTTGCAAGCAGTTGTCGGTTTCGTTCGTTTTGGGGCAGTCGAGCACGCAATCCTCGTTGATCGGTCCGCATTGGTCCAGGTCCATCGAGGAGTGGGGCAGCTCGCTGCTGTAGTCGATGAATTCCGGCTGGATGGTCGTCGAGTGGATGCCTTCGTTGTGGAAGAACTCCTTCACCTTCTCCGCTATCATCATGTACTCGGAAAGGTTCCTACACCTAAAAAGTACAATGCATAAAAAATGCATTTAGGAATCTAAATAAATAGGAGTTCACAATTTATTTGGTGCCCTCTCTCAAACTTTATAAAAATGATTGGCACCAACTTTTTCCCTGAAAACAAGATTTGGATAAACTACAATTTGTAGTCTAAAAACCACTCAAAATAAGATTATAAAAACCCTGTTCTGTAAATCATCACTAACCAACACCAGAAAATTGTATAATGAAATAAAGTTATTAAAAATAAATAAACTTGACAGCTTTAAATTAATTAAAAAAAAAAAAAAATCAATCATGATATTGTTATTGTAATTAACTAAAGGCCAAAAACTTAAGAAGAAGAAGAATGATATTGTTAGTACAAATATACAGCTACAACAAAACTGTGATATCCTAACACTGGGAAAAACCAACATTTCCATCTGTAACCAAATGTTACCAACATTGAAAGAAAACGCATAACTTATAATGCTTCAAAACTCTTCAATGAACTTTCTGATGAAATATAATATAATCTTTAACAAATTTGCAAACTTTCTTAAAGGCTGTAAAAACCTATTGATTTAATTTAATTTGCATGTGATATTATAATAACAGGTATAAATACAACATAAATATAAATATACAGTGTTGGCCATAATTTTTGGAACCCCTGTAAAAAATCTAACTCTAAAACGCCTTTATTATTCTTTATGAAATTTTGGATAAAAATACTTCAACTTATATCTCAGTTTACGTGTTCAAGGGTTTTTTGAGAAAATATTTAATAATGATCATTTCCCTCGCCTTAATTTACACCAATCACAAACGCGCAATTTTGAATTACAAATGGTTTCTAGGTGAAAAAACTGTGTGACAGCACCTGTCAGCAGTTTTTTCGAGTTTACCCGCGGCAAAACTTGACAGCTGTTGTCACCAAAAATTGCAATTTATATTTTAATTGTTAACTGTTACTCATGAAATAGTCTTGTCAAATACCATTCGGGCATCTAATTTTTCCTGTAAAAAAATCGAAAAAACACAATGCTAAGTAATATTTTAACAAAATGCATTCGTGCAGGTGCAAAAATCCTCCTCTTCGACTCGGATTTTTGTTGCCACCAGCACTCATGCTTCTTGTTAAAATATTACCAAGCAACGTGTTTTTTCGATTTTTTTCGGAAAAATTAAATGCCCTTATGATATTACTTACGAAAAAACGTTTGAAAAATAACATTTAAATAATAAATAATTATTATTAAAGAACGTATTTTTGTTAGTATACCCTGAAAAGTTTGCAATCATTTTAACTTACCTTATATGCGCAGAGGCGATGATTCTGTCGCCGGCCAGCTGCCACACGTGGAATTCGTGCACAGCCAGGACACCGTCGACTTTGGCCAGCAGTTTGCGCTGAATTGCGTCCACTTGAATGTGCGTCGGAACGGTTTGCAGCAAAATCAGCGCGGAATCTCTCAGCAAAGGCCACACGGAGTGCAAAATCAGCAAGACCAAGACTATACTGAGTGCTGGGTCGATGTAGTAGCGGTATTCCCAGTTCGTCAGCCAAAATACCTAAGGAAGTTTAATTAGAAAACTGCTGCAACATATTTTTTATCCGAAATCGGCAGTAAAGTAGTCAACAATCGGCAGTAAAGTAGAACTTTACTGCCGATTTAATACGAGTATTGTATGCAACCTATTATACATTTTAAGATGTGTCTACTGCTCCTCAGCAGCAACTAAATAAAATTTAAAAAAAGCACCGTCGCGGAGGTTGATTGGACCCTTTCATAAAATGTTGTTTAATAAAAATAATAAGTAATTTTATTAAATTATTAAAAAATCGCCGCGGCGGGCAAATATATCATAACAGTCGCAACAAACAGTATACGTAGACACATTCAAATGACATTTGCTTTGATCATCAAATGACATTTGATTTAATCATCAATATTAATTATTAGTATTATTAAATGTGATTTCGGATAAAATTTAATATGCACCTCGGTCATTTTTTATCACTCACGTGACGTAAAAAATACGACTTTACTGCCTTCATACATGATATTTTCTAAAAAAAAATAGAATATACATAACTGTCTTGATAATTTCGAAAGAAAAAATTTTAAAACTAAAAAAAAATATTTAAGAAAATTAAAATTTCAGTTACCACTATAAGGACGTTCGGGGCAGTTGGTTTGGCAAAATTTATTTTGTCATTTTATTGATTTAAAAAACAGCCAATTTTTTTACTGATTTTATAATTATTTTTTATTTTAATACAAAAGGCACTACGGGCATTCCATAAAAATGCAGACATAATGAGGATAATCACAAATTAATGTATATAGTAGGCTGGGCATCTTGTTTTTAAGCAACGACTTTACTTTATTTATTTGTTATACACATTAAATTTATTTTAGAACTGGCAATTTTGCAAGCATCATAGCTTAGTCCTATATTTTTTTAAACATTGCTATGTCAAAAGGTATCAAAGCTTAATGTAACGTGAGTTACCACCTTTTTTGTTTATTTTTTAACCTGGATATATTTTTGTATTTAACTATGATTTCGCGAAAGAATCGAACGATTTTGGGGTATTTTTTTATAACACATCTCAGATTTTTTTTATATTTTAATATTGTGTTTATACATCTAATTCCAACCTAAATCTAAAATTTTTCTTTTATCTGACCTAAACTTTGGCTCCCAGAGACCATCTAATTTTACCTTTCGCAAAAAGCCATAATTTCATTATATTAGCATAATTTTTTTATTAAAATACTGAATGTTTTGAGATGTGGTCCATAAATGACCCTTATTAGTACCTACAATTCTACCAAAAAAAAAATTAAATTTTTTACATATAGGTGGCGCTGCAATTTTTTCTTCTTCAAAAATAGACGTTTTTTGAGGACCAAAAACTCTCTTAAGCAACAATGCTCAAAAAAACTAAATAGTATACCAGATAATATACATATTCCTTTATAATTTGATATATAAAAATTTACTTGCAAATGATGTTGCCGCCCGTAAAGCCAACTTAAAGTTTTGTTTACCGCATTAAAAAAAATTGAATTACACTTACAACTTTATTCTTATTTATTAACTAAGGAATTCCAGGAGATTACTTTTATTGGTAACAATAACACAGCAAAAAAAAGTTTTATTTTTTCACACCCAGGGGGCGCTGCAGCCTTTTTTCTTTAAAAACTATATAGCATTTCAGATAATATAGTTATGTATTCCTTTATTATAAAGAGTTACGTATTCCATTATTTATTTAATAGGTTTGTTCTTTATTTTATTTATTATGTTTTTCTTTATTATTATTATTGATATTACTATTTCTTTATTATTTAACATACATGTATAACAATTTATCTGCAAGATTTGCATATATTAAATAATAAAGATATATCCTAATAATTATTATAATAATAATAATTATTACCTTTACATTAAATTTTAAACTTGTTGGGCTATATTGGGGTATATTCGCTAACTTTTTAGTTATAAATAACCCTGGTTTATATCCTACTGGCTGGTTCAAATCTCTAGAGCGATTCTCAGAATCAGTCTAGATATTTTAACCATTTATAACTTAAAAGTTACTTAGGCCGCAAAGGAACTACTTTAAAATTGATAAAGCTTCAAAAAAACTTCCGCTTCTGGGCTAATTTCTTCAATTTCTTCCGGCAAATTTTTAAATTTTCTTTTTCTATTTTTGCTTAACCTTCTATCTGACGATAATCTTGATAATAAGCCGCGTATCTGATTAGGATGCATATACTCGTTTGAAGAAAACTAAAATTTGCCATTTACTTCATAATTTTGTAAAGCTGTTGCTATATATTCAGGCGTATATTTTAGTTTTTTCACCTTCTTCAAAAAGGTTGCCAACAAAATCTTTTTGTTTTTCATTAAAACGTGATTTTTTAATTTTGCGCCTTCCGAACCCTTTTGCATATACTCGAAAAAACGTATTTTTATCTTCTTCATTTGGGCATATATTGACGGTAGATATTGTTGAACTAGTTGCAGTTAAAAAAAACATCTTTTTGTTTTAAAAATTCCATTCTAGCAACATCACCTATAGTTGTCTAATTTCAGGAAATGTATGATTTTGAAATTTAAGGTGGTTTAGAAGATCATCTTTATTTTCAAAAACCCTACTGCAAAGTAATTTGTCGCACCTATATTTAATTGCTTTTAAATTATTTAGATTTTCCTTTTGTCGACTCGATGATGTCCAAGGAACTTTTATGTTTACTCCAGAAGAAAATTCAATTCCTAGAATTTTGATTTACTTAAAGAAAATTTATTAACTTTGCGTACCGTAAACACGGGTGGCTTTGGCTCACTTTCAAACTTCAGCTTAAAATAGTTGTGGTTTTAACAATCATAATCATTAAATTTTGTATACCAAAATTTGAGTCTTGAGTTGCTCTTTCATAATAACTATGTTATAATATTACATAGGCTGAGTTTCAAAAATAAACATTAAAAACTGGGTGTGCAAAGTTACCCCCTGGTTGCGGGTTACTTTGTCTCACAGTGTTTTTTCAGTATAAAATAAATGTAATATTATATTTTATTTTTATTAGACACGTGTTAGCAGCGACATATATCTATTGCAAGGGATTACCAATAAAAAAAATAAAAAATCGACCTGTAGTTAACCAAGGATCATCATTCCAATGGATTGCGCATAATATAGAAATTGTAACGCGTGTATTTCTAAGAGTTTTGCACTGATACGATATATACAATTTTAAAGTGTAATAAATCCCATATCTTTCTTTAAAACACTGATTTTCCTGTAATATAAACTCAATAGAATCGCTCAATTGACAGGTTTAGACCAACAAATTATAAATGTTAATTTTATCGAGCGCGAAAAGATTTTTCATAAATTGATTAAAGTCACCCGCGGGGTGCAAAGTCACCCGTATTTACGGTACCTTTAAAAGCATGATATTTTCCCTCTCCAATTTCAACTTAAATTTTAAATGTTATTATGGTTACCATTTGACAGTAACTGTCAACTGTTGGGGTAACTTGATTCCCAGCCTATAGGCTTAACTTTAGTTTAATTTTAAAGTACGATAATAAAGAATGCTTTGCCTCTCGAAATATACTAAAATATATTTAAACAAATGGTCATATTACTATTACTATTACTATAGAGTCACTGAAATACTTGTTACCATTTGTAATTAAAATTTCTTTGGTTTTGTTACCTTTTGTCCGCATACAACAATAAAAGCGAAAAAAGGCGTTTATATAACAATATGCGGGTACGTGCACTAGTTATAATTTTAATCGTCCCTACAACAGGCATTAATTATTGCAAATAAATTTTTATATGTCAAACAATAAAAGAATATCTATATTATCTGATACATTATAAATAATGTCATTAGTTTTTTAAGCAATGTTGCTTAAGTAACTTTATGGTCTTTATAAACGTCTATTTTTGAAAAAAAGGCTGCAGCGCCCCCTGTATATAAAAAAATAAAACTTTTTTTTGTTGCGTTTTAGTAACCAATAAAAGCCATCACCTGGAGTTCCTTAGTTTAAAAATAAGGATAGAGTTGAAAGTGTAATTCAATTTTTTTTAATGCGGTAGACCAAACTATAAGTTGGCTTTACGGGCGGCAACATCATTTGCAAGTAAATTTTTATATGTCGAATTATAAAGGAATATCTATATTATCTGGTACGCTATTTAGTTTTTTTGAGCATTGTTGCTTAAGAGAATTTTTTGTCTTCAAAAAACGTCTACTTTCGAAGAAAAAAAAATTGCAGCGCCACCTGTATGTAAAAAATTAAAACTTTTTTTTGACAGAATTGTAGGTACTAATAGGGGTCATACATGTGCCAAATTTCAAATCATTCAGTATTTTAATAAAAAATGTATGCCAAAATAATGGAATTTGGCCTTTTTGTGAAAGGCAAAATTAAATGGTTTCTAGGAGCTAAAGTTTAAGTCAGATGAAAGAAAAATTTTAGATTTAGTGTTAAATTGGATGTATAAACAAAATATTAAAATTAAAAAAAAATCTGAGATGTGTTGTAAATCGATCGTTCGATTCTTTCGCGAAATCATAGTTAAGAGTTTAAATAGACAGGTCTATATTAGACTGGGCCAAAAAAATCGACAATTTTATTTTTAAAGTATATCGAAAATATGGTTTGGGATGACAAACAAATTATTGAATAAGAATATCTATCGGTTTTTTTTCTGGGTACTGATTTTTACATGAATTACAAAATTAAAAGATCAAATTGTAAAACTATACCAATTTTTAAGGCATGATTGTAAGAAAACAGTTCATCTGACGGGAAATTCCAATTTAACCTTTTTTGTAGAACATTTAATTTTCTTCAAAAAATATTCTTAAGTCAATTTAAACTCAGTGGTTTGGGAGTTCTGAGACAAAAACTCGCTCAGGAAGAACCTCTTAATATTAATATTATGGACTCAAACTTTCACAATAATTTTTTTTTGTTACCCCCAAACCATATTTTCGATATAGGTACTTTTAAAATAAAAATATTTGATTTTTTTCGCCCAGTCTAGTCCACAATCCACACAACAAGGTCTGTTCGATCTTTATTCGCGCATGTTAAAAATCATAAAATTAGGCAACCTAATTAGTATACATTCATACGTTAGTAGCCATTTTCATTGTTTACAATTTCATTGTTTGCAATTATTGTGCTGTTTTATGCGGATTTGTAATAATATGTTTAAAACATTTATTTTTATTAAGAACCAGATACAACTATTTTTACTTCCCTACAATACATAATAATTAATTTCTAAAATTCATTGATTAAAATACTCTTGTCAAATATTCACAATATCAGTTTACTTTAAAAGTAAATGTAACTATGTAAATGTAATACCTAATTAATTTCTGAAATTCATTTATTAAAAACTCTTGCCAAATTTCAGTTTACTAAATATAACTATTTTTATTTCCTAAATAATAATTTATAAAAAAATGTACCTATCCTTTTGTCAAATCTTTCTTTAAAACTTAAAAAAAAACTTTGTTTACTTCTTCCATGCCTGTTAGACAGAATTACTATTTTGGGTAATTTAAATTAACGGCGGCAAATAAATCAAATATGGCGGTAGACGTATGTGCGCATAACAGTGCCGATTTTCGTTCGTATTTTAAGAAGATTGAACAGACCTTGTTGTGTGGATTGTGGTCTAGTCTATATGCAGTGTTATTTAAAATCTAAAAATAAGTTGTGAAACTGCAAAGAAAACATTATAACAAAAAATAAAGCAACAGAAAACATGCAATATGTTGATTGCAGCTAAAGTCTAAAGAAAAATAAAATTTGTTGTCGATAAAGTAAAAAATAACTAAGTAATAAAAGTGACTTACCAAGGCCGATATGATGACGATGACGCTGCCCAGCGCGTCGCTGAGGACGTGCAGAAAGACGCCGCGCATGTTCATCTGCTGCGCGCCGTGCGAGTGGCCGTGCGCGCCCAGCTGCGGTATGGCGACCGCCTGCTGCACGGGGGGCGGCGGCGAGAACGTCTCGTCGTTCTCGTTGTCGTCGGTCACCGCCAACTGCGTGAGGCGGTTCCGGCTGTGCGAGAGCCGCCCGTGCGAGTGACCGTGAGACGAACCGTGTTCTAACAAGAAAATATAATTTTTTTTTATTTATAGTGGGAAAAAATTAAACATTTACTTTTTTGCGAATTTCTTTAAAACTAAATAAAGAATTAAAGACGACTAAATTATCTATTAAAGAATGCTTCAACAACCGCAACCATTGGCGTAGATGATTTTTTAAATAAAAAATGTTTAAAAGGACGACAGTAAATGTATTAAGAAAACTATGTATCTAAAAAAAGCAGGGCCCTTAAATTATGTATGTTCAGTTTAGGTATACGCTCACGCCAAAATACCGCCACCAGTGGTTTACATTTAATTGCAAACAAGGAGTAAATAAAAAAATCTTTTGAAAGTTTTGCTGTTTCTTGCAAATTATCTTTGTTAGTCAGTAAATAAAATTATTATTTAAACTTAGAGATGTAAAAAACGGTTTTTTTTTGTTTTTTTTTTCAAATCCGCTACAATAAAGCATATTCTGTCAATAAATAACATCAATCTTAAAAAATGGAGTAATTTTTCAAAATGAAATTTTGAGTAAATTGTATATTAATAATAAAGTGAAATGTAGAATATTACATTTTTCATTATTAAAAATTTTGACCGACTAAAAAAATCTGAATTCTTATTATTTGGTAGTAAACATAAGAAACCAATAGAAATGTAAAACTTCTACACTAATAGAAAAAATTAAAGGATAAAAAAAATTCCTTTATCGTTAAAAATGGTCGTATAGAAGCCGTAAAAAAAGCAATTTGAAGCTTGAAGTTTCTAGTTTTGAGATTTTTAGATGAAAAACGTGCAACGCTCAATTCTAAAGAATACCCTAATAAAAAAAAATCGAAATTTTTTTGGTTTTCTTTTTTTGTCCACGGAATGTTCTGACTCAACCACCAATGAATAAATGTTCTACAAGAATTTGCTATTGTTATTTTGAAAAAAAAAATTCCATACTCTAGATGAATTTGAAAAATCATGAAAAAAGTGCTTTTGGTAGCTTTTTGAAAAATCAAGCGCTGAATCAAAAATATTATAGGTAGTAACTTTTTTAGGCCTTATAATGGTCAATTATAATGGTCAATTCGGTGGTGGTGGCGCGTGCATAGCGCGAGACTTTAATTTTAGTCCAAGAACTGGACTGGAAACATAAAAAATTAGGCAAATGGGACTAATCTTGAAAAAAAACTAATATAAAAAAACCATTTGAGAAAAAACAATGAAAAAAAACCTGAAAAAAAAAACAAAAAAAAAATTCTTATGTTATAGAGTGTGATGCTAACTTTCAACCTTAATTAGGACATTAAAAATATTTTTATATTTATTTAAAAAAAAATTCTATTATTTTTTATTATTCTAATTTCTTATTTATGAATCTAGTTCTACAGGGTGTTATGTAATTAATGTAATATATTAAAATTGGTTGTTTCTTAGGGTCCATAAAGAAGCACCTGAAACTTTTTTTTCTAAATTCTAAGACTAAAAATAATTTATAATAACCTTTTTCCTACCAAAAAGTACGCCACTGATCGACTAGTAACTTTAGACTAATCTGGTTGCCTAATTTAATTTATTATGATATGGTTGGTAACAACCAGCGTTTCCAGATTCTGTGAAAAAAAGTTGCCAGATTTTGTTTAAATTTAGCGTTTTTATTAAATATGTCATTTTTGTAATGAAGGTAAATTCAAACAAAATCTGCCAACTTTTATGAAAGAATCTAGTGCATTTCTTTCAAATTTTAGATTATGTGCTCAAATTGTAAATATCTTAACTAAGTGAAGTGCTTTTGTATTTATTTACACAAATTGAATGTTTAAAGTTTAACCTGTAAACTTGTCCTAATTTCATCTGATTAAACAGAAAGAAAAAAACCGATGAAAAAATTATGTTTGTGGTTATGGAGTTTTTAAAATAGGTACTCAATTTTCTAATCATTGTTTAAGCTAATAGCTGTATGAGTAAATAAATACATAAGGGTATTAGAGCTTTAAGGGCATACAACTTTTGAATTTAATGAGCTTTTATTTATTTTTTACACACAAGTGTGTAACCAGTGGCGTATCACAAAAAATATAAAAAACTTCTAATGCATATTTAAAATATTTTTTCGCTACACCTTACGTCAAAAGGAAATCAGTATTTTAATATATTACATTAATTACATAAAACCCTGTATACGAGCCCTGTCTCAGTGAAGTTGGCCCAACTAACAAAAATAGTTTTTTGAAGATATTAAGAATATTATACGGTAATTAATTAAAATTAACACATTGTTTTAATTAAATAAATAACGTTTATTAAATTTTATACCGTTAAATTGTATTTTTAAGTACCTAATAATAAAATATTTAAAATTCTCTTATATTGTCCGTAAACCAAAAATTAAGAAAAAAAAAAAATTTTAAATAAATACATTTTAATTGAAAACTAGCACTGCGTAACATCTTCTTTATGGCTTATTACTGCCTGTATACGTCTCGGCATGGTGTCAACCAATTTTTGACAATCATCCGACGTAAAATTATTCCAAATTTCTTGCAGGCGAGCACGCAACTCTAAGACGGTTCTTGCGGGCTGTTCTCTGAGCTTCTTTTTCATAATATGCCACAAAGTTTCTATAGGCGAAAGATCTGGACTACTAGATGTTCATTTTAAAAGTGAAATATTATTTTCCATCATCCAAGCTTTCACTTTTTTAGCCGTATGACACGCTGCACCATCTTGTTGGAAGATGCATTCAATATCATTTAAACGCATTTCTTCAATTTGCGGTTTTAAGATATTTTTTAGGACGTAAATATATTTATCAGCATTCATAATGCCCTCTACAAAGTGTAATTTACCGATCCCTTTAGCTGACATAGATCCCCAAATCATCACAGAGGCCGGAAACTATACTTTTTTCTCAAGACAGTCATTGTGAAAGACTTCTGCTTTAGTTCTAATGACTCGGCTTCGATTATCACCAACGCAAACTTCAAATCTAGCTTCGTCACTCCATATAATTGAATCCCATTGATTTTGACACCAAGTCCTGTGCTCTTTTGCCTAGAGAAGTCTATTTTTCTTCTGTTTTTTTGTCAATAAAGGTTTTTCCTTTGCCTACAGATAGTAAAATTAAAAATAAATAAAAATCGTATACCTATAGGTATACCTACATTATAGGCAAACCTTGTAAGTTTTAAACCCAAGTTTTTGAGCAGCTCTATGCCAGGTTGCTCTTGAAAAACATTTACTCGTTGCCTGATTCCACAAAACTTTTAATTCACCGTAATTAGCCCTACGATTTTTAACGATAATTCTTCTTAAAGCCCTTAAATTTTTATCAGAATAGTGAGGACGACTTCCATTTTTTGGTTTCTGCGCCACAGATCCTGTAGTTTTGTGCAGTTTAATAATATTTCGCACTGTATATCGTGACAAATTAGCAGTTTCAGCGATTTGTGTAGCGGATTTTCTTTTTAAATGCAAGTGAATTATCACTTTTCTTATTTCTTCAGAAACATCTTTTCCTCGGGACATTATTATTTGTCAACCACACCGAAAGCATAAATATATACTGGAATGTCACTACCGACTTGCTTACAATTATTTAAATGTCAAATATTATCTTTACTTTTAGCACAGCCGACTTGCATTAAAAAATCTGGCCATCCAAGTTAATGCATTTTGTCGATTTTTTTGTATTGTAACCAAACATCCAACTTAAAACTAAATAATATACATACAAATATTTTTAAAAACAATTTACAACATGAAGATTGACCAAGAATTACATATGATAAAAAATTGTTGGCTTTTCATCGCATAAAATTACAAATTTCATATTTTGAGTGGTTGGGCCAACTTCACTGAGACAGGGCTCGTATTAGCTGTCTCAATTTTTTTAATACGAAATGTTAGATACAACTGACAAAGGGCAGAGAGCCATATACCTATTTGACAAATTATAACAAGAAACTGAATTTGACTTCATTTCAATTTTTGTGAATAAAAGTAAAAGTAAAAGCGTTTTTTCTATTGGGTTAAAAGTAGGTTAAAAGCTGGACTTACCATGGAAGAGCAGAAGTCCTATTAGGTTGACCAAAAGTCCTATGGCTCCTACTACTACGAGGAGTTTTGGCTCATGTATGGGTTCATTTTCTATGAACCTTTTGCAAGCTTCTACCGTAATGGAGAAGCAAAGTGCCACCAAAAAGACGGCGTTAACAAGGGCGCCCAAAACTTCGGCGCGCGCCCATCCGAATGTGTTTTTGGACCATTTCTTTGGCGACATCTAAAATTATATTTTTAATGTTGTGCAATCGGCATCTTTGTATCTTTTACAATGTTTTTACGTAAAAATGCATTATTATTATTATTAATAAAAATCAATGTCACTATTAGACGCATAACATTTTAATTAGTAATTGGCAATAATTGCGGCCATTTCCGGCGATTGATAATATAAATGCATAACTAAGTAAGTACTCATTTAATATGAATTTGATGAAATACAAAGTCGCAGATAAAAGGCGTTTTTTAAACAATAATATTGCGATGAAATGCATATACATACATAAGTATGTCACAAAAACAATAAAAATGTGTGTACTCGAAAAAAATCGTTGATTTCATTGTTTTCGTAATTTATGCACTGTATCTGTATATAAATTTAAACGAGTTTGTTAATTGTTTAAAGGAAAGTAAATGCTCGCAATAATTAATTTCAAACAGACCATGTAGAAAATCCGCATTTAATTGTTTTTTATGATAAATTAATTTTTCTTGATTAGAAATTGAATGGCAATTTATTGACGAATACATTGACCATGTAAAAGCTATTTCTAATAATCTAAAAAGGACCAGTGCGTACCTTGACGGATAAGAAGGCTATGACAAGCGCCGCGACGTCGCTGAGCATGTGAAAACTGTCCGCAACGAGGGCCATGGAATTGGTGATGTAGCCCACTATGATCTCGACGAAAAAAAAGGCGGTCGTCATCCACAGCATCGTCAGAAGTCGACATTTTTTGCCGGTAAATTTTCCCATTTTTCCTTTTAGCCTCTGAAAACAATTTATTTATTTATTCATTGATGTTATTAATAATTGTTATGTTTTTGTTATTCATTTATGCGACTTGTTTATTATAAAATACTTGTTTTAATGTCGCAAAATCAGAGATTAAAATATTGTTAAATTTATTGAGTTGCTTTGTTTACTAGAAACTAAAACTAAATATTTCTTTTTATCTTTTCTATCTGAACAACAGGAAACATAAAACGCATACATGCCTGAATATATTTATAGACATTTAATTTCCTTACAATCTAACATAAATTATTTGTATACAATCGAAATAAATTGATCTCAAAAATAATTTAGGATGTTTTGGGCATTATATAAGTTGTAATAAAGAAAGTTTCATAGTATACCTATTTTATACTGTGTCATCGGAATTAACATAATATGCAACAATTTTGTAATTATTTACTACTAGGTAGCTTTTCAATGGATTCCAGTAAATTATAGATAAGCGCCTATTCTAGACAAATTAAAAAATAATTATAATTACATTGACCTCAATTTAATTAACTGGATTAAAAGGATTTATTATATTTTATTTACCTCTTTCTATTTAGGGCACTAACCATAACAACGTATCTTGGTTTTTCAATAAAATCATCCCTTTGTAAATTTTATATACAGAGTGTTTCACCTACAATCAAGATACTTCGCTGATCTTTATAAGTAGCTAGGTTATATGAGTACCTTAGATGCAAAACTCGGTTTTTGCAAATTAAAAAATAAAATAAAATTGGCTTTAAATTCTGTTTAGTGTTCGTCCTAGATAAATGGCGTTCATAAAACTTGATACATAATAATATTATATTATATATATTATTATGTATCAAGTTTTATAAACGCCATTTATCTAGGACGAACACCAAACAGAATTTAAAGCCAATTTTTTTTTTTTTTTTAAATTTGCAAAAACCGAGTTTTGCATCTAAGGTACTCATATCACAGTATTAATGCTTTATATTTATACTGTGGTTTTATAAAAGATCATGAAAAAGACTAAAGGCCATGTGTAAAGCATTTTGTTTTTTCGATAAAACTCCCCTATAGCTATTTGCTACCTATGGAAACAGGTTACAAAATTACAAAAGAGATAACAAAGTAACACAGTAAATAAAGAAAGGCAAAAATACGATACCGCGTTGTGTATTTTTGGATTTTGTAATTTGCACAAGTTTTTATTATTTTTTCACACGTTTCTGTTCGTTTTCTTACCGATCAAGATAAAGTTTAATAGCTATTAAAGTAATTAAAACATTCCATAAAAAACGGTGTCAACACTAAGTACTACTTCGATTGCCCAAAGATAGTGAAAATATTTGTATAACTCAAAATAAGTTAAATTCAATATAAAATAACAAATAAATAAAGTTGGGTACAATGTTTATTTCAATTGTTAACTTAGAGTAATTTAATCTTATTGTAGGTACAAATATAAGTGCAGTATTGTTCTGAGTGGTGCGATACACGTACGATAAAGTTGACGTTGAAAAATTTATTTAAATTAGGTTTTCGTACTATTATGTCACACGTGAAATATATTGAAAATAGATTTCATTGATGATTTATACGTATTCAGCCTTCATTTAAAAATGTTGCGGAATACCGAATGCAACAAATAGGTACACAGATATTAGCACACACCTTAAAAATAATTCGTCGATGATGAATAAACAAAATTACTGGAAAATAACATCCGGTAAATATTTCATTTCTCAATTAAAGGTTCTACGGGTTTTCCTCCAATTTAGTATTTTCTAGAATGGAAATAAATAATTTATTCTATTCGCCTTTTATTGAAATTATTTCACGACATAAACGATTAAAATTCAAAGTCGCTTCCTTGCAAGGTAATGCTCAATGATGATTATATTGTTTGGTCATATTTCTTCAAGATATTTCCATATTACTCGTCTGCTTCCTTGGCAATACCATAAACAAATCTATTTTATATACAGTCCACTCAACAAAAGGTTGCTTATAATTCAAAAACTATTGGAGATAGTATAAAAATGAATAATATTAATCTTGTAGCAAATTATCACCTTTAATTTTGTATATAATGGTTTTATTGATAGGAAAAAAATCACCTACAACAGATTGTTACAAAACACCTGAAAAAACAGGGATACAAACTTTACATTGGCTCACCCTGTATACATAAATGTAAGTCGATTTTAAAAAAGTAGACCCAATGAAGTTTGGCTCTGGGGCACAGATAAGAATATTGTAACCTAAATTTCTTAATACTCTGTAGATCTCAAGAATTTATCTCTTTGCATAGCAAAGTAGGTAATAAAAATTAAATTTTATACACAGCTATCCTTTGGAGAAATTATCAATAAAAATAATATTAATTGCCCAAATAAAAATCCATTGTGCTCACTTACTTGAAAGACATTGTTATTAATCATTATCTAAATAGAAATTATTTGGCAATTATTGTCCATACAATGATGCACAAAAGATTGTTTACTATTTGGGCTATAGCCACAATAACCTGACATTGGATCATAAATATAGGTATTTATGATCCAATGTCAGGTTATTGTGGATCGTTATAAATTAATTAATTACTTTAAGTAACTAGTTAAGTAACTTAACTAACCTTTCAAGAGAAGATATTTCATTTCAATACAACGATAAAAAGTTGCGTAGATATTTCCCAGTATTAAAATGACAAAGCTCAGGTAGAAAAATTCGGATGACTAAATCTGTTCTAGTGCACGAGATAATTATCTCAATTAATAGGTAACTCGCTCTTGTTCTTTTTGATTAATCTTCATTAAAATTGTCCTGCACTTATCAATTAGAGCGTCTTCGTTTTAATTAATAAGAGCATAAACGATTTCATTAAGTTTTTATTTACGACATGCATCATGCTTTGATAATTTTAGACTTTTCTTTCATGATAGACAACAAAGAAATTATCTCAAGTGGATGCGTTTCGATTAAATTTAGATTTACTCGAAATAGAACGTTTATTTTTAAAACAACCCCGAGATGCATTCGGGCATAACAAAACCCCTACTCAAAGAATAGTTTTTTTTACCTTATTTCTCGAACGTCAAATTTTAGCAAGGAATTTTCCAAATAATTACTTAACTCAGCACTTTTTCACATTGTTCCAAGAAACTGAAGTTTATGTTACAAGTTTATTAATGTCACGTAGGCACAACAATACCCGACACACTCTGCCCGTGTTCGTCAAATAACTAATTTTCTTTTATGACGAACTGTCAAATTTTACACGCATGTGTCTCAAGTCACGCGATACTTTTAATAAATTTCAATAAACCAAACATAAATAATCTTAAGAACTTTATATCCTTACTAAATCACTTTGACAAAGTTTTCAATCGTAGGTATACCTTATTTAAAACGACAAACAAATTACGTTTTAATGGTGTCTAAAATCACAACGAACGATTAAAAATTTACCTTAGAAGAAATAATTACAAACAAATTTGGGTGCGATTAAAAGTTTTTCATCACAACAACGCAATTTACCTAAAATTATACCTTTATTTATTCAGAAAAATAAAATAAAAATGATTTAAAGTAAAATCAACATAACCTAAAAACACAGATTATAAAGGTTGCCTAAAAATAATGAAATAATTTTCGCCGCGTCTAGAGTCCCGTCAGACGGTCCTCTATTGCGCTCCCGTTAACAGAGTGACGTCATCAAATGACGCAATCTTAGGACGGGAAGCAGATCTTCCTTAACCAACGTCCCGAGTCCGCCCGCTTCAAAACCAACCCAAACCCAACAACCCAACCCAACCGACCCCGCCCCATTGAGTAACGAAGGAATATTCATTTAATTACATTTTATATTAGATTCTATATAACTAGCAAAATGATTATGAGGAAAGGTAAATAAATTAAAATATTAATGTAAAATTAAATATAAATGCTTTTAATGCCACATTGTATTATTATGGTATATAAATTCTTTAAAAAAAAATTAAAAAAAGTTGTAGAGGCGCGAATATCGAACCCCGTACCTCTCGCCTGCAAAACAGGCGCCCTTCCATCGAGCTACCGAGCTTATTGTAATAAATCTATCGCTCGAAAAATAATACGTATTTACAGTGTGTGACGTCACAAAGTTTTAACGGGAGCGCAATGGAGACCCGTCTGACGGGACTCTAGACATTATGAATAATTTTGACGTTAATCGACCATAACCTATAAAATGAAATTCAAAATTGTTTAAAAATGAGTACGTATTTTCAAAAATTTGCTAGTTTTACAGGGCAAATAATACAGTATGGATGTATATTACACTGTACGGTAAATTATTTAGGCGAATTAGTAATGGTAGGTAAAATTATGTAATTAGAATAGAATTGTAGTTATATTTTTAGTGCCAAGGCCCTTCCATGGAACCAACATTGTTTTCAGACGATGTCATATTCACGGAACACATAACCCCTACGATAAATAAAGTCAGTAGGGGGGATATAGTTATAGCAAAGTGTCCCAGTAACCCACAGCAGAATATTTGTAAACGTGTGGTAGCTTTGCAGGGTGATAAGGTATATTGTGGTTTTTAGTTTAATTGTTTGTCTTAATATGGTGATTTTAGATTCGGACTGGTTTTACGAGCCATATTGTCCCCATAGGGCATGTTTGGTTGGAAGGAGATAACTCTACAAACTCTTGTGATAGTAGGAATTACGGGCCAGTACCTCTGGGCTTAATTAAAAGTAGAGCTGTTCTAAAAATATGGCCTTTTAAAAATATGATGTTTTTAACAGATTAAGATCAATTTTTGCAGTTTTGTTGTTTACACATTAAAAAAAATAATTACATCAATTTGTGTTCACTTTGGAAATATGTAATTATAAGAATTTTTTTGATTTTAGTTCTCTTAAAACCAACTTTGACAGTGGCTTTTTTATTTTTTACACAATTTTAAAAATGATTCTACTCAAATTTGAAATATTATGAAAGGGAAAACAAATAAAAGAAAATTTTAAATAGAAAATAAATATAATTGTTCTAGTATTTACACAATAAAAATTATAGGTACAAAAAGTAAAATTCTACAATCACCTAAAAAATAATATCAAGTTTGGAGAAAATAGGGTACATTAAGGACTAGACTCTGATATACATGTTTTTGTTCTAACAACCTACAAATAACTTATCTTATGCAGATTTGTCTTGATTTTTTTGTTTAACAGATCACAGGTTTACACATTCTTTAAATACAGGGTGTCCAGAAAATAGCACACATTATAACAAGGTTAAAGCTGTAACTCCCTGTATGTGTAACAATATTTTTCTTTTTAAACTCTACACTAATAAAACTTTATCCAATAATAAAAAATGTCATGCAATATTTACAATCCAAAAGTGGTGATTCAATAAAAATTGTAAATTAAAGCTCTTGAGAATTGTAAGTTTGTTATATAAGGAACCAAATAAAAAAGAATGACTCCTACTAAAATACGATACATAATATTACACCAACCGAAAAATACAAAATTTCGTGTAAACTTTGGCAACAATTTTAAATTAATTATTTGACGAGGGCGATTTGATGCCGTGCGTCACTGAGTTTTCCAAAACGACATCCAACTCGTCCAGAGGCATCAAAATTTGCCTGAGAAACGTTAAAAGTCCGCGATTGCGCAAAAAAGAGTTTTCATCGTACATTTCCTGAGTCACTCTGCACATGGACATTGGCACCAGCATCCTATGCAACAGGTGCTCCCTAAGAAGAGTATTTTTTTGAATTCAAGTATCAAAATACTAACCTGTGGTACTTACCTAACACTTAGACATATAAAAAGCTGGAATTTCCCGTCTTTACCGAGATTTTTACTGGTGTTTGTCATTTCGTCGATTAAATGGCAATAACACCTCCAAACTGCTACAGTTTCTTGATGGTTTCTATCCAAACTTGAAGATCTACTACCATTGCACTGCTCCATCAAATCCATTTCAAAGTATTCCTTAACTTTGACTAAAAAAAAAATCTAAATTAAGACATTCCCAATTTTAAAATAATGGTATTATTTTTACCAAAATAATCCCACAGATAGTGTTTTCCAACGAAAAGTTTAGCGGACTTAAAACCCAAAAGAAAAACGTTTTCCAAACAAAGTACCAAACCATTTTCACTGCACAATAAAGCAGTTAGAGTGGTATGTCTCTCAGAACTTCTTCTGTAGTGCCATTTAACAATATTATTTACACAATCACCTGAAATCCCAAAGTTAAAAGTTTTATTTTTTACCCAATTTTAATAGAAATTATATCAAAGGTTAGATAATGTTATCCTCTTTAAAAATATATAAATATCTTAATATAATAATAATAATTTTTGAAGATAATCAATCCACAAAATATATAATATATACATACAGTGTGACCCATTTGTTTGCGACTCACCCCTGTAAAATCTTTATTTATTGTGCGATTTTAACCGGATTTGTTTTAAAGTGTAGATCTTGATAAACTGTATTTTTGGAGCAAAAAACGCCATATTCTTACAAAATACAAGGCCTTCTATGTCAGTTTTTAAGAGTAAATTTTTAAGAATTCATATTAGCGATTTTTTTTAAACAAAATATAAGCCCGGAACTGGATTCACCACCCCTCAAAACTATCCTATACTAAATTTTATTGAAAAATTTTAAGAAAAAAAATGCACAAAAATAACTACAAAAATTTATTTTGTCAAGTTATCCATAAAAAAAACATAGAAAAAACTAATATTAACATGGTACAATTACTAAAAGTTTAATTTTATTTCATGGATAACTTGACAAAATAAATTTTTGTAGTTATTATTCTGCATTTTTTTTCTTAAAATTTTTCAATAAAATTTAGTTTAGGGTACTGTGTGCCGTGCTTAGATTTTGTTTAAAAAAATCGCTAATATGAATTCTTAAAATTTTACTCTTAAAAACTGACATAGTAGGCCTTGTATTTTGTAAGAATATGGCGTTTTTTGCTTCAAAAATACAGTTTATCAAGATCTACAGTTTAAAACAAATCCGGTTAAAATCGAACAATAAAAAAAGATTTTAGAGGGGTGAGTCGCAAACAAATGGGTCACACTGTATGTCCTTTCAATTTTAGTTTTCATAAAACTTTTTTTACCCAATTTAAAAATAATTATATTAAAAGCCAATTTTATTGACTTTGGAATTTGTAGATGTTATAATGCTCCAGCATTAAATTCGATATGGTTCATAATATAAAGTACGAAAAATATGACATACCTAGCATGTGTTGTATTTGCGAGGGTTTTAGTTCTTGTCTCGGCGGCGGTCCGGGGGATCTACTCCGGGGGGAACTCCTCCCCAAGTTCCTCCCCCAACTCCCAGAAGTCACGACGGGTTCCTGCGTTTCCTCTTTTTTAGTACTCAGACTTCCCACTAGGAGTCTCTCTGTGCTGTCGTCGTCTACACCTCTACCTAACCATCTGCCACATGGAAATCTAAAAAAAAATAATTTATAATGTTTCTCAATAAAAAACATTGCATTTTTTTACTTGTATACTTGTCCGGTGATGTCGTTTCTTACTAAAACGTGCTCGATCTGCCATTTGGCGTACATCCCGCTATTGTCATGCCCTATTCTTAGAGTGGTTAAAACACCGATGTTTTGGTGTTTGTATTCGAAATTTAGAGTGGATTTCGGCACTTGTACTTTTCTCGTTTCCGATAGAGTGCCGCTTAAAACAACCCACACGTTCGCGGAACTCGTGGTCCCTCTTTTAGTTGGCACTATGACTATTCTGTAGGGAATTACTACAAACAAAAAATTAGGAACAAATACTAACAATGTTTTCTTCTTACTTGTGGTGGGATATGTGCTGGTAAAACAGAAATAATCCACTGCATTTAGTGAAAGCAAGTGATAAAGGAACTGCTCCCTCTCCTCCTCGCTTCTCAAGAACGCAGATCGTTTGTACATATTTCTTAGCAAAGTTTGATCGGACAAAATTGTTCTAAAATGTTTCGAAAGCTGTTTTTTCTCCAAGGCCAATCTCACCCAGGCTCTAGCCATGCCTATACCTGTCCTAACGTCGCTCATTTGTACATTACTAAAAATATTATTGGTGGACTTAATGACAAGAATCGCGTTAATAACGCTTTTCGTTTTTTTCTTAATCTTTTTTTGCAAATATTAAAAATATATATATTTTGTTAAAAAATCTACAGTGTGACACATTTGTATGCGACTCACCCCTGTAAAATATTTATTTATTGTGCGATTTTAACCGTTGTTTTAAAGTATGATCTTGATAAACTGTATTTTTGGAGCCAAAAAGGCCATATTTGTACAAAATACAAGGCCTACTATGTCAGTTTTTAAGAGTAAATTTTTAAGAATTCATATTGGCGATTTTTTAAAACAAAATCAAAGCACGGCACTGGATTCACCACCCCTCAAAACGCCCCTTTACTAAATTTTATTGGAAAATTTTAAGAAGAAAAAAACCACAATAATAACTACAGAAATTTATTCTGCCAAGTTATCCATGAAAAAAACATTGAAATAAAATTAAACTTATAGTAATAGTACCATGTAACTATTAGTTTAATTTTATTTCTATGTTTTTTCATGGATAACTTGACAGAATAAATTTTTGTAGTTATTATTGTGCATTTTTTTACTTAAAATTGTTCAATCAAATTTAGTACACATGGTAAATCCAGTGCCGTGCTTAAAATTTGTTTAAAAAAATCGATAATATAAATTTTTAAAAAGATACTCTTAAAAACTGACATACTAGGCCTTGTATTTTGTATTTAAAACAAATCCGGTTAAAATCGCACAATAAATAAAGATTTTACAGTGGTGTCGCAAAAAAATGGATCACACTGTATAAAATTAGTTTTTTGAAAAAAATATTTGTGCACGGACTATAAATCTATAAATTATACTATTTTGCAAATGTTGTATAAATAATTATTGTAAATGTAAATTAAAATAACTTTATTGGAAAAAGAAAGATGTCATATGTATACGTAATACTAGACAACACTGTAATTAATAAACCCCCACTACAAAATATCCTACCGACTGCGCCATGAAGTAAATAATACCACAGTAGGTTGAAGACTGATTTATTATAATGACCAGCATGGGGGTAGGTACAATTGTATTGGGGATTTATAATAATTAATTACAGTGTTGCCTAGTATTATGCATACATATGACACCTGCAACACAAGTAAGTAAGCGTTAAAAGGCTGTTTCTGGACTCAAATTTTTACTTCCCCCAAAAAGATCAAACATAAAAGAAAAAAATTTAGAGGAACAATTACACTAGTTTACAAGAATTTCCTCATTGAACGAAAACTACTTTTTCTAAGGTAAAATTTTGTGCTGATTTAGAATATCATAGTGGTTTTCCTGGTTTAGCTCTAGATTTCAAGATTCGCATGAAATCTCGAAAAAATGCAATGTTACAGAACATTAAATCACAAATTTTCAGCTAAAATGTTATTTAATATTAACAATTATGTTAATTTAACATAATCCCAAATTTTTATAGCTATAAAAAGGAAAGTGTAATAAAAATTTTAAGGTGTTAAACTTATAAATTACATTAGTGCTTTGGTCGTTATGACCAAAAACAGGTAAAAAAAATTGTTTTTTTTCTGAATTTAAAAAAAAATCAACTTTGTTCCAATGTAAATAAAAAAACACTTTGAAATATAAAAAGTTGGCCCCCCCTATATTCTAAACAATTTAATTACGAAAATTTTAAGCATACGTACGTCAACATACGATGAGATTTAGATTTTATACGGTCAATTTTTTAAAGTGATGTAATGTAAGTACTTTTTACATAAATTAAATTTAATAAGAGAAATAAAATTGTAGGGTGCCAGGAAGTGGTTATTTAGATGTATTTATTTGACATTTCAGTTTTCATTTAGAATATAAATGTTTATATTGATTTTAGTTGTCAAAAGATTGTAAATATTTCTTTTTTATTGTGTTTAAAATGGCCAGTAGGAAATTTGCATGTAAAAATGACCCAGATTTGTTTTGTTTTATATGCGGACACTATATTATTGAAAAAAAAGTAGAAAAATAACACCAAACCTAAGATTGCATATTTACATTATTTTGGTTTTGAAATAAGAAATGAAGAGAAATCTTGGACACCAAGTTTAATTTGTCCAATTGCAACATAACGTTGAAAAGCTGGATGTCTGGAAAAAACGTTTATTTGAGTTTTGGCTGTCCAGTTTTATGGGCAGAACCAGTGGATCACTTAATCACTTAATCACTTAGAATGTTACTTTTGTGTGATAAATATTACTGGTATAAACTCAAAAAACAGAAGATCTCTTCAGTATCCAGATGTTCAGCGAAAAAACCAGTTCTACATGATGAAAATCTAACAAAATCAAAACATTCTTTAAGTTACACGGAAAAAAAATGCGTTAGTTATTTTTATTATATGTGTTTAGTAAAAAAAAAATTGTTATATTTATCGAAATTTATAATCAATTTTACAAAACCAAAAGGTTAATTTAATATTAAAGTATAAGATTAAAAATACCTTAATGTTTTAATTGAAACATATAAATAGGTTAGTTATTTTAATCAATTTTACAGTTATTGTAATTACAGAAAATAACAAAAATATTAAATTAAAAACAGCTGTAGTATTTAGTTATAATAACTAAATAGGTTTATAAAAACAACTACCTAGAGTTTGGTTAAATTCTGAAGGTTATTTTTTAGACATCTGCCAGAGGAAAGTTAACGAGTTGTTTGTTTAAAGACATTGCATGTTTGCATAAGTGCGGTCGTAATTTTTGTGATTTTTAGAATAAGAAAGTAAAACAATATTTATAAAATTTAATGACACTCTCAGAGTAATATTTAAACATCTTGTAAATACAAGTTGTATATTTTTTCTTCCTAACTACTAATGTGATTCATAAATTTCAAGATCATAAAGGGTGTTCATCAGCTTATTGTCAGCACAATCCAAACAAGGTCTGTTTGATCTGTTCGATTTTTTATAAGCCTGTTTACAATTATCGTGCTGTAAGTTTGTGCTTTTTATACAAATTTATAAACGTTATTAGTTAGTTTTTATTGGTTTTATCGAGAAAAACCGTAATAATTTTGATAGAAGTAAAATTTTTACTGTTTGCCGCTATTTGTTAAATAACATTATAAATCACAGATCGAGCACATTGTTGAATGAATTGTGTACAACAATGCGCTCGATCTGTCAGTTATAAAAGTCAGTGTTATTTTGTCACAGATTAACATGTCTTTTGAGTTGATGAAAGTAAAGTTAACTAGTTGGGGACTGGTACATCTAGTTGAAAAATTTCCAGGTCTAGAATATTTCATTAGGAAAGTAAATATTGGGTTTTAAAAGTAATAATTGTTTTTAGAAGAAGCAGTAGATGATGAGGCTTTTATTAGTCTTACTCCTGCCCTTATTGACAAATTAGGATTGAAAGTACATAGGTGATTTAGCCAAGTTTAATAAAAATTTTAATGAATTTAAGAATAATACTTTGCTGCTGCCTATTGACGATATCGAATCTTATTCAAGTAGTTCAGTGGAAAAAGATATCATAGAAAAAGATATTGTAGAAAATACAGTTTTGGGTATTTCATTAGTGCAATTTATTATTTGCTAAAATAACTTTTTATAATTTTTTTAGAGGTCATCCCTACACCCTATAACTCTAATGAAGAGCTTATGTAAGCTTTTCATTAGAGTTAGAGTAGGGTGTAGGGATGACCTCTAAAAAAATTATACACGTGATTAAATTTGATGATACGAAATGTTACTTTTAATATGATTAAAATAAACGATTTATTTTTTATTAATAAAGCGCCAAATATTTAATTTAGCCCAGTTCGTATTTTTCTACTTTTACGATTTGTTGCTGCACTAATTGTTTATTTAGATGTTAGAGAAGATCCTGAGGCTATAGCTATAGTTTAATTTTTTAGTTTAGGGATTTTCAGTTTTTAGGTTTTAAAATACTGCTTTTTTATCAAAAAATGTATTTCATTATACTAAAAAATTAAATATCCTCAGAATTTCCTTTTTATAAACAAATAGTTTTACTAATTTGCATGTATCTTTGTTTAGCATAAATAAAAATTATTTTATGAGATAAATGTTTCATTTACGATTAAATATATGCATGCATGCTCTTTACAAAACTTTAAAAAGAGCAACAAAACTGTTTACTAAGAATAAACAGGTAAGTATAATTAAAACAACTATGATTTTAGATTAAATTATAATTAAGTAAAATGATTAATTTAAATATTTAACATTTATTGTTACTATCATGATTTCTTAGTTTTTTTTATTAAAAAATAATAATTAAAAGCACTACATTTTTTTACTGAAATAACAAATTATGTTAAATTAAAATAAACAATGATCGTTGAGTTAAAATAACCAAATTTTTCTGGTTAAAAAATAACTAAACTGATTGGTTGAATCAAGAATATAATTTTAACTGAACCCAGTTTAGTAAAAATGATTAAATAGTTCTGTTGGCGCATATATGATTAATTTTTTTAATTAAAATAACTAAACTTTTTTTTCCGTGTATAAGTCATAAATGACAAATCAAACAAAAACGAACCTAGTTTTGATACGTCTTTTTCTGAAAATGAATTCGATGCAGAAAAAAAACATGATGTAACACAAGCCGAATTATCAAGATATTTCCATTGGTTAAGGCGCGCGCTTCACTATCCCTTTTCGACAAGTTAAGGTCCCTAATTAAATCATTTGGGCTTATTAAGGCTTATTTGTTGAAAAAGAGAAACGGATCCGATGCAGTACAGAAAAAAGTGAACACCACACATTCCTCATTATAAATCACTAAAATAAACAAAATCTAAAATTAAAAATTAAAAATAAATGTCTATGAAAGTAAATATTAAATAAAAAATAAAATAAATAATAAAAAAATTAAAAAAAAAAAACGGTTTTTTCCCTTATTAAATCTAAAAAAATTGTAATATTATAAATGATAAAAAAATGTATTGTTTCAAAAAATGTACCGTATATAATCTAAATCTCATCATATATTGACGTACGTACGCTTAAAATTTTCATAATTAAATTCTATAGAATATAGGGGGACTAACTTTTTATATTCCAAAATATTTTTTGATTTACAGTGGACCAAAGTTGAAAAAATTGAAAAAAAATCGGAAAATAGTGATTTTTTCTGACCTATTTTTGGTCATAGTGACAAAACCACTAATGCGATTTAGGAGCTTTACATCTTAAAATTTGTATTAAACTTCAGTCCTTACAGCTATAAAGATTTGGGATTGATTTAATATCAAATAAAATTTTAGCTGCATATTTGTGATTGAATACTCTGTAACAATGCATTTTTGCGAGATTTCATGCATAACCCGAAATCTAGAGCTAAACCAGAAAATCTACTATTATTTTAGGAATAAGCACAAAATTTTACCTTAAAAAAAGTGTTTTTGGTTAAATGAGGAACAACTTTATCAAATTTTGTAAACTAGTGTTATTTGTGAATACCAACAGAATTTTTGCAGAAAAAGAAAAGCTGAAAGTTCAGTTTTTATTTTTATAACTTATTTTAATTATGAATTTTAAAGTTTTTTAATCACAAGATCGGAAGAAAAAAATAATAAAAATAAAGAAAAAGAGAATGAGGAGCCTAAAAATGAACCTGATTTGAAAAAAAAAGAAGAGACAAAGTAATCAAAATTTACAACAAAAAAATATTTTTTTTATTTTATAATTACATAAGTACCCGAAAAATACCGTATGGACCGAAAAGATTGGTCCGAACCGGACTGTCCGGACAGAAATATTTTTTTTGAACCGTAACTGATGCCGAACCGAAATTTGTTTAAACTGTTATTTCATTTCGGTCCAGGTACCTGATAAACAAACATTTTTAAGATAAAAATCGCTTTTTAAATTGTACCTTATATCGGTGATTAAAGAGTTTGGCAGAGGTGGTAAGTCAGTTCTGAGGTTTTTGTTGTCCAAGGTGCCCCAGTTTTCGGATCCTAGATTCATTTTGGCCATGTCTACAAACAATTACACTTACAATAAAACCTTAGACATAAGAGAGGGGAGATCACCGTTATTGATTAATTTCTTTTCCAGCTTGGCCATGTGCTGGTATTTTTCCAGATAGGCCAGTAGGTGCGACCACAGGGCCGATTTGCCCATTTTGTTTTGCAAACCGTGCGACCAGACGCGTTCCAAAAAATCGCACAGTGATGCCACCAAAGTGTTTTCTTCCACGGCCAACGCGTTATCCGTGGAACTGTTACTGGAAAGCGTTACGCCTTCTGCGTTCAGTTTGGCTAGAAGCATCCTTTTTGTTTTGCTCTTGCAGTCCTAAGAGAAATACGTACAAGGTTTCTGTGATTATTTATGATTTGGCAATGTTGCCTATGGCGTTTAACACTTTTAAATGACAATTTTACATTTTTAGAAAAACCTATGTATAATTTTTAAATGATTCTGGGGTACCATCTCAAATCAACTGGACAAAAAGGGGAAGATCGTTATTTTTTAACGACATTTTTTGTACAGTTTCTCTACCGAAATCGATGAGACCCGTATTTTTTCTTTTTGCTTAAAATTGTTTTGTTAAAAAAATAGACAGAAATATCGGTTTTTCTCTTTTAACGAGTGAAATTTTTTCTTAAAAATGCGATAACTTGGCCAAAAATGTTTTTTTTTAATTATAGGTAAGTGTTTACTACATACCAAGAAAATATAAAAAATTAACTGAGTTTCCTCAATTTTATTTGTCTTAAAAAGGTAAAAAAAATTCAGGTCAAAATTTTGACATTGCCACGTTATTATTTTACTTCATATTTCCGGTTTCACCGGAAATGGTCTTAACTATTTATTTTTTATGCATTTTTACATATTTCGATTCAAAATTAAATTCTGAATACATACATATGTACATGTATGTAATTAATTAATCTTATTTCTATATCCAGAGTGCCAAGTAGTCTGGAAAAAATACAATTTTATAATTTTTTTGCAATGCAGGTTTTTAGGAGCTTTCAAAAATTGAAAAACCATAGTTTATGCCAAAACTATTTTTTTAATAAAAGGGCTTGGTTTTTGGTCATAACATTTTTTTTTTAAATTTTAAATTTGATACCAAATATTAATGCATTTTTTAATAATATCGCTTTCAAACTCTTAATTAAATTTGAATGTTTATTAGCTTTTAAAGGGTAAACAAATTAAGAGGGCTTGAAACCTTTGTGTTTAAAAGAAGTATCAGATTTGACAGTTTGTTAGTTTGTTTTGCTAAAAACAATAAAAATTATAAAATAAAATAAAAATAATAATTGAGGTGGTTAGAATTAATGGGGTGAAAGTAATTTCTCAAAATTTTTTGCTATGGACCAAGAATTTACTAGAAAATTGTATTTTCATTAAAAAAATATTAATAATTCCAAAATGATGAATTTAGCCAACTTCAAACGAAAAAAATATGAAGTAAAAAAAATGTGGCAATGTCAAAATTTTGACCTTATTTTTTTGCCTTTTTTAGAAAATACAATTAAAAAAAAGATCGCATTTTCAAGAAAAAATTTAAAACGTCAAATTCTTAAATCGTTATCAAAATAAACTTGACATTTTTTACCATTAGCAAGTAATAACTTTTGCTTGATATTTTGACAGGTTTAAACAATAGCAATACGCTAAAGAAGTATCGGGTTTTCGCAACGCGCGCGCCATCTGGTGGGCTTCGAATGCATTGCGTGAATTTAAAAATAGTCAACAATGCATTTAAAGCACAGATCATAGATAATAAATCACAGATTATACATCATTTTTAATTAAATAGGTAGTTTTTTTTACAAAGGAGAGGAAGGCAGAAGTCTTACTCGACAAATTTTGTTCAATTGCTCAGCTAAATCGCGCACGTTATATGTGTTTTACGTTGCAAGGAAAAAATTAAAAAACTTTTTTAGTACTCGATTTCGATTAATTATTCCTTATATCATTGATTAAGAAACTCAACGCTTAAATGCTTATATAGTTACGGTAGTGTGTGTATTTTATCAAAGGGATCATGGTGAATTTTTGTGTTTTTAATTGTAAATAAAATTCAAGAACTAAATCGTTGCATTTTCATGTTATTCCAAAGGATCCAATTCGGTAAGTACATTTATTGGTGCAGAATTAACTAATGATAACTTTACCTAATATAATTCATATTTAAGTTTGGACATTTTTAAGAAATTAGTAAAAAATAATTTTTGCACAAACATAACCTTAAAATCAACCATTTTTACCTACTAATTCATGGCAACATAATATTATATATAATACATAATATAATGGTATTTTACCGCTGAGTGGAGACTTTCTTAATCAACGCTTTTAATAATTCTAAATGCTGTTTAAATTTAGCCGACTTAATTGTTTGACCATTTTTACTGAATTGAAATTACAATTTTTACGTTAATCACTACTAAAATGTGTATTTGGAAAAAAAACGGTAAAAACTCAACCCAGGATTTCCTCTCGAAATACATCCAACAACACAACAAATCGAGCCACGGTTTTTTTCGATATTTTTTAACATTTTTCGGCTTTATTCTCAAAAACACTCGTTTGTAACATAAGCGTTTGACAGCTGATTATTAAAAGTTATACTTTTGTTACGAGTGGTGGCGCTACTAGCGATACTTCTTTAGCGTATAGACCCACGTGCAGTTTTAAACGTCAAATTAAAGTTCAACTTAACCTAAAATTTGCTAACGTGAACTTACTTTAAGCAGTTTTTCGACGAACTTCCAGTTGGCTTGCGCGATGAGGGCGGGAGAAACGTCCTCTTGATTTTTATGTTTCTCCGTCACATTCTGCTTGTAGCTGAGGGGTAGCGATTTTTTGTAGGCGTTAGCCCTGGGAATGGAACCTTTGCTTTGCACCGACGACGTCCTGTTGAGAACCTCCTTGTCCAACAGAGGAAAGTGGCGCGAGAACGGCGGACGAGAGTTGAGAATCTCGCGCGGAGCGGGGCTCTCGAAGTCGGGGTTCAAAAATCTGCGTTCGATCATCTTCTGCGTTTCTATCGAGATCGTGCAGGGTTCGTAGGAGAGAGCTCTCAACAGGTTCTCGCCGCCGTAACGTTGCTTCAGCAGCTTTATCCTGTGGTCGAATATTTTGAGGTTCGCGTCCGCGTCGCCCCACGCCGACAGAATTTTGTTGTCTATCAGGGTGGCGAACATTTGCGACTCTATGAACCGCCACAGGAACAATCGGTCGTGTTCGGGCTGATCCGACAGAAACGAAGCTTTGTCGAAGTTCTGCATCGAGTCGCGGTTCGCCAGCCAGTCTTCCTTGGCTTGGTTCGGAAATATCACGAAGTTTTCGTACGATTGAAATATGTGAACGAATCTGTTCAGAAATATTTCCCTTATCGAGTTGTTCAACTTTAGGTCTTCCATGTACGAGTCGGTTGGTTGAGCGGACTCTTTTTGGTCTAGAGCTACTCCCGTTCTCCTTACAATATCTTTAATTTAAATATCAAATTATTATTAATATTATTATTTTATAAAAAACTCACCTGCTATTCTTTGTAATGCCTCAGATCTGGCACTCCCAGGTGGACTGGGAGGCCTCTCTATATCCAAAGTGTCATGCACAGACAATTTTCGTCTGTTCTGAGGTCTTAAAGGTAGAGTATTGCTTCTAGCAGAAGATTCCTAGAAGATTACTAGTGATGTAAAAAAACGTTTCTTTTCAAATTTGAAAAAAGCGTTTAAAAAAAACATGTTTTTTCCGAAAAATAAATAAAACATTGTTTTTTTTTTCAAGTTATAAAAAAAAACTTTCACAATAATTAAAACAGAGTTTTTTAAGGTTTTTTTAAATTATAAAAAATAAACAATTTATGGCAATAGTTTATATTGCCCATAATCTAAAACTAAAATCCGAAACTGCAAAGAGAGACATAGGAACAGATAATATTACTACTACTCAGTGTTGCCAGTGGTTGGAGATATAAAGTACCAAATTCGACTTTTAAAATGTACCAAATTTCCCTAAAATTTATATCAAGATAAGATAAGATAAGATTATTTAAATTAAATAAAAAAAACGTTTTTGGATATTTCGTGTTCCCCCCAAAAGAAAATATATCGAGGTGTTGCCAACAGACAAATATGAAAATAAAACGAATAAAGATAGACCATTTTAATAACGCTATTGTAAGACCGGATTACTAGGAAATGATCGCAAAGTAGGAGCAACTTTATTAAAAATAGGCAAAATATTGAAAATGTTACAAAATTTAAAATTTTCATGAAAATATATCAAAATATACCTTAAAGTACTTCTGTAGCACCAAAGCACCAAATGTACCAAAAAGGTACAAATGTACCACCTCTGGCAACACTGCTACTACTACTACTAGTACTAGTATTGTTGACACTACAAGTACAGCTCTCACTGAAATTAGCGATACTAACATGGAAATGCCAAGTACAAGTGGCTTATCAATAGAACCTGACAAAGATACCACAGCTACAGATGACATGGTTTTAGATCGTCTAGATTATAGTTCCGACAGTTCTTTGTCAGGTGCTTCTGAAAAATTTTCTGTACACGACACTGACACGTCGGAAGGGCCAGAAGAATTTGACCTTGATCCTGATTATAGTGATTTTGAATAGTAGGCAGAGCTGGGATATTTACTTCTGAAAAGTATCTAGTTACTTTTCTAAGATACTTTAAACAAAATAACTTAGTTACCTTAACTAGATACTTTGAGTTGAAAGTATCTTTAGTTACAAGATAAGAAAGTATCTAAGATAATTTTGAGTACCTAAGATACTTTTAAGTAACTAAAATACTTTTAAGTAACTAAGTTACTTAAAAGTATGAATGAAACTATAAAATTATGAAAATTCAGTTTTAGTTTATGTAATTACTTTGAATCATTCTGGAATTCCCCCAATTTTCTCTAAGAAAGTATCTAAGTTACTTGAATGTATCTTAGTTATTTTATATACTTAGATACTTTTTTAGATACAAGTTACAAGATACTTTTCAAAAGTAACTCAGTTAAAGATACTTTCTGTTTAAGTATCTTAGATATATCTAAACTACTTAGTAGTATCTTTTTTTTCAAGATGCTCCCATGGGAGCTGCAGCTCTAATAGTAGATAATGTAGGTTAGGTAGATTTAGATGCTGCCTATTTTTTCTTATAAATAAAAACTATTTTAGTTGTGTTTTTGTTTTAATTTTCATAGACAGTAATAGTTATTTATGTATTAAGGGCATAATAAGGTTTTTATGGTCCGAGGCGCTATTTCGAGCCCGAGCGCGTTAGCGCGAGGGCTAGAAAAGCGTCGTAGGACCATAAAAACCAGTTATGCCAGCAATACATACAAAACTTTATGCACGATTAATATATTATTATTTTTAATATATTATTGTTTTTAAAGACGTTTACGTCAAAGAATTTTTGTTATAATTGTCATATTATAATGTCAACTGACATCAGTCAGTTTTAAAGTTTAAAGATGAATGAAATTGAGGAAGCAGCTGAAAAGGCGAAAAATTGCGGCCTGCTGCCGGTAAAATCAAAATCTTTATACGAAAAAACTTACTTCGAATATATCAAATGGTGTAACATTGTTGTTTTTAATTTTTGACGTTTCATTATAGCCCGCTGGGCCATAATAACGCCCGCGGGCTATAAAAAGACGTTTACGTCAAAGAATTTTTGTTATAATTGTCATATTATAATGTCATCGTGCATAAAGTATTTTTATTTTGGAAGCAAGTGTTTATTTGGTGTTTTTATTTAAAAACGATTATTTTAAAAAGTTTCAAAATTTGTCTGCTTAAGATTATTCTTTTCTCTTATAATCTCCATCAAGAAAAAACAATATTACTGCAAAAACAAAATTTTTAAGAATTTAACACACCCGTTTGTTTTTTTAACTTTTTTTTCTGTTTACATCACTAATTAGTAATTACAACAAGAAAAAAGTTACCTGAGTATTTCTGTAGGCCTCAGAGTTCGGTATGTGAACCCCGTGTTTGTCCAAAATCGAAAACAATTCGGATTTGAAAGCGTCCAAGTGCGGAAAAGTCACCATTTCTTCGGGTAGTTGCACCTTACATTTATCCACGTCGATAAAGCAAAGACTCGCCTCTGAGGCGACCTTAATGTTCTCAGAACTTGCATACAAACCTAAAGAAACACGTTTTTAACCACGACAATGCAGGGCGTTTTATGAAGAATGTATTTTATCTACTTAATATTTACAATAATTATTATCTCATTAAATCATTGAAACGCTCTGAATACAAGATAAAGCAAACCTTACCCATAACAAAAGGTACAGGTGCGTCCAAAAAATGATGCAAATTAGCTGGCAGTATGGGTACATAAACATGGGGCCACACAAAAGGAAACAATAGGCTTGTAATTCCCTCAGAAACCACCATGAGTCTTTCGCAGTCTGTGCTGCGCAGTAAAACCTGATTTTCCAGTAGCAGGCAAGTAAACAGCTGCAAAACCACGTCAACCCCCAACCAAGTGAACATGAGACGTAGCGAAAAATCCATGTGGGGCAACTCCACGGTTTCGCTGGGGTTTTGTAGAACGGCGTTGTAGGGGGGCAAGTGGGGGTCGCTGGGGGGCAAGTGGACCAAAATGCTCTTCCCGGGCGACGGCATTTCGACTTCGTACAACAAATTGTAAACGTACGATTCGAGACTGAGAGATTCGAAATTGGCGGTCAATTTTTTCGGCACGATTCTAAACAAATTTTCCAGGAATATTTTGGCTGCGTTGACGAAGGGTTTTTGGCACGTGATGCCGATGCTTTTAGAGACGAACAGTTTGTCTTTTATGATGTCATAGTACATTAAAGGTGTGCCGTTTAAATTTGGCGTGCTTAGTTTAAAATGGCGGGGCAGAGATCGCGATTGAGGCGTTTGATTTTGGATGTTTTGTACTGTGCGCGATTTTAGGTTGCTGGATAGTTCTGTGACGTACATTGCCTGAAAAAAATAGCGAGTTTTTTATTTATTTCAAAAAAGCCATTTAAAATGCCTTATGGGGGTTCCCATGTTGTATATAAGTACTCTAAGATAACAGAATCGTGAAATAAATTAAGGGTTGTGGGCTTTAAGACATTTTTAATGTAATTTATAATATTTTTAAATAAAAAAAATCATGATTATTTTTATTAGAATATTCATTTTAGTTTTTATTACTACACTTTTTTAAATATTAAGTAATAATACAGGAGAAATGTAAAATAACTCAATCTGTATAAGGAATAGAAAATTTCTAAAATGTATGTATGAAAACTGTCTGAAATTACCAAAACTGCATTAGATTAAATTTTATAAATAAAAAATTATGATTATTTTTATTTCAACATTTATTGCAGTTTATGCATTAAAAACTGTCAAAACGTGCAAATACGTAAATTTAAAAACAAGAATTTTGACTCTAAATTATTTAGTGTTACAAAATAGGTACTTAATTTTTTTTTTAGTAAAACTACTTTACCAGTGATAAATTATCACTAACAAAATGTTTTTATAAGCAACAATACAACCATTTATACAGGGTATAATAAACAGTATAAAAAATGACAAATGTATTTTTGAATATAAATTTGTTTATCACCTGTAGGGTTTGCATGGCAATACAAATATCCCTATTTTTGACTTCCTCGTAAAATATCAGCGAAAACCCATAGGTTTTCTTACCATCTTCTCTGGTAATTAAAAAACTGTGGAAATTTGGAGCATTAGTGACTGAATGTTTTTGTGTTCTAAATCGTAATCCTCCAGGCAAAGATAGCTGAAAAATAATTTGTTTAATGACAAAAAGGTGTTTTTATATGTGGGAAATTATACCATTGATACAGCATGACAATCAAATGGGTTTCCCTCGACATTTTCCGGATAATGGGCAAGAACTTTGGCTTTATAACTGCATTCCAATGGGGAAACATTAGGATTTTCATCTGAAATAAAAATTTAAATTAGGTACACCATTGTTATAAATAAAATATACAATTAAAAACTATCCAAATAAAATACTCTTAAATAAGAAACAAATATTTTAGGAGCCGTGTTATTTACCTCCAAATTTTTCAGTCTCTAATCCAGAATTAAAATCCAACCCACAAATAACGAAATAGTCAGCAAACGTCTTCATTTTCTATTTTATTCAAAACAGTTACACTTTGGAATTATTTATTTTATTTTTTATCGCTAAAATCATTGTTATACGTTTTCCCTTTCGAAAAATATGTTTACTTATGATTTAACATTTATTTTGACAGGTCGCCATTTTGTCTTTCATTGTTTTGACTTTCACAAAGGCGCGTTTTGAACTACTGGATGGCAGCTAGTTAAAAATATATTTATTTATATAACATTTATAAAAATTTATTTGTGTTATTATTAAACGTTTTCAATGCTTTAAATGCTTTTTTTAATGGTTGCATATCTACCTAAAAAAAGAATATAATAGGTTATGAATTAAGCCTGATTTATAGATTGCCTTCCTTCCTTCCTCCCGTAGAAGATGAATAATACTAAAATCGTAGTGCTATTTATAGATTCCCGTACGGGAATCCTTAAACAGCACAACGGTTTTCGTATTGTTCATCTTCTACGGGAGGAAGGAAGGAAGGAAGGCAATCTATAAATAAGGCTTTACTGCGCGCATGTTCGAAGCGCGAAATTTAAAATCAACTCATGAAAAACTCATAGATGATCATAACATGATCATCATATGATGATGGGCTTATGACCATAGACATGACTACAACACTTGAAAATCATGAAATCATGGTTGTTCTGTGAATCCCAGGTTGGGATTGTGGATTTTTGTTGTCAAAATATTTTTCAAAAATTAAGAGTTTTTCATAAACTACTTATTTTATACCGGTTCCTTTAAGATCTACATCGTAAAATATAAATTAAATTATTTAAATGTAGGCAAAATTGTGACTTTAGACACAATTTTTACAAAAAGGCAACCAAAGAAAACTAAAACTTGATCATTAAGTCTTGATGTTGGCATTACCGCAATTCGTTAGTGACAGAAGTGACAGTTAAATCAATAAACACTGAAAAACAAACAACAAAATGAGTGTATTGTTGTTTAATCGCGTTAAAAGGTAAGTGAAGCGGGAAATATGGAAATCAACATTGAGACGGCGGTACGCGTGTGCCCCGTGCCGTTCGACAACAACATTTGCGTGCAATCGAATACGTTGAATAACACAATCGAATTGCCCCACAATCAGAGTTTTCCTGTTAATTACGCCCTTCCGTCGGACTGCTGCCAATCTACGGTGTTTAATTCGGTTGCTAGCCCTCTGGTTAATTATCTACTCGAAGGGTGTGATGTTTCGGTGGTCACATTTGGACAATCAGGTATGTATGTTAAAATAAGTTTTAAACATAATAGGACAGTTCGATAAATATTTTTTATTTGTGAATAGCTTGAAAAAAATACCTTGTATTTTAGGCACTGGTAAATCATATACAATCCTTGGTCCTGGATTTCATTTTGCATCCAGTGAGTCTGAGTATGGAATTATTCCAAGATTTATCAGGGAAGTGTTTTCCAAAGTTTCCCAAAGGAAAGATAGGAATACATCTTTACATATTACATGGTCTCAAATTGTTGGGGAAACTGTTCAGGTAAAAAAAACATTAATAGTATATTATTAATTCATATTGAAGACATGGGCACCAGCAGAAAATAATCCAAGGGGGGGTAAAAAAATGAATTGCAATTTTATTTATTTATTTAACAACCAGATACAAGTGTACAGAAATAGAATATCCGCCTATTGGAGGTAATAAATTACCTGTACATAGGACCAGTACATAACTTAAAACTAGGACCTTAAAACTAAACTAAAATAATATATAATATTTTCTACTACAGTTTATAATTTGACAAGTTAATAATGAATTATTGGTACATTTTTGGTAATCCAGTCTTTTAACATTTTTTTAAACTGAAAACTAAATCTGTTATTTGGGTTATTTACAACTTTGATGTTATTAGGTAACATGTTGAAGATTTTTATACCATTGTAGAGTAGACTGGGCCAAAAAAATCAACTATTTTTTTTTGAGAAGTATATCGAAAATATGGTTTGGGGTGACAAAAAAAAATATTGTGAAAGTTTGAGTCCATAATATTAATATTAAGAGGTCTATCATCACAATTTTAATTTTTTTTGTCTCAGAACTCCCAAACCTTTGAGTTTAACAAAATTGTCTCAGATATTTTATTTAAGGAAATTTAATGCTCTACAAAAAACGTTAAAATGGTATTTTTTGTCAGATGAACTGTTTCCTTAAAACCATGCCTTAAAATTGGTATAGTTTTACATTTTGATCTTTTAACTTTGGAATTTTGTAATTCATGTAAAAATCAGTACCCAGAAAAAAACCGATGAATATTCTTATGGGAAATCAAATGCTTTAGTCTGTTAACATTTTTGGCTAAATTCACTTGATCAAAAGTTATTCAAGGTTAAAGTTGAAGTCAAAACAAACTTCTTGTTTTTTCCTCTGTAGATTTATTTTTTTATAGATGGTAATTTGATTTTTTTTTTATAAATGTGTAGTACATATATAAATAATTAACAATTTCCAATAAAAAAACAACATGATTGTTATTATTTAAACGATTAAATAGGTAACAGTGAAAATGATATTTTCTAAAGAAAATAGCGAAAAAATTCGAAGTACTTTTTTATATTTCAGTAATTTTATCAATAAAATAAAGATTATCATTGATAAAAGAATTCAAGTTTTTAACTGACCCAAAAAAAATATAGAGCGGAAAAAACAAGAATTTCGTTTTGACTTCCAATTTAACCTTGAATAACTTTTGATGGAGTGAATTTAGCCAAAAATGTTAAGAGACTTTTTTTGTAGAGCATTTGATTTCCCATAAGAATATCTATCGGTTTTTTTTTCCGGGTTCTGATTTTTACATGAATTACAAAATTCCTAAGTTACAAGCTCAAATTGTAAAACTATACCAATTTTTAAGGCATGATTGTAAGAAAACGGTTCATCTGACGGGAAATTCAAATCAAACCTTTTTTGAAGAGCATTCAATTTTTTTTTAAATATATTCTTAAGTCAATTTTGTTAAATTCAATGGTTTGCGAGTTCTGAGACAAAAAAGTCGCTCAGAAAAAAAAATCTAAAATTGCGATGATAGACCTCTTAATATTAATACCTATTATGGGCTCAAACTTTTACCATAATTTTTTTGTGTCACTTTTCAATAATATTTTCGATATACTTTACAAAAAAAAATAGTGGATTTTTTTGGCCCAGTCTATTGTAGACTAGTTTTTTTACCAACTGCAAGCCTAGTTTTTTATTACTATTTTTGTAGATAATTTCAAATAAGAATTTTTTTTATGATTGCCTTTGTTTTGATGGTATCAAGGTTTAAACTTTTGTGAGATATAATTTCAAAAAACTAATAGTAGGCTATATGAAAACTTTATTTATTCAGTGTCATAAATTCTACAAAAATTTCACGAAAATTTGCAAATAATTTAATAAAAATGGTATACCTATGGTAAAATTATGCAGCACAAATTAACATTAAGTTAACATTAAGATTAACATTAAAAAGTTAAGATGAATGTAATACAATGGAAGCATTTAGGCAACACATTAACATTAAGCATAAATGCCCTCATATTGGTTAAATTAATCTTAATCTTAATGTTAATGTTAATTTGTGCTGCATAATTCCACCACCGCATTTACTAAATTATGCAATATTAAGAAATTTGCATTAAATATCACAATATTAATTACAATATTCATTAAATGATTTTTTTATGTTAAACCTACCAAAAAATAATACAATTTTTAAAGGCAGTCGTAATTTTAATGAAAAATGGAATATATTTTATATATCACATTAATATTAATAATATTAAATTATTATACTTAAATTCTGCGTAAAATTTCGTATCGGATCTAGTTTCAGAAGCATTTTACCGAGTTTAATTAAAACAACAAAAAAAACTTTTTCTTACTACCTCGACTCAAAATACGTTGTTTCGTCCCCGATTCCACGGCAGAAAGTTTACGTTTTATGCATTGGTCAAGCTATACGCGCGCACTCTAATAGCGGGAGTAAAAATTTTTTAGTCGTGTGCTTAACATTCAAATTTCGTACTGCCAACATGAGAAACACAAAAATATGACAGTTTTAAATCATAATTTTGCAATTATAACAACAAATAAACAATTTATGTTTTTACTTTTTTATTTTTTATGTTGTTTTAAGTGTTTAATGGTACTTTTATTTGTTATAAAGTAGTAATTTGTTAATTAAAATACAACATTTTATTTTTACTGTATTGGCACCGCTGAATTCACGGCCTACTGTTATTTATTTATCAAGCTCTTCAAATGGAGATAGGTACATAAATACACATTTAATTTTTTCCCGTATTTTCGGCCGGATTGTATTTTCGGCCGAGGTAGTAAGAAAAATAGTATACACTCGGCTCGCCTCGGGCATCATGGCGCGCAGTGCAGGAATCTCACACTTTCTGCCCTTGTAGTGTAATATACTATTTATAATCTTGTTTTCAAATCATTAACATATTAGATTGTAGTATTGTAATTATTTAAGGATCTGATCGGAGGAGGAAGCGTCGAATGCCCGGACGTGTTGGACGCATTCCAGCTGCTACAGCTGGGGCTATCGAACTTGGCCCCAAAATGCGCGCATACTCTTTTCACGCTAACCCTAGAGCAACAATGGTCGATGGAGGGCGCAATCCAGCACCGAATATCGACGGCAAGCTTTGCCGATCTGGCCGGCAGCGAAAAAATCATCCTGTACGATAATCAGGGGATGCTGCAGAGTTATCCTACCGACCCCGGCTTGCAAGCTTTACAGAGGTGCATCGCAATCATGTCCGATATTTACACCCCCATGTTTAACAACGTAAATAATTTGATACCGTACACGCAGTCGGTGCTGACGACGTTGTTGAAGGACTCGTTTGGCGGGAGGGCGAAGACCGTTTTGATTTGCTGCGTGTCTCCTTTGCTGCAAGACTACAGCGAGACGGTTTACAGCTTGAACTTGGGCGTGCGCGCGCAAATGATAAAAAACATCGTCACGGTGAATTCGTATACGACAGCGGTTGCAAATGAGGCGAATCAGGAGGGGCAAGTGATGGACGTATTCGGGTTGCAGTTCGCGGCGAATCAGCTGCTAAAGTTGGTGGGGAATGCGGAGGAGTTGTTTCAGCGACTGATCTCGAACGGCACGTTGAGTAGAACCGAGATGGAGCAAGTTTCGCAATGGTTGATGCTGAAACAAGAGTGCGAGGAGTGTTTGAGCGAAGATTCCGAACCGTCGCATCGTTCTTTGGAGAGAATCGAGGAGGAAATCGAGGACAGTGAAAATAATAGCGAGAGCAGCGACGAAGGCAGCGAGCCGGTCGCCGATTCGGCGCTGCACGACAAATTGGACTCGCTGATGGACGCTTTTAAAAGTCAAACGGATAAAATGATCTCGAAAGCGATCGCCGCCGACGATTTCATCGTTTCCTTCACCAAAGACAGCATAGGTTCGAACAATTTGAACAGGATGAGGGGGGCGCGCGGACGTAGGGCGTCAATCCATTCCGCCGAAGATTTAACCACTTCAATGTCCATAAATTCTTCGAAAGTGAGCCAGGAGGAGGATGCAAACCAGCTGCAACCAGACGCCCCTCTCACTCTCGATGCTATGAAGAAGATGCTGAAGCAGATTTCGGCGTCGATTCAAGGACACCAGAGGCAAATCGCCAATTTGGAGAAAACGATCCAGGAGAAGGAGAATTTCATGAAGCAGATCGAGAAACACAAGGACACGAAATCGAACGCGCACATGAATATCCAGCAGAAGTGCCAGCGATTGAAGAAACACGTCGAAACGGCACAGGAGAAGGTGACGCAAGCGCAGATACACAAAAACACCTACCTGGAGGAACACTACAAATCCGAGCTTGTTGCGGTGGAGGAAAAACTGCAATCGTCCACCGCTTTGGAGGAATCCCTGAAGAACATCACAGAAGATGGAAGCAGGAAACTGATGGAGCTCGTGAATAGCTTGAAAGCGTCGAAAAAACAGCTCGAAAAGCTGAAAAAACACAAAAGCGAGGAAGAAAAGCGTCGCGTGCTCTACGAGAACCAAATCAAGGAGGAGAAGAAAAAGGCCGATTCGATAGCGAAAAGCGGGGAAATTACGCAATCGAAAGAGCGCACGGTCGTGCTGCTGAACCCCGAAGCAGCTGAAGCTGCAACGATGCACAGCTCTTTCAGCATATCGAACGAGGATTTGGAGTTTCTGCGGCACGAGATCCGCAACCTGCGCAAAACGCGCGACTATCTGCTCGAGCAAAAGTGCTCGATAAACCAGGGCGGCGGCGGCGGCAACGGAGGCGGCAAGAAGCTGCTCACCGAGCTGGAGGAGCGGCAGATTTTCCAGTTCGAAGAGGCGATCGAGGCCATCGATTTGGCGATCGAGTACAAAAACGAGGTTTTGTGCGGACACCAGCCACTCGTCGAGCAGCAAATCGAAAAAGCTGAAGCTGAACAGGGCGATCGGATGCTCATGGACAGGCTCATGCATCTTAGCAAGAACGAGATGAGGGTGCTTTTGCACAAGTACTTTGAAAAGGTAACAATCATTTATTTATTTTGTAAAACATAACCTTAAACGCCTGTTCAATGGGGTAGTTAAATTCTTTCTTAACTATACTTTTTATGGTTTTATTCAAGGCGTTTTATAATATTAAACATTTCTGTGAAATCAGAATTTCAATTGAGTTTACCGTTTTCAAGATATTTACAAAAAATATAAATTTTTATTACGTCACAAACCTCGCCATGTGACGAACATTCTAAGATTTCTATTGGTTGAAAATTGTTGTCTTGTTAATGATTTCATTCGGTTATGTCAGAAAATACCCGAAGAGGTTATGTACAAATACTGTCACTGTCAGTTGAGTGAAAGATGGTCACCAAATTCATTAAGTACCTATCTTCCTTATTACGAGGTATCATATTACTGTTTGATATTTTAGAGTCCAAGATATATCTAAAAGAATATAAAGAACTAGGCATTATACTAATGAAATGCATTTACGACAAAATATGATTATAATTATAGGTACTTACTTTATTTGTTTAAAAGCTCCAATGTTCAATGTAACCAACCATTCCACAAGATTCATCTGCTTTGGAGTCCGTTATTAATAAATCACTTATCTAATATCAATTACAAATAACATAACAATAACATTGATTTTCAATAATCTAAATTTAAAAATAACATAACCCGAAAAAAAGAAACGTCAAAAAATCAATTCTTCTTCTTCTTCTCAACTAAAATTATAGATCAAGTGGTTTTAAAACTAAAATATTATAAAGTGGCGCCATCTATCGTAAGAATCTTAAACTTAACACATTGGCAACCATAGAAAAAGCTGGCAACGTTGTCAATAGCCTAGTGACGTAATTAGGAGATTTTTTTTGTAAATATCTCGAAAACGGTAAATTCAATTGAAATTCCGATTTCACAGAAATGTTTAAAATTACAAAACCATAAAAAGTATAGGTCAGAAAAAATTTAACTACCCCATTATGCTTTTGACATTCTTAAACATGTATCCAGCAAGTTATGTTTTTAACATTAACAAAAGTATGTCTGACATTCTAAGACGTAATTTTGACATTCTAAAATGAGTTTTGACATGTTTATTTTTTTTCCTACATTATAAAATTTCTTTTCTTTATACGCTAAAGAAGCATCGCTAGTAGCGCCACCAAATGGCCGTTATTATCGTAATAAGCAGCTGTCAAACGCGTATATTACAAACGAGTGTTTTTGAGAATAAAGCCGGAAAATGTTAATATCGAAAAAAAAACCGTAGCACGATTTGTTGTGTTGTTGGGTGTTTTTCGAGAGGGAATCCCAATAAACAGTGGAAATCCGAATGAAGAAATAAATTGCATGCAGTCCCTGTAAATATAAATTGTACCTATTAGATACAATAAATACACATTTTAGTAATGATTTACGTGAAAATTGTAAACATTTCAATTGAGTAAAAATCATAAAACAAATAAGTCGTCTAAACTCAAACAGCATGTATCATTATTAAAAGCGTTAATTAAGAAAGTCTCCACTAAACAGTAAAATACCAAGAACCAGTATGTTGGATTTATTATATATAATATTATGTTGCCATGAATTCGTAGGTATATTTTGAGGTTTTTTTTAGAGGACTCAAATATAAAAATATTCGATTTTAAGGTTATGTTTGTACAACAATTATTTTTAGTTAGATTTCTTAAAAATTTCCAAACTTAAATATGAATTAATTCTACACCAACAAATATTACTTACCGAATTGGATCCTTTGGCAAAACATGAAAATGCAACGATTTAGTTCTTGAACTTAATTTACCATTAAAAAAATTTGTCGAGTAAGACTTCTGCCTTCCTCTCTTTTGGGAAAAAACCCCAGCAAACCAAATCATGTCACAGTGATATAACATTTACATAAAAATTGTTCCTTACTATGCAACAGCTATGTCACCTATATGTAATGGCAATGCTCCTATGTCCGCCTCAAGACGCCTTCCTGGGTATGTAACTGTGATGTAACAGTGTTTTATCATAGTTATGTAACTGTAATGTTACAGCGCCATATCAGTTATGTAACAGTGATATAACATTTACATAAAAATTGTTCCTTACTATGCAACAGCTATGTCACCTATATGTAATGGCGATGCTCCTATACATATATGTCCGCCTCAAGACCCCTTCCTGGGTATGTATCTGTGATGTAACAGTGTTTTATCATAGATATGTAACTGTAATGTTACAGCGCCATATCATAGTTATGTAAACGTGATAAAACAATTATGAAATATTTATAAATATAATTTCATGTAATATATTATCTTACTGGTATTAAAAATTGCTTAGCCCTAACTTGGTATTATGGCAAATTTATTGAAAAAAAATCAACAAAATTTTAAAATTGCCATAATACCAAATTAGAACTAAGAAATTGTTAACGCCAGTTAGATAATATATTAAATAAATTATAAATAAATATTACATAAATAATAAGTAAACATTACAAAAATAAATGATTCTGAAAGAGATTAAAAAAAAAACAAATTGGTTTAAATGTTTACTAAAAATTATTTTAATTAAAAAAAAAACAAATCATTTCTTCTTTCTAACTTCTTAAAACAAACGAAAAGTTTTTCCAAACAAAAAAAAATCCCAAATACATTAATACTTCAAAACTAAAAAATATATGGTAAAAAAGATAAAGCAATCCCATGAATTTAATATTAATATACCTTCTTTTCATGGGTTTTTTGCTTCCCTATAGGGTATACCAAATCTTTGGCCTGCCGGAACCATTCGGAAACTATGCCTTCAAAATTGTTGTCTGTCGAAGTGCACACAGCAGCTTAAAAAAATTTATTTAATAAAAAATCCCATAAAATTTACATTTTTACCCTTCAATATTTCAACAGATTTTATTGTTGTTTCTTAGCCCCAGCCAAGAGCAATCTTTTGCCAAATTATTTGAGAAGATTTTCTTTAAAACTCTTACTGTGGCATCTTTCTCTGAGACGCCTTCAATTTTTGTTATATACCTACTGAAACTGAAAAAAAAATACAATTTAATATTATTTTTGTTTATTGATTTGTTTTCAAAACAAAGAACAACTATTCTTTATGTAGTTATGTAAATGATATTTGGTACAAATAATAATTTGTTTGATTTTATTTATTCAAGTCAAATGCACCCTGCAACCTTAAGAGATATAAAAATAATGAAAAATATGGAATTTGCATAAAATTAATTGTCACAACAATTATAATAAAAAAGTGTATCCATCTTGGTTATTTAGCAAAATTATTGTATCTTTTAAGTACCAGTTGAAAAAACAGTATAAAGTTAAAAAAAATATAGAAATTAAACTCTTATTTTGGCTACCAAATATCATTAAATTATAATTTGTCGCTTGTTTTTTAGCACCCTGTTTTAAAAACAAATTAACATTATTAAACAGGTTTAAAATCGCCCTTTATATACTTACAAATTCAGCCCCTACTTCTTTTTGCAATAATGTTTTCTCAAAACTTTTAACAGATCATTAATAAAAAGTTGACTAGGTAAGTATCTATTACACAAATCTTGCAAATCTTCCACAAAAGTATGGGAATTTTTCCTATGACCTCCTGAATATTCTCCCAAATTTTCTGTAAAAATATTTCTCGATTTTTATGTAAGAATGTCATATTCTCGCACGCAAAATCGTTGAAGAATGAAGCTCATTCTTAAACGATTTTTGGTAACATTTAGTTTTTAAGTATTGGTACCCCCAAAATGTCAAACTGTTTAATAACCTCAAATTCATTACTTTTATTGAAAATGAAGCCTTTATTATTGTTTTGTAATATAAAGTTTGCTCCAACAATGCATTTTAATGCAAAATTTTAAGTTTAATGTGTAAAAGTGCAGTTCAGGTTGTACTTGTGCAGGATAACAAATATTGTCATTTTGTGTTGCCAACTGACATTTTGCGAGAAAAATCCCCTAACTAACAACGACCACAAAACAATTAAAAAAACCTAAATAAAAGTTAAAATCGAGAAAATAGTATAAATCACACGTTGCAGAAGGCTATTCTCGCACTCATTCGTTCGTCCACTCGCTCCTTCGTCGCTCGAGGCCAAATTTCGAATTCGTGCGAGAATATGTGGCCTTCTGCAACTTGTACTTTAATATACTATTATTATATGTTTATTTATTGGCTGGTTAGGGAAAGATAATACTTCGGTTTTAGCCTCAGTATATTCCACATTGTCTTGGGTATTTTCTATACAATTTCTTACCTCCACGCCCATTATTTTGAGATCTGCATTAATTCTCCTCCGCTTTTGCCTCCGGGATAGGGAAATATATTTTTTTCTATTTTTGTCTTCCATTTTATTATAAAAAAATGGAATCAAACTTAACTTAACTTAAAACACAATAGAGAGCACTCGACACAACCGTTTAAACGAGTTCGTTAGTAAGATAAAAAGGCTATATAAATACTATAAAACATTAATATATAACATTTATATTATATATTTTATTTCAAAAAATAACGGACTTCCCCTTCCCCTGACAAAAAAACTTTTTTTTTAAATATTTATTACCTAAATAAAGATTGAGAGTCAGCTTAAAAAACATTGATAGATATTCTAAAAATAAACTAATACAAATAAAATAATGAAAACAATTATAGGAAAGTTTTAAAACTTTCCTATTTATTTGGAAGACATGTCTATAGAGGACAGAAGACATGTCTATATAGAGGTACTTGCTTCTGACTTATCCTTTGACCAGGGCCGAGCCTAGGGTATCTGCCGCCCGGGTGCAAGAATTAAGTTTGCCGCCATAATTTATCATTTATTTAATTTATCATTCTCAATAAAGATATAACAAATTCTATAGTAAAATAACAAAGTATTTATTAACAAATACATAAAAGAATAAAATAAAAATACATTTAGGAAAAAAAAACAATTAAACTAAACTAAAAAACTAAAATCTACTTTTCTCGCTTGTTTAATAGCAAATTCCCTAATCAAGTCACCTACATCCAAGTTGTTAGAAATATCTTCTTCAATACTTATAATTGCTAAATTTAAAAGCCTAAATTGACTCATATTGGATCTTAAATAGGTCTTAATTAGTTTTAATTTCGAAAATGACCGCTCTCCATGGGCAACAGTAACTGGCATCGTCAAAAATATTCTTAAAGCTACAAATAAATTCGGAAAGATGCCTTTTAAATCATTAACTAGTTTTTAACTTAAACGCATTAAAAGACAAAAGAAACTACTATGTTTGCATCCTATTTGCCTCACGTTAATAAAAAAAAAAAAATTGCTGAAAGCTTGTAAACAATATCACGTGGTACACAGCGCGCGATTTGATTGGTTTCCCGTAAGCCCGCTTCCGTAAAACATGAAACTTGACGAACTCGAAGCGGACGGGCGGAAAGCGAAGCGGGCGGGCGGCAATCTATAAACCGGGCTTTAAGAAAATTGTCATCATCATTTTTTGTGGCTATCGCGCGTTCGGTTATGTCTTTTTTATCATTGCCGCCTGACAGCACAATTTTGGCATTGTTTTTATGTGTAGAATAAAAACGATGATTCCTTGAAACGCCGACATCAATAAAACGCAAGTGATTTTTATAAAGTTTTTTGCCTATTGCAAGGTGGCTTTTTTATTCTTGATAATATGATACAATTTTTGTGATATGCGATATTTTGCCGCCCTGTGTTAGTGCCGCCCGGGTGCCATGCACCCCTTGCACCCCCGGCACGGCTCGGCCCTGCCTTTGACCATTCATATTTTTCTGATGATAACACTTTCTTTAAGATTTTTTTATTATTTTTAACTTTATTGTAATATGACAAACAATCCATTTCTGTATTTACTTTTATTTGAATTTTGAAAAAAATCCTAATAAATATCAGGAGCAATAACATTAACTATAATAGCTTCTGTTTTCGTCAGCGCTACAAAATTTTGGGTCATAAAGAGAGTGAATTAATTTTGACGTGAATTAAAACTAAAATCATGCTGGGTAGTATGATAGGCAAAAGCCGCTTCCTTTGAGGCACAAATTAAATCTTGTTCTGTAGGTTGTACGTTTTTAAAATACGAAGTAACAACTTTACTTATATTTGAGGCATTCGAAATATTTCTATGTTTCTTAGTGTTTTTTGTATGTTGTATTATATCGCGTCGGCCTCCTTGTGAAATTGAAAATTCTGCATTACACTTTGTACACCTTGCCATATGTTCTAATTTTCCTTTTTTTATGAAGGAAAATTCATTTTCATACTCAGCAGAAAAATGACATTTTTGCTTTCCCATTATTTACTTCTAGAAAATGATTTAAACATGGTTAATCCTATGTCTGCTGACGCTGTATCCAAAGCCAAATAAATTAATAAACACTGGAAAACGCAATACTTTGTATTGTCAAAACACCAGCCACCCGTAGGGAATTCCCACGTTTTATGTCAATAATTGACAGTCAATTGGCCACGGATGCGCAATGACTATAAAATTGTTTGCGTGCTTGTATTTATGTTTGTCCAGCTGGTAAAACAATTCGATATAGTTTTATACCGTGGTAAAAGGCTTGAAATGATAAATATAAAGTTATTAATATAAGGTTTAATTTTGGATTATAAATTTTAAAAATAACGGACACAAAAAAATAACGGACCGGACAAACGGACGCCCTGAAAAAAACGGACTGTCCGTTAAAAAAACGGACGTATGGCAACCCTATTTATATATCATTGTTACAATGTAGGTATAAAACATTGTTATATAGCCATGACATAATAGGGATGTAAATATAACAAGAAGGGATCATTTTGATATAACTATTATATTAAAATTTTTTATTATAATTATGTAACAAAATAAAGAAAAACTATGTAAATACCATATAATAAGGTTATATGGATACTATAAAACATTGCCATATATCAATGATGTAACATTGTTCCATTGTAGATATATAACATTGTTATATGGCTGATACATAAGGGGGATGTAAATATAACAAGAGGGGAACATATTTATATAAATGTTATATTACTATGTTTTATCATAATTATGTAACAAAATAAATAACTAATATGTAAATGTTATGTAAACAATTTTATATGGCAATGTTCTTTGTTAGTTATATAATGGTTATGTAAATGGAACAGCCTGGTTTGCTGGGACTACTTATTTATTTAAAAATTATGTGCAGTTTGTATTCTTTAAATGTATTGTTGACAATTCTTGAATTCACACAATGCTATCGAACACCACCAGATGGCGCGCGTGTTGCGAAAACCCGATGCTTCTTTCCGGGGATTTTGATTTTAACAGAGGCGTGGATTTCTGAAAACGTCTGTTATTGGCAATGTCAAAAAAATCCACCCCTATTATGTAAAGTTTTGTTTAGATTGTGGATCTGAGGAGTAGCGGCAAAAAGCTCGAAATGCAGTTGGTCGATGTGGAAAATCAAAACGAGAATTTGCTGTATCGCGTGCAGAATTTGAGCCACACTTTACAACAGAATCGTTTGGAGACTGAAAGGAGGGTTGTCTCGTTGCAACAACAGCACGAAGATAAAATTCATATTGTTATGACGCACCTGGCGAGCGACGGGGCCGATCACAGAAACCTGCACAGGGTCCTCACAGGTATAAAAATACTTTTTTTACAAATAACTTTTTGTAATATTATTTCTTTTCTTGCAGACAAAAAAGGTTTCCCATTAAAGATTGGAGGTGGAGGAGGCAGTTCAAAGGGAGAAAAATCCTCTGCAGGAACCTTATTGACAAGAATCACACAAATCACAAAGCCCGACATTTTGATGAGACCACTGCAATCTGCTCCACAAGCAAGAATCACCAGGAATAAGAACAAGTTGTTTTTGCAGCAGACGCAAAAATAATAACCATAAGCATTACATTACAAGTCATTATTGAGTTTTTTCTAGCATGTATATATTTATTGTTTGTAAATAAGTAGGATTGTACGTTTATTGAAAATAAAAGTAATAAAACTCCCATTTTAAAAAATTGTGTTGTATTTTCCATCAAATAAATAAAATTACAGTACCTACTATAGATTCAGATCACACTTCCCTTGAAGTTCGTCAGCCAATTTGCTAGTCTCATTTCTTCCTGGAGATGGAGGCACCTGACTCATACTATTCCAATTTATTTCTGTAAAATCAATAACTATTTTTTTTTGTTTTGGAATAAACTGCCTGCAAATAAAAAATTTCGTATTTTTGTACATTTTTTATTACACTTGTAATACCTGTATTTTACCCCTGCAGAATCCATCATTAATTTGGATGCAATTGTGTGAGGTTTATGTGAGTGCTTATCAGACATGTAAATCACCTCTTTTATGCCCGATTGTATAATAACTTTACCGCATTCATTGCAGGGAAACAATCCAACATATATTCGACAACCTTTAACATCTGCACAGTTTTTGTTTAAAATCGCATTCAATTCAGCATGACATACTAAAAAACAAATTAAAAATTGCATTTTTTAATAGTTATTTACGATATAAGTGGGATAAGAGCTTTATTAACGTACGCATGCGAAATTTGCCCAACAAGTGCATAGCACGAGTTGGGCAATCGCAAAAGTACGTTAATAAAGCGTTATCACACGTATATTGTACAAATTTTTATCTACAGCTCTAAATGAAAAAATAAACGGTAATTATTTTTGTCTAAGACTTAATTTAGGGTTATTTTGACATTTTGACTTTTTTATTTGATTGGTTAAAAACAGAGAAAAACGCGTGCGTTAATGAACTTCTTATCTCACTCAAAATGAGTGGGATAAGAAGTTCTTATCTCACTGGCGTAGATAATAAATTATAACAACCATAGTAATATTTGTTATCCAACGGATTCTCATTCTCTTTTTCCCATGGAAAATCATCATCATGACACCCTTTTGGCATTCCATTGTATCCTATCCCAACAATAACATTTTCATTGTTCACTATGCAAGCCCCAACTTGAGAACACGGATCCTTGCTTCTTTTCGCAGCCAAAAAAGCCGTCGCCATAAAATATTCATCCCAGTTTAGATAGTTTTCCCTTTTTTTGTTTAGGTTTCTGAAAGTAATTATTATTATTATTTGCCAAAGTATAATTAAAAGTTGTTAAGTACTAACTTTGCCATGTTATAGACTACATAACCAACAAATTTAAAAATATAACCTAAAATTTTGACAAGTGCGTTGTGACTTTAGACACGGTCAGCTGATTTTGACATATGAAAGCAGGGCGTCCATTGGCGATAAAAAAATCCCTGACGTGATAAAGCGTCGGATCTGTCAAAAAATTCAACATGGCAGCGTTAAATGTCTAAATGATTATTGATGATTCTTGTGAAATATGTAATAATTTAGTGCGTGTAGTTTTTTGTGCTGTTAGTTCGATACGGAAGCAACATGACCGAACAGGAAAAGACAAACATAGGGGATGTGAAGAGTCCCGAGGAAATCATTAAAATGTCCGTAAACGACAACTTAAAATTTGCCCTTTTAATCGGACTCGTGGAAGTTGGGCAGGTTTCCAATCGGGAAGTTGTCAATACACTCCTCCAGCTGGTAAGTAGCCATTTACCGCATTCGTGGATTTACAATTATACATTTTTAATGATGGTCTCCCCAATGTTTACCAAGTGCTTTACGCGGACTTTACGATCTTGTTTTGCTGTTTATCACTTTGAAAGTCACCACCCAACCGCAATAAATACGCTTAATTAGACAATTTTATTCCATAATATAATTTTTGTTTATATGCCGGAAAATTGTGGGCGTCAACATGTTTTTCTCTACATTATGTTTTCCCAAAACAAGTTTAATCAAATTTCTTAGTTATTAGAGTTGAAATAATTATTCAACATTTCTTTATTTAAAAGTTAGTTTAATTGTAAGCCTTAAGATCATTTTTAAACATTTTTTTATCTAGGATTCAGTGGCTATGGCTAGGTAGGTATACCTATATGGTTTATTATGTAAATTACATGTACATACATATATTGGAGTAGATAAGTGCCTACATAATCATAAAGTTGGCAATTAATAAAATGCTTAATAACAGGTAATTTAGATATCAAATAAATTACCCTAAGCATGTATTTAGGTGTGTCTACCTACACACAAAATTTTTAATTATGTAAAGGGAGTCAGTATCAAAACGACAAAATATAAAAATGAATTGACACGTTCCTATATGAGTAGGAAATTTATCTAATAAGGATTATTTAAAAGATAGTGAAAGGTAAAATCTAAAAACAGTAATAAAGCAGGTAGCTGCAGCGATAAAGTGACAAAAAAACAAGAGATGGCGCCACCTGGTTGTTGTCGTTCCTCGTCCCAAGGATGCCACCGCTACCGATATTTCGGTAGATCTACCCATTTGCCAAATGGCATTTGGCAGTCCATCTACCGATCTACCGAAAGTGCATTATAATATATTTTATTATTTATACTTTATTTTGCCGTTTTTAGCTGTCAATTTGTTAAACAAATCAAAGAAATAGATTAGAGACGAGCACAATGTTTGGCATTCCCAAAAACAAAGCAGTTTTTAGAAAAACTTTGGCAAACAATATTAAATGTAACCCGTTTTTAATTAAGAGCTAGGTATTATGATAACATATGGATTAATTAATATATGTTCTATGCATCCCAGGTATTTTTAGCTACTTTAATATTTTTTCTTAACTTAAAAACCATTAACACAATTTTACTTTGTAAATATCTTATCATCCAACACAACCTAGAATTATTTTTAATTGAAAAACAAAAATATCTTATTAGCGGACTTCTTAAATTTAAATATACATACTTCCACCAAAGTAATATACCGAAAAAATTATTCTGGTAGTGGCAACACTGCACGTCCCCATGTGTTTTGTGTTCGGTTAAACCGATCGATCGACGCGCTAGCCGAGCTATGTATTTTTAATTTTTTACGATTTTGTCATTTCAATATTTCAACGCTAGTAGAACAACAAAAAGCAAAGTTAAAATGAAGTTTTGACATTTTAAAGCTGTGTTTTTGTATATAAGAGCGAAATTGTATATAAATCTCTGGATATTTTCATCAACAGCAGAATAAAATAGATATAACTGTTTGTAATATTATTACAAACAATTTTTTTTGGACTACTATTAACTTAATAGGTAGTATTTAAATTTTTCACAACTATTGGTGAAATAAGGAACAAAAATTGAAATATAAAATATTTAATAGTTTACAAAACATTATCCTCTGCAGGTACATGTACCGAACTTTGTACCGAACTTTGTTACTTTGTTAAAGTTACTATCATCTTTAAAAGTACGTAAAAACGAGATGAGATTTAAGGGTTTGGAGATAAGTAAAACATTTTTCTGATGTCTAAAATAAAAAAATCTCTCAATTTACTTCAGATAATCATTCTTAATTCAGCATAATTGATGATTAAAAAAATGGCAATTATTCTCTTCGATTAGGATAAATTATCGTGTCTTTTGAATAGGTTCAACGTTTGTAAATTAATCCGAAAGCGACAATTAAAAACAGACGCTTCCGAAATAAAAAAAAAGCGACGCATTGTCGCCGCGGCAAACTTTGCAAATTGCCGTCGAATCGCTACCGCCGGAGATGTGATTTGATTGCGGCAAACCGATCACCCGGAAAAATAATTGGCAAAATTTTAAAACGACAATGGCAAAGCGCTACGCGATTAAATGTAACAGTCTAAAAGAAAAACCGACAGCTCGATTGTATTTCATTACATTGTTAGGTGTTTGCAAAATTCGATTAATCAGACATAAGTACACAGTAAAAAAAATCAACTCTAAGCAACACTAATTAGAGTTCACACAGGTCCACACTAAATAGTGTTGTTTTATAACACTACAATAATTGTAGAGTTAATTTGTAGTGTAATTTTCCCCAAGTAAGCAAGTATGATTTAACACTATAGCACTGAGGATAATTTTACACTGTATTAAAAAGTGTTAATTTACCTAAAATCGTGTACTTCTACACTTCCTGGGTAAAATCCCACTTTTGTTCAGTGTAAATTAACACTACTTTGGAAAAGTTCTAATTATAGAAAGGTACTTTTACTCTTTTAGTGCAAACTTCTAGTGCAAATTAACACTATTATTTGAGTAAAACCTATTGGTGGTAGTGATTAAAACGAAAAGGTAAATAAAGAGAAACATTTATTTGGAATAAAAATCTATGACAATTATCAAAATCGGTGCCTTTTAAAATATAATTTTATATTTGAGTCGTATGGCTGGCTTAAGCAAAATGGTTCCTTAAAACGTAAAAGTTTTAGATCAATGCAATGTTTTACTGGCTGCCAACTTGTAAGCAATAAATTATCTTGAGAATTCATTAGTAATCCATTTTTCTGTTACAAAAATGGGTGATCCCATTGGTAGAGAGGCGTCAGGCGGCTGTATGTCGGGGATTTACCACACGTGTACAAATTGTCCGTAATATTAATAAAAATGTAGGTATAGGTTAATATAAGAACCATTACGCTTGAAAATAAAAAGTAAATCAAGTGTGTATGTATTTATATTATTAATTTTACAAGTACCTGACCTACTGCCGTAAATTATTGGTATATTGTCACTATTTAACACATTAAGGGGTAATAAACACTCGCATTAAGTTTTTCAACCCTTTTGATTTATTTTAATAATAAATAGTGTGAATGTACCAATGAATAATGTTCATATTCTTTAAATGTGTTTAATAAAGTTAATAAGCACTAAATGCTACCTAGTGTATTTTGTAGTGTAACTTTTACACTTACAAATCAACTCAAATATTTTTACCCCTACACTAAAAAATTTACACGGGCAAAATTTTTTACTGTGTAAATAGCGTCAACTTCAATAGTACCTACCTTCAGTATACCAAGTAAAAGGGTTAATTGTATTTGTATAAAAAAGCACTTGTTGAATAAATCGCCCTTTTACAGAGGCAGAGGTTGCGTTTTCTGCGTCACCGAGTATATTTGTTGCCGCAATTGGGCACAGAAATTAAGAAGGAAGAGGTCGGGCAAATTAAGCAATTAGTCGTCGTAATCTTAGTGCACATTATACGAACAGACGATGCTGCTTCAGTATTATTGTTCCAAACTTAATAATCCAGTTTAAATTGATATCGGAGCCGTTTAATAATCCCGACCGCATTTTAACGAACTCCAAGGATTATTGAAAATTTGCCGCGGTACGAGCCGTTTGACGCCAGTTTTACAATTTGCAAATCTGCCATGCCTAAAAGTTACCACCAATATATACACTCACCGGCAAAAAAAACCGGCCACCAGAAATTGGCAAATGTAGGTTGACACTGCCGTACAATAATGAAAATACATTGAAATAACATAGAAAGAGTGGTTAAATAAGCGCTTTATCCGCCTGTTAGATAATGTACTATTTCTATATTAGTTAATTTCATTTCAAAATCTCCACTAATCTGCAAGTTATACCTTTTTTTTAACTTTTAAAACTGACCAAAGATATCTTTCGAATATCTACTCTCTAAAAACGAATTGTTATAGCGAAAAAGCAGCCACTAATATTTCGCGTCAGTAGCATTTTGCATTAAGCAGTCATTTTTCATTGTCCCCTGAATCCCTGAAATGTTTTTAAGATATAATTCAATTTTCCAAATAATATGGAATTGACTATATCTCAAAAACTGCTCTACTCTTGTCAAAAATAAGTAATTAAAAGTCATATTTGATAAGTCATAGCGAAAAAGCAGTCACTAATAATTAGTCAAATTCTTCTGAATGAAATAGTCAAATTTGTAGATTAAAATTTAAAAAAGTTCTGACCCAGCCGGGGTTTGAACTCGGGTCTATCGCTTGTCAAGCGGATGTCGTAACCAATGAGCAATCAGTCACTTTTATAAAAAACAGTTTTACCTGTCTATAAATATTGTTCATAATATTCTAAAGTTGAATATTTTTTTTGTTTTCCTGTTTTGAGCTAAACTTTTTACATCTTTGTTTGTTTTTAAGGGTCATTTAACCATGGAGCCTATTTAACTCAAACAATAATTTGTTGCTGGCCGCAAACGATTAAAGAAATTAGTTACTTTTAACTCTCAGAAATAGTAAAATATGGTGACTTGTATTAAATTAGTCAAACTTTAACTATTTAAGTAGTAAAAAATAACTATTTTAAAGTGAAAACGACTATTTTATTAGTAAAAAATGCTGATACTAATTCAAATAGTAGAATTTTGACTATTTCATTTTAAGAGAGTACTTTCATAATTTTTGACCGTTTTTTTTTGAATTCAGGGGATAATTTTACATAAGAATTGGCTGTTAAATGTTGGGGATACCATGGTACGCAATGGTTAACCATGGTATAAGTGAAAAAGCAGCTACTAGTCATTTTTGACTAATTCATTTTTAGGGAGTATACTATATACCTATAGTTTACGGAACAACCATAAGATACCTTTTTGTATAGCTTTGTACTATTTATTTATTAGTGAGATACAAAATGTTTTTCATCGGACTAATGTGAAAATTGAAAATTGCAATAAGCACATTGTAAGATCCCCATGGGGATCTTACTCTAAATTGTTAGAGCTCATACGTAACATACTGTAGATGTGCCTATAGAAACCAATTTTTCGATATCAGAAGTCAAAAAAACGAATAGTAGATTTTTTGAATGCTTTGTATTACAAAGTTTGTAAAGGAGTCGGAGCTATTTGACGATGTCCATTACAATGTAATTGTATAAAAGTCATCTTGCAGACATCCTGTATATTATTTAGTGGCAAATGCTTTGGGCAGACCTGAATGAAACTTAGTATCAATAATTAATTGCAATGCATAAATTCGGTCGTATTCAGTCAATCGGTTAATCTTGGCTTTAAGCCCCGACTGGCGGCAGTATCTACGGTACAGTGCAGTCACATCCAGGCGGGGTCCCTTTGTCCAACACTGATCAATAGTCAAGTAGCCCTTTGAATACCAAACAACCGAGACGAAGACAGTATTGGAGAGTTTTTTGAATGCCTTAACTAAGATTAATACGCTCCCTGCCGATGGGGTCAAAATCAAAGAGGTGATTTTTTAGAAATGCCCAATAATATCGAATAAACTAATGAACCTGAATATGAAACGGTTTGACAAAAAACATTTTAAATCGGTTAAAACGTATTTCGTTACACGTTGGTGCTTGATAATTATTGATGTTGTACAAAGCCTTTGATGCATCGCATTAAAATTCCTTTGCAGGGTTTCCTTTCGTATCTTTTTACATTATTCCGTGTGTCTACGCTTAGAATCTAAGGCTTAGAAGAATAGACACATCTAAAGATAACTAAAGGGGTTTTTTACTAATTAATGGGAATTTTAAAGAAGGTTTTCTAGAAATGAAATAATAAGATAAGTGTATGTCACATATTATTACTGTTTTCATTAAACCGCTGTGACTTTTCCGACAGGACGTCTCCAACAACAACAATAATAATAATACGCCAAGACCAAACGAAGGCAGGTGTTATGGCACATGACATTGATTAATATCCACTTTCTCATTATCTTGTCATACTCGCTCCTTTTCTCTTTCCCTTCATCCCCTTAGTTACTCCATTTAATAAATTTTCCCAGTTAAAAAATGTTTCAATAAACATTCAAAATGACGGCATTGATTAGGTTCCTTCGTCGAAATTAAAGGGCCTTTTAAAACCAATTTGGGTTTTAGGAATTAATTAAAAACGACGATACACCGCAGAAAAGTTATCTTTTATGCCGTTAAACGAAAGGGCTCGCGTTGAGACTTTTACAACAAAAAAAAATGATTTATTTTCCTAGACTTTGACGACAGAAACAAAATTAAACTCGAGTCTTGTTTCGAGTTGGAGTCGTCCATCTCATTTAATTATCCAAAAGTAAACAGTTTAATTAAACCGCAAAGTGGCCATTTCAGCTCCACTTCCACCATCAATACCCACTACTACACTATCAACTCTTCGTCAAACGGCATTCTGTTTACTTTTCCGCTCGTTATAGACAACTCGGTCCCATGGCTACCTAACCAACCGTTTATCATTAACTTGCTTCAAACTTTCAAATAAACACAATACGACACAACAGAAAAGTAACTTGTGATAGAACGAGTTAAATATTCAAGATTGAAGAGTCTGGTCGATATTCCTTAGGGTAGATGTAGCTATTCACGACCATGTATCGTTTAAGATTTTATTTCATGAGATAAATTCATCCCAAAACTACTTTATGTTAATCCAGGTACACATAAATTTATGTTAAGTTTACAACCAACTGTAATCTGTTAACTAATTGAATAAGTAGTTAGTAACTATAACAAACATTTTGTAGATTTAATCCTATGTCAATAATTCAACCATAATTCTTGTAATTTTAAAAAGGTCCTTTTTCACAAACCTCTTTGTAGACCCATTAACAAACTTAAATAAAAAAAATGTTGATAAGAAATGTTGCTTTATTAATCTATTTTCCAAAAAAAAAATTAACACATATATGTATACCTACATAAATGAACACAACAATAACATTCACACAATTAAATAACACACCATTCTGAAATCATCAAATAATAAAGAAATATGGTACAATACGGGGTGTCATTTAACTTGAAACTTTGAAATATCTCAGTTAGTATGCATTATACGAAAAAATGTTTAAAATAAAAATTAATTGATTCGAGGGGGGAAATCCATCAGTACTAAAATTGGTCCTCATACTCTCCTCCTTATAGGGGGAACAGGGGGTAACTTTAAAATTTCCAATAAAACACCCTATTTTTTATTGCAGATTCATATCATTCGACTAAAAATAGGTAGATTTTGTCTAAAACATTTTTTCATATTGGCGCTTTAATGAAAAAAAATCAATTTTGTTCGATTTTTCTTTTGCATGTATACGATTTCCCAATAATTTTTGAATAAAATAATTGGTTTTATTTTTTAAATTTATTTATTATTTCGTTTTAATATTTTGCTAACATTGCATGAGGATTAGCGGACGTTGCTGCTAATACATTAATTTCATTATTTCCACCTGTGACTGTTGCTCGACGAACTCTTTTTTCGGTTGAACACTCCCGTTTGTAGTAAACTGCTTGACTGTACGGTGAAATGAAGTACGTGATCGAATTTTATCCGGAAAACGCTGAGCGTAGATATTAACAGCATCATCAAGATTCCTGCCTGCTTCTCCATAAATCAAAATCATTTCTATTTTTTCTTCCACTGTTAAAAAATCCATTATGAATAACTGCTTAACGAAAGGAGGTCTTTTTGTTTGCAAATTAATCTTCGAACTAAATTGATTAAATAATGCTAAACTATAAATATATTCTTTATATCAATTAGGATTAAATTGATTAATTGACAAAATAATGTTTTTTTTACGTTAAATGAGGTATTTTTATTAAAAATAGTACAAAAATCCTTTAAAGAATTTAATGCTGGTAGGTAAAAAGTGACCATGGTGCGCAATTGATAATTATCACCGAATTAAATAATGTATAAAAATTAAACCAAAGGAAACTTAAATATTAGTTAAAAAATCGTGGGTACTTGAAAAAATCAGACTTAATTTAATAATATATGAATGAAAACAACACTGTTTTAAAGTTTCACTAATTTAGTGAAACTTTAAAACAGTGTTGTTTTCATTCATATATTAATAATATGGAGTTTCATCAAGTAAAGGTCGAAACAATCAACAAGTTAATTTAATAACATAATTATTACCAAAAAAGTGATATTTTTATAGAAGAATCGTATAAGAAGAAAAATCGAACAAAATTAATTTTTTTCATTACAGGGCCATCTATTACAAATATGAAAAAATGTTTTAGACAAAATGTACCTATTTTTAGTCGAATGATCCGAATCTGCAATAAAAAATGGGGTGTCCCATTGGAAATTTTAAAGTTACCCCCTCTTTCCCCTGTAAGGAGGAGAGTATGAGGACCAATTTAGTACTGATTGATGTCCCCCCTCGAATCATTTAATTTTTATTTTAAACATTTTTTCGTAAAATGCATTCTAACTGAGACATTTCAAAGTTTCAAGTTAAATGACTCAGCCTGTATAATTATCAGTACTACTACAATACTTACT